TTTGAAAGACATAGAATTTAGGTAGAAGATTAGCCTCCGCACTTACCTAATTTAAACCCGATAGAACCTGTTTAGAGATAGTTAAAACTGAAGCTTTTTGAGTTGCATCCTAAGCTTATAGATATAGGAATATCTGAGGAGGATTGGCGCTATTTTAGAAGATGTATTATAGAAGCTTAGGAGGCATTAGAACAGAGGAAGATAGATAGGTTGATTTTAGGGATAGGAAGAAGACTAGAAGCTATGCGGAGGGTTAAGGGTTATTATACAAAATATTAGTGGTTGCTAAGCGAGTCTAACCCTACCCGAATTTAAAACTTTTTACTAGAACTATATATCTAGAAAGATGGTGGTGTGGTGTGTAGTGTAACAGATATATATATTTGATGTTGGGGTGGTGAAAGTGGGGATCGGAACAGACTTTTGAAACGTTATGTATATATACCGAATTACGTCTATTTATATGTTATAATTCATGTCATATCTCTGTAATATATATATAGACTCATGGGTTCTTGGTAGGTTCTCGGGTACCTGTAGGGTACCTGAAAAAGCAATATGCGAGGTCTAGTCGCGTCTAACCAAGACCAGCTGGACAGAGAACTCCTCTGCTCGATAAATATCCTACAAGATTTCAGGAGGCTGAATCCATTATCTCCGGATGCTGACACTGATAGATTGCCAAGTAGCCACTTGCAGGAAGGTTATCCAGAGGATGATGTCAAGAAGGAAGACCGCATAATACAGGCGAGACCCACATATCCCCGTGTGCGTCAGATTGTTACAGGGATACTCGATTTACTGCATATTTTGTATAGTATCCCGGGTATACTCGGAACCTAACGCCGTAACACGCTAGACAGCGAGGAAGGGGATATTCAATATTCCCCCGCCTACACACATAGATAGTTAAGTCATCTAAGATATTATTATATTAAGCATCTAATTCTATTAGATCCTAGCTTTCCTAGCCCATACTGTATCCTACTACATTAATATAATACAAAACTGAACCTTTCTTCTGTTAGCATCTCCTAGGAGATGACGGGAAACAAGAATCATATACCTTAAGCGCGATAATCTATGCTCTCCAAAAAGTGCCTATAATTGCAATAATCAGTAAGAAAGATACTATTGCCGTTAAATAGTAGGAAACACGTTAGACATTTGCTCGGCCTTTAGTCATTCTCCCGACTAACCACTAGTACTACTAGGTCACGCCTATATATTCAACGATAATAATGAATAGATTACCAAAGTAAACACTAAATAGATAAAATACACCGCTAAATATGATTCAAATTATTGCTATAGTAGATAACAAAATGAAAAGTAGGCAGAGGATAGATACTAAGCGAGACCGGGTTAGAAGGCGATATTATTAAAACCTTATTCGCAAATCCTACAACTAGCCAGCTAACTTTATATATAGTACGAAAGGACAAGACGCACAACCTACAGAGAAGAAAGTATCAGTGTAAGTCTAAAGATAAGGTGACTCCATCTAGTCCTTATCTTACTCTAGAAGAGGACACTAATTTTAGGGTGCTACTTGCAGGGTAGCGGCCGGTTGGTCAGGTAAGGAAAATAAATACAATATTGAATCCTTATAGAATCGATGGAGAATATTAGAGGTAGATTATTCTAATAACTGAATCCCTTCAAGATTCAGTTCGAAAGCAAGGGGGATTCTCTTTCTATAACCTAAATTTCGTTATTCCGCTACTTGCCGGCGGAATAACGGTAAAGGGATCCAATTCTAACTCGTTCTCCTTCATGAACAAATATCGTTATATGCACGTTTCGTATCCGAAACAAGCCGGTCGGCCGAAATAACATCAAATGTAGTTGTTTCATAACATGTATATATCGTTATGTTATATAAACGGTTTGTATTCAAGGTCGGCCGAGATAATATTAAGTATTATATATTTAGTTGTTCTATAATATTACCTATATATTAAGCTTACTATCGAACTCCCTACAACTATTTAAGTAGCTTAAAGGGAAGGAAATCTAGGTCTCTTTAAGGTAGAACATTTGGTAGGCTGTTATTAATTTGAGAGTTTAGCGACTATTAGGAGGTCCACCGGTCAGTAGGACTTTGTTAGCTAATAGTCGCGATCGCTAGCATTACGTAGAGCTAATGTAATTAATCTTTAGAAGTAGAAGGGATTATAAATAGTTAACATGGACGCATTGAATAAGGAAGTAATAAATATAACCGCGTAGGGGCAGTTTTTAATAACCCTATTCTAGAGTCTATTCCGGAGGCTGTTATCGCCGGGCGCGCGGCGAACGCACGTACGTACACAGCCTTAATATTTTACTACTGCTCGATTGGGGAAGAGGGGATCTGGTCTAGATATACGTATATCATGGCTGATACCTGACAGCCCTGCTGGTAGAGGTATGGGGAAGAAGCGGTGGAGGAAAGGCTCGGCCTTATATTCTACTCTTTCTGTTAATTTTCGGCTGTTAAAGAGAGGGGAGGAGCTAATTTGGTATACTAATAGACTATTGACAAAGATTTAGTTTTGGTGACGTGATTCACAATCTTTCAACGGGCAACGGAAAGCTTTTCTCAGAGCTTTGAAAATGAAAATCAAGGAACTCGTTTTAGTAAGAACGGTTTTAGCTTGGCCGAGATTGTTGAACATTGCTTTCAACGGCTGTTTCTTTCCAAAATCTCTTGGATATATCGCGGTATAATCTTATAGAATCAAGACAAATCTAGGACATACCGTGACAATTCCTCTTACACTTCAAAAAAGTGCTGTCAAAACTAGGTCAGAAACACAGCTTCAACGCAGAAGCAGGGTTTGGTATAGATTCATAGCGATGAATTAATGCAGATTTCAATTTACGGACCGTCCCACGGCCCTAGAATGAAAAAGACCCTTACCAAATTCATTCTCTATGACGTAGAAATTCACCATTCACCGGACCATTGGTTATTGAATCCAAGTCTATTCTTGGCAGATCTTGGCAACTCTTGGCAGTTATAATAGATCCCGTACGCGAAAACCGTAATCCAAGTCCATATACAATCTAAGAATGAAAAACTATAATTGTCAATCTAGATTTCCCCTTATTATGAATCCTTTCGCTGATAGCGGAGTAAATTTTGTCTCACCATGGACCATGAATTGAAACTAGACATGGGCAAAGCTCGTCCAAGGATCTCGAGTACCATATAACGCCCCGGATTATGACGGCATCAGACGCCACTGGAACCAGCCTTGTCGTTAAGCTCAACACATAGGGCACGTCCGAGGTGTCTGCTACGACGAAGGGGCATATAACACATTAAGTCATCAATCCACCATTTGACTATCGGCCGTATTACTTTCACGTGGGTATATATAGCGAGAAAGACTACAGTACATGATCAGCGAAATACACCAACAAAGGGATATTAGGTCGATACATTCCCGAGACTGAGGAGAAATCTCCGCGACCCAAGCCGCGAAGAAGTGAGGCCTCCGATCGGCCAAAAATGATTTTGCCATAATTAATTACATTTGTTAAGTTTTGTTAGCCAGTTTCGCAATACTTCTACTTTTTTCGGTTCTTTTTCGTCAAGGTCGCGGAACATGATTCGCTTTGAGATGGAGCCACCAAAATCTGTGTACAGCAGCTGTCAGTACCTAAAAGAGAATATGAGAGGATGCTTAGAAACAACTATGCAGCATTATAGCTGATCTCAGAGTAGTCACCTATATGCAAGGTCTCTATCTGCTGCATATCCTCGCGGTATTTCGCTGGACATTGGGCAACGAGCCTACAGAGCTTGCGTTATATAATCGGACTAACTGACCTTTGCTAGGTATGATCCTTTTCTTCGGTATATACTAAGTTCAGCTTCGTGTCTATTTCATAACAGTTGATTATGCGGGGCTTGAGTTTTATGAATATGCTTAGCATAAGGTTGCTAGCTCGGGTGATCAACGTATCTCATGTGGCGTACCCGAAAGTTGTAATCTCCTGGGAAGCACATAAGCAAATATACCAGATTCTACATACTAGGTCGGCCGACTTTACGCTGAATCTAGATTTCAGCTCGGCGGTCGTAGTCCGGAAGCGTCGGAGCCCGGATAATTCGAATATCCCGTGCATTATTTAGTACCACGGATGACCAACCTATCCGTGGCTCCAAGATAACTTTATTCTGCTCGAATGTATCTGAAAAATAATATGGTGAGCATTTATGACATCAAACCTCTGCTATACGCGATACATTTCATTGGAACCCACGAGGATGGCTGTTTGCAGGAAAAGATCTATTCGGAAACTCCAACTGCAGCCCATATACATAGTTCATAATCCTTGTACCGATCATACGCAAAATATGGATTAAATTCAACAAGCGATGAAGGCCGGTTCTTGGGTTGATTGTAGCGTACCATATGAATGATAGAGGGTCCAAACCCCCGGGCCCCGAGTCTCGAAAATTCAGAGCCATTAGATAACGTGCAAAGGTGTTATGTGTAAAGATGATCCTTTATTCCATTAGATGGAGCATGTAAGCCAAGGCTATGATATAATCAGGCGGCGATGGTAACAGCCATATGGCAGAATACCTGAAATCTAGACCACTGTCAAAAGGCTAGACGATTTATCTTCTCATTGTGCATAGATGGTCATTTGTAACTGGCTATATTATTGCGTCACGGTCTAATATCCACCGTGGCAGTGCGAATAATTCACTATAACCAAGGTAAGTCAAGGTTCTGGACTAGTCTCAAACATTGCGCGTGATGCTTTGACCTGAGAAGGTTTCTATTTCATGAGTGTAAACTATCCAGTGTCAGGATTGCACCATAGTAATTTGTCCTGAACACTGAGCTCTGGCTATAAGTACCTACATCAGTCCCCCACCTCAACTTGGCACTTGCACTTAGCTCATCCCAAATTTTTAAAAAGGGAATCTCATTCATATCTCTATCGTTCCACGAATCCTCTTTGGGAATATTTTCCATTGACCTATCTCCTTCAATATGCCGCTTCACAAGTACGGTGTCTGGAAAGCAATCCCTGTATATCACTTCTTTGAATACAAGGAGGACGACCCTAAAAGCCCTCACTTATCACTGTATTTCACGGATAAAAAATACGATCAACATTCTCATATCGACTTTCACCAGACTCGCGGAGGTAAAGGCTCGCATCGCGGTAAAAGCTCGCATCGCGGAGGCAAAAAGTCGACTCGCGGCGGAGGCAAAAAACCGACTCGCGGGCGTGACAAAGAAATCCCTGGATGCTTCAGGGCAGCAATCAATATCAAGTCTGGCGACAAGTATCAAAACCGACTTGCCTACTGGGAGGATCTCGACTTCAAAGATCATCCCATCATGAACAGTCTCGCCGACCTTCCTTTGGGGTTTCATGACCTAAAAAGGGGACAAAACTCCGCTGGTGTGAATCTAGACTACATCCGCAGCAACTTATTCAATGTCGACACTGGTCGAATTCTACCTCATGACGAACCAGGTTCAGATAATGATATGATCGATGCTCTGAAACCTGAAATCAAACAGGCAATTGAAGAGGAGGCTGATATCTACATATTTGGTGAACCGTTCAATGATAGAAAAGGTATTCACAATGTGCATATGAATCAAGGCAATATTGAGAAATACGCCGATGATGACGGCGTGTTCCAAGATGGTGGTCTTTTGATCAATTACCCAGACTCTGATCGATGGGTTGGGGTCTTTATCGGATTCGCATCTCAGGCTGTGCACACCGATGACGAGACCGGCCATGCCATCTCATCGGAGACCTGGGGTGACTATCTAGAGAGAGAGGAGAGAGACACCGAGCTGATCGAAGACTCTGTGATCATTGATGAGGCGTTGATCAGCCCTGAGTCAGATGGGCCCAAATCCAGACGCAGGTCGGTTACTCTCAAAAATCCAAAAAACCACAGGATGTCACTGTCTTCCTGGAAAATCAAAAATTCAGCTGGTGAGTTCCATGCATTACCGCGTGGTGCAGCCTTAGATGCCAAGTCAAGTCAAGCGTTCGACATTCCGGATTGTCATCTCTCACAGCTTGGCGATACCATCACACTGTTGAATGAAAAAGGACTGAAAGTTGACGGTGTGAGCTACAGTTCTCAACAGGGAGTTGAAATGCAACCAGTCGTTTTTGCTCATTGAAATGGATATTGTAAACATCGGTTGTTGCGCGTCAAAAGTTTTCTTTGCATGCTACTATTGACTTTAGAAACACAATCGCACAATCAAACAGAATGCTGTAATTTTATTAGTATTTTCATTCGTCAAAAAAATTTCAATTTTCGTATCCCGTATTTGAATCTCAATAACTCGCTGCCATAATGTTTTTTGAAAGGGTTTCTCTTTAAACAACCTTTGAAAATCAAGCAAACTTTTTGAACAGACATGATCTTTTATTTTCTCTGCAAGAGGGTCTCCTCACTCTGATGCTCACTGAGTCTGAAGAGGATGGAATTCGTCTCCTCTTCGCGGCTAGGTGATGTGTGTGGGTGGCCTCACGTGACACCAACGTCACTAGGCCCTCTTTTAGTTATTCAGGATTAGTTCGATCTTAGAAGATTCAAGAGTTATGATCCCATCACACATCACCAGGAGCCTCGGGGGTAAGCCCCAAAGCACGTGACTTGTCGCTAACACTGAGCTCCCGGGAGCTGGTTTGGTCGTCAGGGTTGACTCGGGAAGGTCCGTAGCGCCTCGGTACCTTACCATCTTAACTATGACGCTTGGAGAGTCAGGAGAAGAAACGTTGCTATGATTTGACAATAATGCAAAGCCGAGGTCAAAAACCCATCATCTAGTGCACCGTCGTCAACTGAAGGCTGCGTTGGTCTAAACATATCTTTAAACAACGTTCATGAAATCGTCAGACAGCCATTTGCTGAAGCCTGCGAATATTTTCTTTGCGATGACTGCAAGCCCATTTGTTAAGAACAGGGAACAAGACCGGGTCCGAGTAAGTGAGCGACAGAACGAATACGCTTGCTGCCAGGAGCTAAACGGCTGCTTCCAGAGCGACCGTAGCTCCCGGGAATGAAGAGCCTGGCCCCTCGAGATCTCATTTCTCTAAACATCACCGATTCCACACTCAATTTCCATTGAATCCTGTTCGCACTAGTCCATGCAGTTTCCCTCCTGATAGACATGCCGCTAGCCCCTTTCGTGTGGCTGGTTGAAATAAATTGGAATTGGTATTTGATTCCTTGTCAATTCTCATCGATCTTGTTCGGACCGGGGCAGATCTTACATATCCTACTCGGTGATATCCAAGGGATTCTGTTGGCCCCTATTTTCGCCGTTTTTCGAGTGGAGAGGTTGTCAACAGCCTTCACAAAGTCAGCCCTGCTGATTTCCATAAATTATTGGTTGCCCCGAAGCAGCGCTCTTTCATCGTAGGTAAACGGACATACATGCCGCGAACAATTATTGATAGTCGCGTGCCAGCTTGGCCGGGTCTCTCACGTGATATTTGGAGGCGAGATCCGCGCGGGGCCTGAGTCGTTCGAGGCGAGGTCAAGCAAATACAAGCCTGTGAGTGTCCTAATTGGACCAATCCTTTGGATCTCACAGATCGAACGCCTCCTGAATGTACCAAAGCATCCGTATGGGTCGGTCTTCGATCTGTCGATGGCGTCACGTCGGCTCGACAACCTGTCGCACGAGACCGCGCACTCTGCTGCGACCGAGAATCAAACAGTTCGGACCGCCGATTTCCTCTGGATAGATTATCAAGAAGGTAACTCACAAGACCGAGAATTGACGCGATCAAAACATGCCTTTATAAGGACCAGACATCATCGGCTGCGAAAGGACACCCAGATGCAGCATTTTCGCGCATCCGTCCAAGCCCGGCCCGTCGATCACCCATCCCCCTCGTCTACCAACAATCTGATTCAAAAGCAACCTCAGGGAAATGTCGGTAATGATGGGAACGATGAAGTCTCGCGAGCCTCTTTACAGATCTACGGTCTCGAGGCAGGAGTCCTTGACGGCTTTCCTAGCTTGGCATCGGGCACCCGCCAAAATCCTAATATTTATTTTCATCATTGTGAGTGCATGAGGGATTCAAAAGACGTAGCAGACCGTTACCGTTTGATATCTGGATCTCACCTTTACTATAAAGATCCTAATAACCAGCCAATTAGACCGTGTTCACAGCGCAAAGTCTTGCTTCCCTCTCTGCTCGAAGGACGTCACTGTTTGGTTCTGGAAAAAAGCCCTGGATGACCCCGCGTTGATGCAAATCAAGCTTTCCATTAGCGCATCTCATCGAGCAGCTATTCTGGGAAGCTATGGCTCTTCGGCAGCAAGTGCGCAAAAACACACACAGGATGCGCTTCGCTTGCGGGTTGGGACCATCAAGTCTCTTCGGTCAATCTTGCACAGCACGTCAAAAATATATACTGAGTCAACTATCTTCATTATCGCTCACTTGATCGTTTCAGAGGTAGGATTTCGAACAAATGTTCCTTTAGATCTTGTGCAAAGGCTCAAAAACAGGCTTACATGAAGAATTGTAGGCGATCGAAGCCAACATTGCAGCTGTTAACGCGCACATGAATGGCATGAAAAAAATAATCGCCGCCACGGGCGGATTGGACCTTCTCGACCATGGAACACTTGCTTTGATTTATAGGTATGCCATTTATCGGGTGCATTGGTTTAACTTTCCTGACCGTTTCTGTGGTCTAGCTGTGAAATCCTGAGGGGAATGATTGGAACCACACCACCTGCAGTTCGAATGTGCGCCAAGTTTGAAGACCGGATCATCAAGGAGTCACTTTCATACAAATTGAACGAGCTTCCCACGAGGCGATCAACGGTTGGATTGCATTTCTTTGATGCCTCGTGGTCGAAACATATACAATCAAAGTTCAAGCCGATCATCCAGTCATTTCAAAGCCTCATCACGTTCTATGAAAACTTGGATATTGTTCAGCTCGAGCCAATGTCTGTTGAAAACGATCATCTGCTATTTCTGGGCTATCAGCTGTTATCATTACCTTATCTATGCTCACTCACTCCTTTCGAAGAGACCATACGCCTCTCGATCTTTGTCTATGCTTCATGCAGAATATGGTCCTTCTATGGAACCTCTTGCTTGGAAGTTCTAGTCGAGACTCTCCGAGAAAGCATTTCCACGAGCTTTGTGGTCCTTGAGAGTGTTGCATCTGATCTACTGTTCTGGATCTTGTTCATAGGTAGTCTCGCTTCCAAGGGAATGAAGTGCCACTCGTGGTATCTAGGACTTCTTACTGATCTTGCAGATAAATTGTTTCTGGAGGGCTGGGACAGCGTGGTCTCGATATTGGAGAGATATTTCTTCAGATTTCGCTCCGAAGATGATCCAGCGAAGGAAATCTGGAACTCTGCATTTTGATGATGTACGAAATACAGATGTATGTTGCGATAGCAGTACGACTCTCTTGAAAATTTAATGTACCTGTATCAGACACCGTCCACTGAGGCTGTCATCCTAAATTCAGGTGTATATCTTTCCTGAGTGGGATATTTGGAAATCCTTTCTCCATGAGACATTCTACATATGACCATTCTGGCCTCTCGGTTCACCGCCAGCTGGCGTTGTGGTGTAAACCGCATTCACAATTCGACTGATGGTGATTTGACGGCATTGTGGATATTGGGGAATTTGTGAATAACTGCCTTTCATTTCTTCTTTGATAAGCGTTCCGAAACAACGAAGGAGCTCATCTTTATCGCTTGAAGATTCTCAATTCAATCATGCGCAGAATAGCATAAGACACAGCAGCGAACGCGAACCCCAACTCAAAGCCAATGTCACCTCCTGATACTCCCGGGCCAGCGGTCCGGGCGATGGTTCCGACGTACCATGACTGGCTCATGCCTGTTACCATACCTACGACACCGCAGCAAAATGCAAGCAATGCTGCAATACCGGGCGGTAACTTGTCTCGCACATCATAGTCCTCCGGGCAATATCCCGAAAACCCCCGGCGAAACAGAAAATGCTCCGTGAGTGCGATGCCTTCATATATGGCTAACCAATATCCAATAAAATGCATAAAATTTTCCAAAACGGCCTCAAAGTGGCTGTACCCTGGGATTGCGATCGCAATGTAGACTCCAGTGGCCACCACAGTCCACACGAATCGGGGAACATGTCGGGTCCAACGACCCATGACCATGAGAGTGAGAGAGACCGAATAGATATTTGGGCAATTGTTGGCCACGATCGACAAGGCCAGAACGATCACACAAAATTTGCCGAACCCTCCAGTTCTGGGGAATAAGAGAGCGCCCAGGAGGCCGCCTACCCCTGCATCGTCATATCCTTGTTGATAAGCATTGTCGCCCCCATTATGAGCAGTGGCGGTGACAAGGGCGGCGCCGAGAAGTTCGGTGAACAGCAAAGTTGGGAAGATCCCAAGCCACGTCGCAAAAAATACGTTGCGCTTCGGCCGGTTACTGGGTTGGTAGACCGTATAGTCGGCGGCAAAGCTCGTATATCCTGTTCCAAATCCAAAAACAGTCGATCCGTACGACAACACCGCACCTAATTCTGCACGTCCTCCCCCCATCGAGAGGTTGAGAAAATCGCCTGAGCGGGCTAGAACGCCCAGGACCACCAGAAATACTACGAAGGTTGGAATCCAACTCCAGTATTCGTAGGCATGGACGACTTGGTAGCCGAAGAAAACAATCAAAAGAGTACAAAATGCAATGATTAGGATTCCCGCATAGCCGGGGACATTCGGGTTGACTGCATTGATCAATTGAGCTCCGACGATGATATTCGCGGCGGCCCATCCAATACAGGCCAACACGTTGAAGAGCGCGACTAGATAGGATAACGACAAAAGAACACCGATCAGTTCACACCGAGTCTGATGCCGTGTATTGAGCCTCGGGAGGAAGGGCTGAGGAGGAGATCCATACTTAGCTTTACACCCCACCAGCCGAACCAGAACCGGGAAAGGACCATCTGTCGCAATCCGAATGCAGCCCCGAACGTGGAGAAAAAACAGACGGTCAAAACAGCGATGAAGTTGAAGAAGAAGATGACCAAGGCCGAGTCAACAAACCCCATGGAAAATAATGGCCTACTCAAGACTCCGATGGTAAAGGACGGGACAACCATGTTGGCAGCCAACCACTAGGGGGTTTTGCGGACGGGTTAGAGATACCTCGTATCATGGTCATCATGGTCAGGATGCAAGTACCATTGACCCAATATTCCAGTAGGAGTTGTCGCTTCTCTCATCCTCTGGCACCCGCTCGATTCCTCGCTGTTCCACTTTGAGTTTCCCCCGAGTCGCTGAAGTCGCGCGTATAGCGAGTTCCCATACTCGAAGCTTGAGACCGGTACAGCGCCTGTCTCGTCTTCGAGCAGTGCCGGGTTGTCCACCCCGGCCCGTTTCTCCACGTCCCGGTTCAGCGCGGAAGTCATAATTGGCGGATTTGCAGAAATCGGAAGATGCAACCGAGTCAAGCGATCTGTCCCTCTTAAACCCTTTCTCCAGATTTGAGGAAAGGCGACATTTTAAACCCCTTTGCTCGTCGGTCTGGGGAGTGAGGTGGCCCACGGAGGGGGCCGGTCCACAATTGCACAGACGAGACCGCCGAAACAGTCGATGCAACCGAGGCGTCGTTTGGACCGGTGGCATTGGGGAGAGTCCAGGCATTGCATTCGCATACTGGGCGGACTGGGCGGACTGGGCACCATCGCATAGGCATAGTGGGCAATTGAATTGGTTTCGTTTCGTTTACTGCCTCGGGAAGGGCGTCCCATTGAATTTGGTTCGCTCGGCCATACGTCGGATCAGGACTGTAAACCCCTCCAGCTGATTTGAGAAACCCGTGGCGAGGGTCTACCGTCCCTCGGGGGCGTGCAAGCTTTGCAAGCTTTAAAACCATGCCCGTTAAGTCTGGTCCAGCCGGCTCCTCCCAGGCTTTGGGGTGCAACAGGGTCGGAGATCCGCGACCGAAGCGGGGCTGCGCCCACCATTGGAACGGAGGCCGCCGAGACCCACCGCTAATGATGGAGTCGTGGGTTCTGCGATCTGGCACAGACAGGTCAGCGCATGTCATCGACCAGGAAAGGGCGGATTTCACAGGGCTCTGGGGTAAAAGAGCTTCTCGGTAGAAAATCAATCGAAAAAGATTGGGTGCCCAGTCATTGGTCACACCTCTTCGAGGTCGTACGCCCCTGATGAGCCAGGATTTTGTGTCTTCGCAGGCGTCTAAAAGCAGATCTGCATAGTTCTAGACGGCATAGTTGCAGCTTCCCGATATGTACCACCTCTAGCCCCCTCCCTGACTCCGTGATGTTCGGTGCTCGCGGGTTTCTTCCATGTTATTGATGATCATTGATTGACAATTGAAAATGCCATGTCATTCGACCTGTGCCCTCCCCTAAAACACTGTTGAAAAGTATTTCGAGATGAATAAAAGTCTCCATTCTTTTTTCTATTCCAAATGCTTTTCCTGGGCCATTGGTCCATCCACTGCATATATGTGCCATCAAGCGAAAAGAAAAATTTGAATAAGCACTGCGAGCTGACCAAACTTTCTTCGAAAGCCGTTTAAAGAGCCACTTTACTTTCATATCCAACAAAAAAGCTCCAATCAGTGAGGGTTATCTTCATTCTGATCGAAATGCTCCCGGGCCCATGGGCTTCGAAGTCGAATCGCTTTGCCTTTGTAGAAGAAGATAAACGGGATCGGTACCAATAGAATCGAAATGAAGCCCAAGAGACTAGAGGCCCATTCGTAATCCAACTTCTCATACATCTGCGTAGCAAACAAGGGAAACCCAGCACCAACTACATTCCGTACCAAAATGACCCCTGCGAGGGCCGAGGCAGAGTAGGTCTGATAGCTATCGACCACATAATTGAGAATGCTGAGAATGACAATGTAGATTCCAGCACCAAAGAATGAGGAGGCAATGATTGGAACAATCCAGTGAACCGAACGGTAACTGGTCCATCCAAACCAAAACAAGCTGATGGGAATCAAGATGGCGCCCCCGCGTGCCATCCACATCCGAGCCTCCGGAACTCCTTTTCCATCATTTTCAGCCACACGGCGCAGATAGTATCGTTCCTGCAATGGGTACAGGCAGAATGCAATGAGGGGGCCGACTGCCATTCCCAGGAATGCGAGACCCTGTTGGCCGGTATTGAAGGGGTGGCCCTTCGGGGCACCAAACACCAAGGGGATGGCCTCGTTGAATAGATACACCAGGCCGTAGAGGAACCCATTATAGATGGCAGAGAAGGTTGTAATCGGCTCTGAAAACAAAAAGCGAAAAGGCCGAGTGAGAGTGATGCCAAACAACTCATGTAGTCCCTTGCGACTGCTGGCATGAACATCCAACGTTGACTCTGCTGATCGCAGTGTCTCCCTCTTCATCTGCTTGCGCACGCGTCTTGCTTTCTTCTCCAAGATGATTGTGTGTCGTGTTTCAGGAACGGTAAAGACTAGGAGAATCCAGATGCCACCAGTCATCGCCATGAACACCCAGAAGATCATCCGCCACCCAGCATTCAGCCCGATATAGCCCGTGATCACTAGAGCCATAGGCGGGCCAAAGGTGCTGCTAAGGCCATAGACGGCCATGGGGCCACCACTCTCATTGCGTTCCCACAAGTCGCTAATACTTCCACCAGTATTAGTCAACGGGGCCCCTCCTGCGCATCCTGCGATGAATCGACAGACAAGAATGGTGCCGATATTGGGGGCCAGAGCGAGCGGGAGCTGGAATATAAACAGCAGAAACCACGAGACGACATAAACTGGTTGGCGTCCAAAGTACTCTGAGAGTGGTGCTAGGAGAACGGGGCCGACGGCATATCCCAGCACATAAAGAGACAGACACAGAGTGGTGACTTCCGAAGAGACACCGAATTCCTTCTGGATCCCAGTGGCACCGGATGAAAAACCGCCCGCACACCATGTTCTACAGATTATAAGAACGTCAATCGTGGGAGATCTTGGAAACAAACTAGCATCGGTACCTGGAGGGGAGAAGAAACATACGTGAAGACATTCAACATGCTCACCAAGCAGGTGATGTACCATTTCCTCCATTTGGGCCAATTCCGAGGATTGTCACGATCCCCGACACCATAGGTGATGAAAATCGGCAGTGCATCCTGCGGACTACCTCGCGCTTTGGCCAGTGCCTCTTCTTCGGAAAGAACAAGACTTGAAGATTCCCGAAAAGAATCCGAGACTTTCTCTGCATCCTGTGTCTCCATTGGTCGAGTCTCTTCCATATCAATGATCATGTCCCCCGAGAATCGATGATAAGAGAATCAGATTGAGAATGATACGAAGTCAAGCGAGGACACCCAGTCTCACAAGTGAACTTCGGGAGGAAGCGAAAAAGAGAAGAAGAGAAGAATAGAAAAGAAGAGAGAATATCGGGTCGAGACATGGGGGAAGGGGGGGGGGATTGGGGTTCGGGGTTTGGGGTTTGGGGGTAATTAACCCCATCGGAGCCCTTGCTCGCATGGAGAGGCCATTCACGCGCCCGCTTTTCGGATTTCATCATCTCGAAATGTTTGCCGAAGCTTGCCGAGTCAAGCAGGGCTTGCCACCTCAAGCGCCCACGAAGGGAACTTCGGGTGGGTCGGCGTGCCGAAAAAGAAGCAATAGGGCGTAATGCTTGGCTGGTGGGCACTCCACTTCATCTCCACTTAGCAATTCCACTTTCGGTGAAGATATTAGTCAAGGGTTGGGGATATGGAGCAAACCGGGGCAAACTGGGGCAAATCCATGAAATCGTCGAAAATACTCCCGAAGAAGAGAAGAATAGAGCCCGGTCTGAATGGCTACGGTATTTCTACTGTAACTTGGAACGGGATACATGGAAGCGACGTCGAAGTGCACACACCATGTGGGTCGTGAAATTGAATTGCGTAGGTCTCTTTTCACATCTCTACAAAATCGCGCTTGTCAAGTTCACGCTTTTTTTCCTACAGTAGAAGAGTGCGAGCCAATTTTCGGTATGTATGTTTGATAGAAGGAAAAAAGAGAGATGACGATGATGTTCCATCATCACTCTCTGGGCGAGAGACTTATAGGAAATGACACATTTGCAGACTAGCCAACCTGGAGCGGATTTTGCAGATCAATATTTATGGGCTTTGCGAGGGCTTTACCAGAGTGTTTGCTTTCTACTTTCAGTCATCTAATGCAACACCTTGAAAGGTTCTTGACTTGCACAACATTTAGTGTATTTTACTTGTCGATTACATTAGTTCTTGTCCCATCTTTGCTATGTCTGGCATTTGCTATACAATAGATTGTTTCTAGGTATCCTTGGTATAATTGCTGGTTCATCGCATATTCAGTGTATTCTATAGCCTTTATCATAGTGTTCGGAATTGAAGTTGGCGGAAGAATCGAGCTATGGTGTGCGTCTATTCGATTACTAAAATACCTGGGTGCGGCCATTTCTAGAAACTCTTTCTCGACAATCATGATTTATATTTATGCTTTACGCGTACAACACTCTTCTGGCTTTCATTTTTCGGATCTACTTACTAATTCGAAGGTTAATATGGTCATTTTGATTTGGTCTGGCTGTCAAATCCTGCTGGGTGCTGGAGCATGTAGACACCGGAGCTCAGAATATCATGGCCATTGCATCGCTTTCCAGCTCGGCCGTTTAGATACCGATCACAATGACCTGTACTGTCAATGAGCTCTAATTCTCATTGGTTTTTAGCAATCTATTCACATTCGCTAGTAAGTTTTATGAATGTTTTCTGCTTTTATCATAGATGAACAGGCCAGGGGACAAGTGAGTGAACCGATCAACTGTGTGAAACACAAGGCTTTACTTCTTTTTGCCTCTGTGATAATTCGAAAAGGGAGCAAGGTCAAAATAGCGAAAGTTTGGCTTATTATTCTGGTTGGGTCTGAAAGTAAGATATATAAATCCGCGCAGAGGGCGGCGGTTGATATGGTGGGTGGGGAACGTCGCGACATTCTCGCTTCTCTCTTCTACGCGACACCAGCAGCCTGGATGAATATTTTCTCCCGCTGTGCATTGTGTTAGCCAATATCAATAAGGGTCCTGATTGACCTACCTTCATAAAAAGGGATCCCAGGACAGCCATGGAACCCGCAGTCACAACAAGGTAGTATGTGGTGGCCATCGCTTCCACCACAGCGTGTACCACTTGTGTTCTTGTTGATTCAGAGAGATGTTCGAAAAGAAGGCTCCCAGTACCAGAGATGGCACCACGAAGCTCCTCGCGAGGGATGTTCGGAAGGATTATTTGAAGATCATCAACGGCCTTGTTTTGAAAAACGGCGCCTGAAATAGCCAAAGCAAGGACAATACCAAGGTTTTGGGCCAGTGCAATAAATGATGTGGCATCCGCGACTCGGGAGGTGGACACCTTAGCTTGAGCGACGGAGAACCCGGCCTGGATGAACATGCCGGCGCCAATCCCGATCAGTGCTGAGTAGCCATACACATGAGATACATTGCTGTGTTCGTCAATTGTACCTAGTGAAGTCCGATTATTGACTGTCAGTATGCCACAATCACAGTAGAAGGACTACTTGTCATACTCATCAAGGCTCCCCCGGTTGTTGTTAAGATACCACCAGCTAGATACCATGGCATGTAGTATCCGAATTTGGACATGAGCCCACCATTGAGAAAGCCAAAGCAGACCATGAGGATAATGAATGGAAGCAGACGGACGGCAGCTGTCAAGGCAGAGTCTCCTCGGACAAATTGGAAGTAGAGGGGAATATAATATGTAGGCACCTGATATGGAAGGTCAGGTTGCGAAAGTCATCAACTTCTCCCAGTCTATGAAGCCAAGCGCATGACTTACAAAAACAGAAGTCGAAGCAGCACACATCAGCGCAAACAATATCCACATCAATGGATTGCGTAGGAAATCCGCCGGAACTATTCGCTCCCAAGTGGTCGTACCAATCTTGGATCTTTGCTGCAAGATGAAAAGGACGAGGAGTACACCCCCTGCAACCCACAATCCGATCTCTTGACCGGCCCCCCAGGCATAGAGATTTCCACCAAAGTTAATGGCCATCGTGAGGGCTGTGAACGCACCAACATTCAAGACCATTCCGAGGTAGTCAATCTGCAAGAACTTCTCCGATCGGCTGACCTCCTTCTGCGGGTCGCCGGTCGGCAAGAAGAAAATATAGACTGGCGCAAAAGCGGCACCGATACAGAGATTGATGTAAAATGCCCAGCGCCAGGTGGTATGCGAGTTCTGAGAGAACGCCCCGCCTACTCTATTTCAGTGGATCAGAGCTGAGATCTTCTATCGAAGGGTGAGGGAGGATCCTACACAGGTCCCAGCACCGTTCCTGTTCCCCACGCTAAATGAAAAAGAAGAAAACATAGGTCAGGATCTCATACAAATATCTTCCAGGTAGATACAGCACATACTGATTCCCGTCAATGCCATATACTGGGGTCGCTGACGGACGGATGTGGTGAGCGACAGCAGGGTCAAGCAGCCAAGGTACATACCGGCGCCCTATAGTCGATGGTGGGACATCGGGACCGGTCAGTGTCACCCCCGTCAAGGTGATTTCAGAGGGAAAGGGATTGTGACTTACTCCCAAGCCTGCCACTGCACGGCCCACAATGAAGGCATTCATATTCGGTGCTGCACCACAGAGGGCGCTGCCTGCCTCGAAAAGGACGACGGACGATAGATACAGCCACTTGGCGCTGAAAATGGCGTACAACTTGCCCCTTTTGTCACATGCCCTCATTTTCAGTCATGAATCTTCTGGTCCAGTGGATTGGAGGCTTCGAGAACGGGCAGGGCGTGCTGCATACCAGGTGATAATGGTGGCCGAGCCTGAAAGGACGAAGGCCACCCCGAGCCAGCTCAGCTTCCCGACCTCTCCGAACCGCTGCACGATGGGCGACTGGACATCGGCCACGATGGTGTTGTCGAGAGAGAAGAGAAAAGTGGAGGAGAGGATGGTGAGGACAATCAGGAACCACTGAAGGTCAGACCATGCTCGAGTCAGTCTAGAGTTGTCTTGTCGCCAATATACCGAAGAGGACCAAGATTCCCGACGTTCACGATCCAAGGGACTCGTGAACGTCGCTGGTCACTCACCAGAAGCTTGGACACTTTGGCCTGCACATTCTCTCGGATCAGGTTGACGTCTTCTTCTGCCGGCTCGTGAGTACTACTCTTGCTGTGATGAGCGACCACGGTGAGCTGTTCCATGGTTGAAATAGATGGCTGAGGCAAGCACGAAGTTGCTGTCCGAAGCCCAGTCATAAGCCACGATCCGAGACAACTAAGTAGAGATATGAGACTGGACGCCAGAGGTCAGCCCTAGGCAGAATCACCGCGGGCCAGGAATGGGGTAAAAAGGATCGCCGGGAAAGGACGACCGTAGAGACTGTCGAGATCGTGGAGAGGGTAAAGATTATGGAAGCCGTAGATGCCGCGAAGATAACTAGTATATGGCCAGCTTGTCACTTGCCTGCTCAGCCCGTTTGTGCAACCAGAAAGGACCGGGTCATTGGCAGCTACTTGACCAAAAGTCTCGACTCGCGAACCTGGTCTTTTGACCTGCGCTGAGAGAGAATTGGGAGAAGGAGTGAGCAGCCGGGCAAGAAGAGCCCGGCTCGTAAGCTGGAAAGTGTAAGTCCTTGGGAGGGTCTCACCGAGGCGCCTTCGGACCTATCCTGAAGCTCTACAGGGGTCCAAAAGAACGCAGAGTAGCCGAGTACAATATTCTGTGAGATCCGAAATGACCAAGAAGGATCAAGATTGTCCGAGGAAGGTCTCGAGCTCGGTTGCAAACAATCTACGGAGACTGGAGGTCTCAATGTTGATGGCATCTTTTATCCTCCGGTATCAATGGCGCCCCCATCGGACTGGCCACCGGCGGAGACAAGATTGAATAAGGTTCTCGAAGTAATCCAGACCATCTCAGAAGACATGAGTACCGCGATAACACTAGATCATGGCAGCAAAGCAGCAAAGTAGAAAGTGGCAACTGCAAGCAGGCTATCAACATGGTCGAGCTGACCTATCCCTGGCAAGGATCTCAAGGTTTATTGCATCTGACAGTCTGCAGGAACCAATGTCGAGAGGGAGACATGCTCAGGACCTCCCAAAAGTTCTCGAATATCTTCCGCGGCCTCGCTCGTTCGACCTATCGGGGCGTGAGAAGGCGGGAGATATAGGCCGAGCGGACAAGGAGGCCAGACAGCATGCCATACGAGGGTGGAAGATGACGAGCCAGCATGTTTCGGGGGCATAGGTGGCTGCAACAGGAAACATCCGAGGCAACAAACCAGGCAACTCAATCGCTCGTCTGCTCCCCGACGCGGTAATATATACACTGGTCTACACAACAATCTAGATTTCTAAACGGGTTGAGAGAGGCAAGAGAGATAGAATCTTAGGGAGGCCGGTTCCTTGTAACTTTGTTCTTTGGCATTCTCGCCAAAACTGAGATCAGGCATGACGATAATTCACGGCCACACATTAAAAAAAAAAAAAAAAAGAAACGAAAAAGAAAAAGAAAAAAAGACAAGACAAATCAAATGGGGAAATCGACGCTGTGGGTGGTATCACAAATCGCGCTTCAAAACGCCTCTTCCGCGGGTCAAATCATTCGAATCAATCTCTCTCGACGCACACCGACACGCGACAGACTGGCGACACAGGCCGGGGTCTCCGGCAGGTTGAGACAGTCATGCGTGGCCGTGCGAGTCAGCCCCCGAAATGGGCTGAGGAAGGATTACCAATTATGCTCTATGTAAAAAAATGTAAACCGGTCATGACACTCTATCAGAGAAATGGGGGAGACGGAAACAATCAAAGAAAGACAGAAACAACGGCAGCGGCCGCTACGCATAGCCCGAAGTAATGGCGTCGGCCTGGAATTCAAACATATTGGAACTCTCCAGCAACACAAATGACTCGTAGCGGAGGCCTCGTTCCTTGCCGCTGCGATCCGACCACGGATCAACGCTGCTGTTCCAGATGGACCCGTAACCATCGAAGAGAGCCCGCCAGTAGCACGCCTCCGCCGCAGCGGTGAGGTACCGCTCGCGGAAGGTCGTCACGCTGTTCTTGGCGATGCGCGCCGCGGCCTCCGTGTTGGCAACGAGGGGCTCGATCTTCTCGGCCAGATCACTGAAGTCCCGCTCCACTTCGACGTAATTTTGATTCGGGCCGCTGGCAACCAGGAGATAGTGGTGGTGCTGGATGTACTGGAGACGGTGTGCGACAATGACGGAGTGACAGGCCTGCCGGTACTTGAGGGATGCGGAGTACGCCCGACCTGAAGAGGAATCATATTAGCCTTCGAACTCCTCGAATTCCTCGTCATCCTCGTCGTGCTTCTCGAGCTCCGAGAGCACTGAGGACAGCATCAATACAACCCCAACACAACACACACCAAACTCACCTTCAACATGCGCGATAAACATATAGTGACAGTGGTCCTCCATCCTGAGCACGTTGGAGCCGGTGGTCCAGTCGACCTGCTTCACATCCCCCCAGGGCTGGTCGCGAGCGGCTTCAATCAAGGCCCGTCGCAGTTTCGGGGCAAAGCTGGGCTTCCCGCGCCAAACCAGCTGGGGCTTTTTCTCGTCCCACGGAATGTCCATGCGCATGATCCGGTCGACCACCTGGTCATAAGGACCGATATAGTTATCCGGGTTATCCCACGCCCAGAAGCTGAAGTCAGGCATTAGCCAGACGCCTTCCTCAGTTGGGGTCCGAGCAAAGACCCAGATGGGATAATCGGGGTTGGTCACGTCCTCCACCTTGTCTTCCACGGAGAAGACAAACTCAATATCCCGGCGCGACACTCGCTCCGGGTCGGCGGCCAGCGCCCGGTGGATGGAGCTGAGCACACCCAGGATTTTGCGTCGGTGGTCCTCGCCCATGGCGCGGGCGGCGACGACATGCAGGTGGCCCCGCGAGATAAAGGCGCGGGCCATGCCCGGTTGAATTTTGATGGTGTCGAGATCTTCCGTGGCCAGGCCACCACCGTGCGCCCGCCAGTAGCGTCCGCCGCGGGCGATGTCTTCGAAGAGGCCCGGGAAAGCGGCCTGACATTGAGCTTGGTCGAGAGCCTCATTGCGGGCGTCGCGTGGATATTCAAATTTCCAGCTGGGGGAGGCGGACAGCTGGAGGGTAGAGGTGTCGGCGCAGGACACACAGGTGGAGCATTGAAAGGTCGTGGACGTTTGGCATGCACAATGGCCGGCGGGGATGAGTTGGGTGAGGAGAGGGTGGATATAGTCGCGGTCGGAGTTCATGGCATACCAGATGGCGAGAATGACCGTGCAGCAACAGAGGGCGACGACGCAGAGGAGCGACAGGCCGCGTCGCGGCCGCATCCAGGGGTAGTTTGCCGCCATCACGGAGGCAGGACGACGCGCATTGCGGGATGCACACGAGAGCAGGGTTGGAGGTAATGGTGATGGTGGTGGTGGTGGAGGTGGAGGAGACAGAGGCGAGGGAGGAGGAGGAAGACACGACGAGGTGGGATGGCGAGGCTCGGTTCAACCGTCGAGTCCAACCGTCGAGGCCAACTCCAACTCCAACTCCAACCAGCGGCAAAGAGGCCACCCAGTGGAAAGGGGTGTGGCCAGGAACAGGCTGAAACTCCGATTCTGGGAGAAGATTGACAAGCTCCCGCGGGATCGGCCCCATCTGACGCGGTCGGATTGGCTTGGAGAAGAGCCGCAGCGCACAGGAAGTGGGGCGTTTGGCGTCATTGCAGCTGTGGGGCGGTGCTTTTTCGAGAGGAAAGTTTGACGCCAAAAATTGGACGCTGGGGACGCTTGGCAAACACGACCAAAAAAAAAAAAGTATCTATAAATTGGAAATTGGAAATTGGATATTGGAAATTGGAGATTAAAAGCTGCAGAAGACAGAGGAGAGGAGAAGAGGTGTGTACGAGGATTGCAGTTGGGAAGAATGGCCGACCTTGAGATTGTTGGTGTTTCGGGGCGGTGGGCGGTGGGCGGTGTTGGGCTTACCTGATCGCGGCGCTCCTCAGGCGGTTCTTTCTGCTGCTTGACTGCTTGACTGCGTGGACAACGTTGACGATTCATCTGCTCTCTCTCTCTCTCTCTCTCTCTCTCTGTCTGTCTGTCTCTCGCTACTGATGACTTGGTTTCCTCAACGACCCGTTCCCCCGTGATGGTCACACTGGGGGCCAAAAGACTCCACTCGGTCCGGCCTATGGGCCCGTAACCTGGTTTCTTTTTTTACGTCTGCCTAGTTCGACCCTTCCCAAACAAATGACCCAAGGCACACCCATGCACACCCATGCACACCATGCGTAACATAGGTTGTCTCGCTTCGGCTTCGAAAGGAAAGACAAAAGAGCTAACCAAGAAAACATGAAAGCGAAATGTACAGAGAAGAGGGCGTGCGGGTTGGTCGACCAGGATGGCCTGCATCACATCCTCAGAAATGAATTCAGGGTCCACGACTAATCCTTTTCTTGTCTAGTCGGTCTCGTGTCTCTAGCGTCTTGGCCGTGATCTGACTCGGAAGGCGTACCCCTAATGGACGGGGCTAACGCGGTCGGGTTAATGGAGAAGCCTTGTGCCCCATGCCCGTCGGGCCCACGGGCTCCTCCGGACTCGGCCGATCATCGCTCGCACGGGCTGTGTAGCAAGACAAGGTCACGAAGAGAGAGAGAGAGAGGTCGTGGGCCGACTTTTCGACGCTCTTGCAGATTACCAGCTCATCTGCAGGACAGAGGACGGAGTACAGTTTGGCCAGTGCAAGGCACACTGCACCGCCCCCACTGCCAACAATGAGCGATCAACGTCTGCGGGTCCACAGTTCTGTCCACGAAATCTGGCTGAACGCGGGGGCCATGCTGAGCGATGACAGGATTACATCCCATCCAGGTCTATCTTGATCTTCGGGTTCTCCTGACGTCTCGGAGTCCTTGACGAACCTACAGAGATGTAGATAGAGGGACGGGTGGGCTCGGCCCCCTGCCAACCAATCCAAGAGCGATCTCGAGTTTCAGAAGTTCCGTCTCCGCATCACAGATCAGAACTCAAACATTACATATAATTTATAGCTAGAATGTCGTTGATCCCCGGTCCTTCCCCCTTAAGCCCAGAGAACATCATCCCTCTCCGAACTTACTGCTCGCGGGAGTTCGTGCCAAGCTGGAGCCAACCATTCCATTTATCGATGGACTGAGCGTGGAACTGGTGCAATTGAATTATATTTTTGTTTGTTATGTTTGATCTATTTTTAGATTTCTAGATTACTGTTTATCTCGGCTTAAGCGATTGGGGTAGATCGATCGCGTTATAGATCGACAGCGACGCGCCATGAGGAAGAGGTTTTGGAACACCTAAACCCCACAGCCCGAATTTATAGGTTTGACCCTCAAAAAGTTGTAGCTCGATGGTTTTACCAATGTTGCTATATGATAGTTTGTGGAGGTCACTAGTCGCTAACAGAATAACATTATCGGACCAGGGCCTTTAAAAGGAAGAACAGCGACCGGAAAGGGGCTCGTCGACTGGAATTTCTCATCTAACGCAAATCATGCGATCCACTACCATGCAGAAAACACCCCCAAATGCCCTCCCAGGATCCAGAGGGAGAACAGGACCAAGATTGACTGTTCAAATTGCCTCTCAAAAGAATAAAAACGCCCGCTGCAATGCGCCCCAGCGAAGACCGCTCCCCTCCCCTCAAACAAAAGACAAGACAAAAACTCCTGGTAACTATCCCAACCCGGTCCAAGTGCTTCATTGTCGAGATTGACTCCGGTGGTGTCTCCCTCGACGGGCCAGTACTTCCTGGTCGACATCCGGCGTCGCAGGTCGCGGCGTGCGACGCTGGCGTCCCCCTGGTCGAACACGACCCAGCGCCCGACCCAGCAGACTATCAGCCTTTTCATCGAGGTCCATCTCCACGCGCTCCTCCTCTAGAGCTTCGGGCGTATCGAGAGAGGCCGTATGAGTCACCTCGTCCGTCCATTCCTCCGCATGTGTCCCACCGCGAGCGCGACGCCGCACACTCTCGTCGGTCCCAGTCCGTTCCCGCCCGTGGTCTTCGCGGGATTGGCGGGAGCCTGGGCTGGTGGACGGTCCAACACCTTCAAGAATTTGTCGGTTACGCTCGCGGCCCTCAAGCGCCCATAGTTCCAACGCCCGGTTTAACAGAGTTCCCGCCACGCCAGCACCACCGGCGGCATCCCCGCCACCACTGGCCCCGAGAACGCGAACGGCTTCATGAAGGGCAGTGACGGCCTCGGTGGTACGACCCAGTTCCAACAGCAGTAACCCGCGCGAAGTATGCAAAGACCCGACAAGCCCCCGGTCCTCGTAGCCCCCGACTCCGGAGGCCGTGGCAACGGCTGCAGAGCCACCTGCCCCCCCGCCCAAGAAAGGAGAGTAGCCCAGGCTAGTACCGCCAGCTCCAACACGGAGACACTCGTCAAATTCGTGCAAAGATTCTGGCAGTCGACCCATGCGACGCAACGCATGGCCCAGATTGGCCCGAGTAGCCACCCATGCCCCGGGTTCGCAGTGGAGAGAAGCGGCCAACCCCAGAGCTTGTCGAAACAATTCCACGGCTGCGCCGAGGTTATTTTGATGATAAAAGACAACTCCAAGCTCATTGAGGACCAGCGGGTCACCTCCAAGGGGAGCAGACAAATTGGTAGGAAGACCAGGGGTAATCCCAGGAGTAGCCCCAGTTGACATTGCATATGCTGCACAGAGATATTCGTGAGCCAGAGACATGTTGTTAAGAGCGAGGTGCTGCATGCCCAGGAAAAGTTGTGGCAAATGACTACCCTGGAAGAGTCGTGCAGCGGTACTATACGCCGCGATGGCCTGGTCATGCTCACCCTCAGCAGCGAACGTGTGGGCGAAACCGATCCAAGCTGGCGCAGAATGAGGATCAAGCAAAGACGCCTTGGAAAAGAAACGACGCGCTTCCGCCACCTTCGACACTGATAAATAGTATACCCCGATGGCTAAATAGGTGTATGGCTCCTCCGGGGCATGATCGGCCAGCATGTGGGACAAGAGGAAGAGAGCGTTGGTAGCTCCGGTCTCGTAGAGACATGCCAGGTGCAGTGGGTAAACTGCCGGAGCGTGGCCAAGGTGGTTATGCGAGGGAATCCCGGGGTTATTAGTGGCCGTCAAATCAGGTGATTGGGAGGTAGAAAGAATAGAGGAGGTCAATTCCAATGCCTCAGCAAAGCGACATTGCGTGTAGAGCGCCTCCGCCCTTGACAACAGGATATCTGGGTTATCGGCCAGGTTGTAGTGCGTAGAGAGGGTTTCCGTCGCATCTGAAAGGATGTTAGGTGCGGAATACTTGGAGAGGCGGGTGGTATAAAGCATCTTGGTAAAGTGTGCCGCCTCTTGGGCCACAGCGGGATCCGGCGAAACAATAGCATCAAAGTCAAGAGATTCTAGAAAATCCAACTCTTCCGTCGGGGACATGAGCGAGTTTTTCATGAGTTGATCAAATGCTTCGAAACATTGCACATCGATTCGCACCGCATCCTTGTAGCAGTCGCGGGCCCGGTCGAACGCATTCTGCTTTGCAAAGCACAGTCCGCGCAAGTAGCACATAGCCGCCTCAAACTTAACATTGTTCGTATCCTCTCTTTCACGATCTTCGCCTCGCTCCGCACGGATAGTGTGCTTTCCGTTCCTCAAAGTGACATGACTCTGGCCATTGAGATGTTGGATCTTTCGGCGGCTGTTATTATTCCGAAAGAGATCTGTCGGGTTATGCTCGCCAAGAATAGACAGCGCCTGTTCAAAGTGATTCTGTTTGATGTAGCAGTGGGCAGCGAGGTAGCGACAGGCGGTACTCCGTGAGACGAGATCTTTGCGGGATAATAGGGCCAATGCGCGTGTGAAATTATTGTTGGAGAAGTGGACCTGCGCAAGCCAAAAGGCGTCCGAATCACTGTCTGCAGAATTTGATCAGTCAGGTTGTCTCGGTTGCAGCACAATGAGAGGCATACTGGTCAGCGCAAGAACCTTGTCGCCAATGTAAATAGCGGAATCATGTTGGCCGCGATTCAACGCGTCCTGACGCCAGGAGCGAAGATACTTTTCCATCGCCACAGATCCAACACGTCTGGTTGGAGATACCTTCCAGTGGATGGTCGATAGGCATGGATTTCAACAAACCACTCTCGGAGAATTTGCCAGACAAGCAGCGCTGTCCAGGCTGCTCGTCTGAGCGGGTCGCGAACTTGTGGACAAAGAGTGGCCCGTGCACGACGCCCATTGGGGTGCAGCAGAAGATAAATGCCAATTGAAGGTGCTGCGCAGGAAGTAATTGAACGTGATACAGAACAATGGTTTCAAATAATTGAATTTCTTCTTGATGGGCTGTTGCCGCTGCCCATCAAAGTATATGAATCCTCTAAAATCAGCGAATGTCCCAAGTCGCAAGTCAACGAAGCGCATGTACTTTAGTCACGTTGTGTCTGTCACGTGCTGATATCACAATCGTCCAGCGTCCAGCGCCACTTCTTTCTTTCCAAGTCGACTCGCTCTTTCCCCCACCTCCTATACACACACTCCATACCACCAGCAATATGTCTGAGCGAAAGGTTTTGACCAAATATTATCCGCCAGACTTTGACCCGTCAGCGATCGGACGCACGCCAAAGCATCTTCGCCAAAAGGGTCCAAAGGTCATCACGGTCCGGTTGATGGCACCCTTCTCCATGAAATGCACGAACTGCGGCGAGTACATCTACCGCGGACGCAAGTTCAACGCTCGAAAGCAAACACTTGAGGAGAAATATCTGTCTATCCCGATCTATCGATTTTACATTCGCTGCACGCGCTGCAGCGGTGAGATCACGTTTCGCACTGATCCAAAGAGTAAGAACTGTTAATGGACTTCCCGGTCGTAACTGCAGATGCTTAAAAGACAATAGATATGGATTATGAATGCGAAAAAGGCGCAAAGCGAAATTTCGAGCCCTGGCGCGACGCCAAGTCTGAAAAGTATAAAGAAACAGAGGCAGAGACTCTGGATCGGCTAGAGCGCGAAGAAAACGAAGAACAGGAACAGCTAGAGCGCGATAAGATGGCCGAGCTGGAAGAAAAGATGCAAGACTCAAAGCGAGAGATGGCGATTGCAGATGCGCTTGACGAAATTCGAACACGCAATGCGCGCATTGCCCGAAGCGAGATGAAAGGCGATGAAGGAGCTTTGGATCTGATTCACAATGAGCTAGATGAGGATAAGTTGCAACAGGATATGGAGGACGAGGAGACGGCGCGGAAGGCTTTCATGACTGCTTCTGGCGAGCGGGTGAAGCGAATCGTGGACGAAGAAGAACCGGCCCCAACTGGACCATCGGAGGCGAAGCCTCTGCCTACTCAAATGCCTCCTCCGTCCACATCGTTCGCGCGAGTCAAGCGCCCAAAGAAGGCAGGCGTGAGCAGCCTGGGCATCAAGAAGAAGCCCTCTCTTGTTTAATTTGTTTTTCATGTCTAACATCCTTGGCGCCGGCGCCGGAACTTTTGAAATAATTTAGGACCTATGGCTACCTTGATTGCAAAGCTATAGAATAACGAACCATTCTTACAAGTTGATCGCATCCTCTCTTTAAGACCCCACTTTTTAGATAAAAACGAATACATTATCAGCTATTGGTTGGAACGAGGACAGGTCAAAACCAAAACAATCATACAGAAAATAACAAGGTATCAAAACAGGACAACCCAGGCTAAGAAAAACCGGAGAGCGAAACATTCTCTCCACACCAAAGCGCCACGCTCAAGAGCAAGCAGAGAACAGATTTGAAGAAACCGGCCCAGTTAAAATCCATCCAGCTATGCAAAACAGCCACCTTCTCTCCGACACTTAGGGGAATAGAGGTAGGTCAAAGCAGGAAAGAGCGAATCCAGCTTATAGATATGGCATCCACAATGCATCACATGAAGCCAAGTGCTGTGGGTTTACCGCCCGAGAGACAAGATCGATCGTAGTCTGATTGGCAGGCAAGTTGCCTTCAGGTGGGCTAGCAAGGCTGACAGCACGGTTCACAATGATCTCGCTGTTGTTGTAAACCAACTCGCGCAGCTGCGGAACCGGCAGGTTACCACGGTGCTGAGCAGTAGCCCAAAACATCATTTCGTCACGCACAAAGATGCTGAGCTGCTGCTCCAGCTCATGCCGTGGCTCCGTCAGGCAGCGTGCAATCGCCATCATGGCACAGGCAAACAGACCCTCGGTTGCAATGGGGCCGAGCAGGATTTGAATGTTAGGAGTAAACCTGAAGGGGACCTGCTCGGGGTTATAGAAAATCGCCTTAGCAGGGTTGATGGTCGGAATCAGCTCTGCGCCCCAAATGTCTCCTGTTGAACGAGAGACCAGAATCTTATTCGGATACCGGTTGCCAATATGCATAATATAAGTCATGAAGGCAACAGCTGCGTACTGGTAGGCAAATTGTCGGCGGAAGAGCCAGAAATCAGCAAAGTTTGGATATGTCTGCTGGAAGTACTCCAGGACCACGGTACTGGGAACCCATTTATCTTGAATGGCGGTTAAGATCTCAGTGCGAAGAACTTGCTGCTGATCAGCCGTGCGCTGAGGAGAGGTTAGTATTTGAAAGACAATAAGCATATTCTCCAGGACCTACATTCTGCTTCGTCTCTGCCAATGACCGCATTCGATCCATGGTGAACAGAACCGGCTCATCCTTATTCATACCCACTCGTCGACAGTAATCCTCATAGATGCCCTGCATGGAGATATAGGACGAATCATCGCGGACTAAGCGAATATGTGGTGCCAAGGGAACCATCAATGGAAGATGGAAGTACAGGTTGCGACGTCGGCTCTCTTTGCGCTTCGCCAAGAGCCCATTGAATATGCGGAACAATTGGAGAATACGTTCCTCGCGTCTGCAATGGCGAGCCGCTGGATGTTGAACAGCAAAAGCATGGATACTACCATCGTGGCCACGGATCTTTAGCCGACGATGGCACACGCCAATACCACGTACCAAATCCACGTCGGGTAGGAAGCGATCAATGCGAACAAAGTCCTGGTTCTTGTCTTTGTGAAGGAGATACTGTCCAGGAACCTCGACCTCATCAAACTTGAGGAAGCGGAACTCGCTAAGGTGTGGCGAATAGCTTTCAAGGAATCCAGACTGTAGACGACGATCAAGCTTCTCTTCAAATTTGTCACGCCAACGACGGAGCTTTTGGATGTACTCATGCATGGTGGGCTTCTTCACTACAAAGTCTGCTTCGAAAGACTTGCGAATGTGCGCGGGAAGAATTGTCTCTGCAAACCGGGTAATGTTGGCTTCCGTTGCAGTAGGCAACTTGAAGTCCTGGGCATAAGATACAGGCATCCTGCCGACGTAGGCCAACCCATCATTCAGAAGAGCAACGATGAGACGGTAAGCATCCTCATCAGGTGGGCACTTGAAGTTCTTGTGGATCTGGTCAACCATTGTCTCCATAGAGAGAGCAAGCAGCGGGAAAGCCGTCTTGAGACCAGACATAATCTCATCGGAATATTCCCACGGTTTCTTAAGGGGCTCCTTTTCGCTCGACTCCGTGGGAGCTGTGCCTTGATTCAGCTGTTGCTGGGACGTGCCAGTCTGGCCAGGAACTTGAAGGTGAGCTTGCTGTTGTCCTTGAGCCTGCTGCGGTTGGGCCAGGGCAGGGGGTCCCTGGCTGGGACTCTGCGCTTGGCCTGGACGCGGGGAAGCTTGCACCTGGCTCTGAGCCTGGGCCGGAGATTGACTCTGTGCGGGTTGGTTTTGAATCGGTGACTGGGCTGTCGACAGATTGGCTGGTTGACCAGCAGGAGAGGCGCTTGGGGGTGGAACGCTGGTTGGAGGCTTGGGAGCAGGGGACGCTTCACTACTTGCAGGGAGCTTTGTGATCGGAGATGATCCTTGCGGCTGCTGTTGTGCATTTTGCCGGGCCCGGTTGAGCTTTTCCTGTTTCTGATCATGCTGTTTCTTGATGCTAAGCATGTCCTCACGGTTCGTGCGAAGGAGGAAAAAGAGAGACTGGGGGTAGAGCTTGGCAATCTTCACCAGAACAGCCTTGCACAAGCGTGCTTCACGGTGAGACAAGCTCGTAAGAAGCTGGGGAATGAAGGTAATCCAGTACCACACTGGAGTATCGCCTTTGAAGTTCTCAAAGGCGCTGGCAATCTGGCCTTCATCATTATCCAAGCTGAGAAGCCACAGGATACGGCTGAGCAGCTTTCGGGACTTCGCGCTCTTGTAAAGGCCAGCAGCTTCCAGATAGCAGCTAACAGCATTGCTAGCCAACTCATAGTCGGCGGGGTCAGACTTGAATCGTTGATCACTGTACTGTCCCCATTCAGACCAGGCTTTTGCCAGTCGAAGATCATAGTAGAGGGCAACTCCAAAGGCCTCGTTGGCTTCATTCACATGGTCGAGTTTGGCGAGGAACATGCCCTTGAGAGTATAGAACTCGGCCTTCTGCTGAGGCCCAAAGTAGTTGAGATTGGTGTTGTTTATCACGTCCAATCCACTGTTGAGTTCCTTCGGATTCTGGTAGTGGCACTTGGCCTGTTCTCGAAGCTTAAGAAAGGCCTCCTGAATTTCAATGTTGGGCAGCGTGTAGATCCGACTAAGTTGGTTGATACAGACTTCGGGCATTTGATGTTTGCGAGCTACATGCGCGAACCGGTTGATGATCCAGGCCGTTTCATGGTATCCACGATAGGCATAAGAGTTGCTCGCCACGTTGTTGGTCTGGGGAGGAAGGAGACCTAGATAGGTTTGATTGATGAGCTGGAAGATGTGTTGTCGCCAAGTGACCAAGTCCTGCCATGTGTTGATATCATCCCACAGGTTCGGCAACCGGTCCCGCCAAGTTCCAAGAAGAAGTTTCAATTCGGCAGACTTGGTATCGAGGTTGCGCTCATTAGTTTGAGACAAACTGCCACAGATATGACTAGCATCATGCAGTTCAACCAGAAGCTGGAAGTGCTGCAGAATAGGAATGTGGGCGTTGGTTATTCGCTTAGGCAGCTGCAGCCATTTGCGAATTGACAATTGGATAGACTCATCACAAACACTGTTGAAGTCCTGCATGTTCTCTTTTTTCATGTGATATTGAAGGAGAGCCATGAAAGCCTGGAAGAAGGTTCGTCGTGGAGTGGGGGCGTCGGAAACGGATTTAATCAAGGACTCGAGCTGCTCACGAGTGCCTTCACTCTGCCAGTTCTCAATGTTCCTCCAAGCAGACTCCAGCAAGAGATCATTTAGATTCTCATGTTTGGCAAAATCACTCAAAATTTCCCATTGCTGAAGCTTCTGGGCACATATCAGCCAATGATCTTCCCAAACAAAGTACTCGCCTTGTGAGAATGGCATTGCTCCCGAGCGTGCCTTGATCTGAGCATTCTCGTAGAGCTGCTGTGACTTGTCCCACATGCCCTGTTGCTCATAAGACAGTGCCGCGTTGGTTTCGACAAACTTGCACCTACGGCGCCAAGTGCCGTAGAAAAAGTCGTCCTCTTGAAGACCTGCGTAGACCTCGACCAATGCGTCAAGATTACTCTCGCGGACAGTGGGGGTATCGATGATGGGCTTGATGGCGCTTTCCTCCAAATATGTCGCGGCAGTATACCAAGCATCATAGGTACGACTGAGATACTTCATGACATGTGGAGGAATCTTGAATCGTGGGCTAGCACGAACAACGCCTTCAAGGAGAGCCTGCACAACGTTGGGCCTCTTGTCTAATTGTCTCTGATGATATTCCCTGGTAAGCAGCGTGACCATGCCCTTCTCGAGGTCAATCCGGTCATCCTTGGCCAACGTAGACCAGAAGATGGGGAAAAGCGTGGTCCATAGCTTGTAAGCAACATTTGAGTCGGTGTGCTGCAGCTGGCATAGGGGCTCAATCAAATCACGAACCCTAACATCACCGACGTCGGACATGAATCGCTTGCGCTCGGCCACAAAAGTCTCCAACTGGCTATCGACCATTATATCAGATTTCCTCGAATCTTTGTCGCCGCCAGCAAAAAGGAACGACAACGGATACAAGGTAAAATCGTCCTGGTGTAAGCGGGCAGTGGTATTCATATCGACACATCCGAGAATCAAATGTGAAGCCTGAGCCAGCCAGAATGAGTCAGCGAGTGTGTCCCAATTTTGGCATGTCAACACGTAGCTAAGACGAGAGCTGGCAAGTCGAGTCAAGCTCTTATCAAAAATGGTCATGAAGCGGTTGCGCATTTCAACATCCTGGGCTCGAGTTCCAATCAAGAAGGCATGCTCCAGCCTGACCGTGAGTTCAGTACGAGTGATCTTCGAGTCTTCATAGATGCGGATGACAAGATCAAGGAACTTCTTCAGCATTGTTTGATCCGGTCGAGATTCGAAGAGTAGCATCTTGTGCAGAACTGCAGTCTTCTCCTTCAGGGTAGGCCAAGACTCGGTTGAGTGGAAGATCCATGATTCCGCCATACCTAGAACCTTGCTGCATAGCTTGATATTCTGAGACCGCTCTACAATCGACGCCAAAACGCTGAGAAACGGGCGTCGCTGATCTCCCAGATGGGACATGCGAACAGAAATGAGCTCAATAGTCTTGAAGATGAGATCGACGCCCAGTTCAAACTCCTGCTGGTCAGGAACTCCTTCTGTGGGCTTTTGGCCTTGCTGCAATTGTCCGGCGTTTTGGTTGGTTGAAGCTGCAACATGCTCCTTAGCCAGCTTCTGTGAGAATGCCTTCATGACAGCTGGGATATGCGTATCAATTTCGGCGGGCTTGATCTTGGACAGTGTCCATAGCGTATTCAAGCTTGATACATAATTGCTGGCCGAAAGAGTCTCAGTGGCAATCGCGGACAAGTATGTCGCAAACTCGGATGGAGAGCTCTCAGTATCCATTGCATCCTCGTCATCCGGCTGGTCATCTGGAATGGCCTCGAGAACACGACGGACTGGGGGAGGTAGCTTGGGTAAAATGTCCATCTCATCTTCCAGGCCGTGCAAACAATCCTGGATTTCAGGGTTGTCAGACTTGAGAGGTTTTTCAAGAAGCTTCTGAATGACTGACAAGCGAGCAGTGATCCACTCGTCTGGTTTAGCTGCGATGAGAACACGCAAAACCTGCAGGGCATTGACCAACGGGGTAACCTGCTTGTCATCGGGCTTGTCTGCCTTTTCACCTGCAAGGATGGGCTCCGTCACCTTCTGATATAGATCAATATCAAGGTCACTCCAGTAGTCCTTGGACAGAAGATTTCTAAGGAGCACCACGGCCTTGTTGATCATTTCGCCAGTTGGCACAGGCGGCGATGGTTTAGATGAGGTCATCTGACGAATTGAAGCCGCAGGTACCAGAAACCGCTCTGGGATTGTGGTGATAAAGGTGATGAGATACTTGATCAGAGCGCCACGGAGTTCAGAAGGCACGGTATAATCAGATCTTTCCCGAATAGACGGCGGTGCGAGAGACGGAGATGCAGACGCTGTCTCCCTTGCCTCTTCCAGCTTACGCTTCTTTGCATTTGGTGACTCAATTGCTCCATTGCTGACAGTAGGGTTAGATTCAGCGGCTTGAACACGCCTCTCCTCCCAGTGCCAAATCAAACCAATGAGGTTGAGTGCTAACTTCTTGCTGTCATTGGAAGTGTTTGGCGGTCCGGCAATCTTGATAAGCGAGGGTACAATGAGAGGTACAAAATGCTCCCGCGACTCGTAAAAGAGATCTGGCTGTCGTACTAAGAACTGGAAGATACTCATTACCTGTTGCAGGTTGGCGGTCTCTTCAGCCAAGATTCGGCGAGGCCACTTGGCCCACAAAGGGTAACGGGCCTCAGGGCCTTGGTTGCCCGCTGTTCGCGTGGGAAGCACCGGCGCCAAAACATCAAGAGCTTGAGTAACAAGAGCACGCCCTTCATTCTGGTGTGCTCTCAGTAAAGCAACGTACACTTGAATCACAATCTTGAAGGGTGTCTCATAATGGGCGATGAAGTAACTGATCAGCACATAGGCACCATATTTGTTGATGATATCCTCGAGACGAATATAATTCCAAGCGAACTTGATGATGTCCTTACGAGAGTCCTGTACGGTCTGGTGGTGATACTTGATCAACAGAGCAGACAATTGCAGTAGCTCCATGCGGGAATGATCAACCCCCGCCTGGCTCGACTCCTCGCTCAGGTCTGCCAATTGAGGCTTCCACAAACGGCTCTGGATAGATTCGGTCATGCTCTTGTCCATCAACTTGGGTGTGTTTGGTGGGCTGTTCCAAGTAGTTTGAACATCCATGGCAAATATTGGGTTTACCAGGTTGCGGAACGCGTAGGTTTTGGTCTTCTGGGAACAAGTGCGTTGTCCATAAAGATCAAGACAGCGCATAATGACAGATCGTCGGTAGTCTATGGACTCGTTGCTAATAATGTGCTTGTAGATAAATTTTGGAAGAGCAAGGGTGCGTTTCAGCTCGTCTGCAGACAAGCCGTCGATGACCTCGAAAAGGAAATCTAAGTCATGGGATGCCTCAGCCAGATAGGATGTAAAGATATCCATCAACTGATCCTCGGCTTGCTCGACTCGAAGGCGCTCATCAGGCGGCAGGCTATCGCCCCGCAGCTTTCTCTCAAGCTCTCTGCCGGAAATGAGAAGTTTTTGGCGCAAATCGGCATGAGAAACGAGCCATTCTTTGCTAGACTTGTACGAACAAATAGAGTGCGCGATATAGATTCCGTTGATGGCGACCGTATTCTTGCTTTCTTCTACCACATCACCTCCAAACGCATTTGAAGAGAAGGTCTCGGTATCAGCCATGACAGCATTGCGCAGTGCCTCGCTGTCAGGATCAGCCAGTATTTGACCGAAGAAGCGCCCGTAATTTTCTTTCTGAAAGCGGTCGGAGAAGAACTTCAAACTTTCCTTCGGATAGCGGTTGAGGTACTTCACGAGGGGTTTGCGAAATGGACTATGTGAGGTTCTGCGCAGTTTTCTCTCGAGATCGAGGACTTTGTCGATCAAATTCTCCATGAATGAGGTGGCAGCAGAGGGAAGAAGGTGAAAGATATTAAATATGGCGGCCACAATCTTCATAGCAGGATTTTGCTCAACAAGACTAAACGATACCTTCTGCAGAACAGTATCATCGGCGATAACCTTCATGTGGTCCAACAGGCGGGCACCAATCTCGACCTTGAAATAGTTCGTCAAGAGGGTCAAGAGACGCGCCAGGCCATCCAGACCAGCAACACTCAAGCGCTTAGGATCCTGTAAATTCATCAGAATTGGGCGCAAGCCATTTTGAAGCAAATCCTTCGGCAGCTTGTTGGTTTGTGTGAGGACATCCTTAAGACCAGCATTTGCCGCCTCAATGACCTCAGGAGCACGCGAATAGAGTGACTTGAAAAATACGGAGATTATCCGAGCTCGGCTGGTGTTCTGCGGAGTGTTGGCAAACTCAGGAAAACTCATAGCCATGGATAACAAACGCAAGCAAGCAACACGTAAATTCACAATCATGTCTGCATTTTTGAACTCATTCGGCTTGGAGGCAAGCGAATCATCATCCGCGTCAGCAAGCGCAAGAGATTCTAACATCAAGCGATTCAGTGGCTCATTGAACGTAACGATGTCGTTATGCAGGCCCAAGCAATATGTGATCGCATCGATGAACCCAATCTGTGTTGGGAAAGGCAGAGCACGCAATGGCTTATTGAAAATTGACTGCAGAAGACGATCCCTGACAGGGTAGATAAGTTCATGCACCTCACAGCCAAGTTCATCTTTCAATGTGGAGAAGCAAAGGCGAGAGGTCTCGCGAACATGTTTGTTCATATGTCCCAGCTCATAAACGAAAAGACCACAAAGAGAAAACAAGCGGCTTTTCTCGTTCTTAATGTCATTCTTAGGGATCAACTTGCCGCAGCGCTGAAGGATCAAAGTCATTGTTTCTTGGGACTGGATGCGCGTGGAGGCGGGAAGATCTGCAGGTGTATCCTTGATCACATAGAGTAAAGCGCGCGAGAATTCAACATGTCGTTCGTAAAGCCAAGAGTCTCCAAGGTCTAGCTTGGTAGCAAGAAGCTGAATTCCCAAGCTCCCGCCGGCCTTGGTAAACCATTCCTCGCTGTGGCAGCTGTGGCAGAAGACACGGCCCAGGTGTTGAAAAAATGGAAGCTTAGATGCTTTCTCAGGAGCGCCAAAGATCACACCTGCAGCTTCTTTAACAACCAGCAACGCCTGTTCGGCTGCCTCCCGAACATGAACGCTGTCGGAGGAAAGGCACTCAACTATAGCCTCAGCTAGGACACGGGAATCCAAATAGACAGGACCTTCTCCATTGGCAACATCAAAGGGTTTGCGACCGTGGCGGGCTTGAGCAAGTGCCCGACCGACCTCAACAATAGCAAAGTGCTTGCAAACATCAGCAACGAATGCAGTCGCAGACGGCTCGATGTCAGCAATAGTAGTAGCGAATATACAAGCCTTGAGGAGCTTCTTGACAGTGGTTTCCTGCACCACCTTCTTCGGAATGGAAGCAGTTCTCTCCGACTTCTCAAGAATATCAACCATGGCACCAGCTTTGACTTCAAAAAGGTCATTGGCATGGAGTCGAATGAGGGCACCCAAGTCATCGGGAAGATTTTCGTAACCGATCTGGAGCTTGAGATGCGAGCTCAGCATACGATAGGCCTGCTGCTTATAATATATGTCTGACGCCTTTGCTGATGCCGATTTAGGTGCCTCCATCAGTTTCCCAATGGCTAGATCGATACCAGTATCCACAGGGAAGGGCCGCTTTTCGCTGGGTCCAATGAGACGAATGTCGAAACTTGGATTGTCGTCCGCGTATTGTTTGAATGACAACTCAGGCGGGTGGTTCAAAAATTTGCGGTTCCGACCACCCAGCTTTCCGAGGATGCGCATCGTAGTGTGCGCATGGAAATGGTTATACGGATGAGGTCGAAGGTGGTCCCATAGGGCTGTCATTAATTCGTCCATGATCGGAGCCATGATAGGGTCGAGGTAGTCAGCTGTCAGGTTGTCGACGCAAAGCTCCAGGGTACGTAAGCCTTGCCCAACGAGGTCGGAATCAGCACGCAATGCCACCACAATCGGGCGCATCAAATAGCTTAAATGAGGAAGAAGGTGGCTTAGTCGAGCAGGCACTGTTAGCGTCAATTCAACATAGAGATCTCGCTCTTGGGGCTTGCGAGCGGCAAGGAGGAGGTTGTTGAAAGTTTCAAGAAGCATCTCCAGAAGAGGCAAAATCTCCTTGTATAAAAGTTCAAACCGCCCCCCACCAATGCTCCGGAATAAGGAACGGAGGAGAAGGAAATAGTTCATAGGCTCCTCAGCTGTGACCGACAGTTCAATGCATTTTGTAACAATCTTGGTCACATGTGGATGGAGAACCTGTTCATTCTGTACAGAGAACAATGTTACAGCCATAAACGAGAGCTTGAACATTCTGAGGAGGATTTTAGCCTTAGTCATTTCCGAGGTGCCAACCTCGTGAATACGTTCCATAAGATACTGCAGGACCATTCCCGAGAATGCGGGTGAAGTCGCCTCGCTAGCCAAGAAGAATTGCGGAAGGTGAAGCAAAGCACCATGCTCAAACATGAGCTCGTGAAGATAGGGAATTTCGGAATGGAAAACTTCGTGGAATGTCGCAGTATCAATGCAATGGAAAACGGTGCCAAAGCTCTCCAGGAGCTCTTTTTCTTCACGCGACATCGGTGCTGTGTACTGGCTGGCTAGGAAGTCGAATGGGGAGGAGTAATTCATCTCAGGTGGAGACTGATCCACGCCATAGTAACGGAACACACGAGCACCCTCATGAAAAAGCTTCTTGATCACCCGGACTTCTTCGGCATTATAACCATAGGATACCTCCGACCAATTTATGGGTACACTATTCGGATCGATCTGAACATCATCCGGGTTGCAGTTCTTCAGCTGGTGGAAGATGTTCTTCAATCCGTTGATGAGGTTTCTGAAGAGGAATATGTTATCCGAAACCGGGTCTCCGCCACGATCGCGGGGGCTTGAGGTCTTAATGGGAGAAGCAGAGAAGATGTCGATTTCATCCCAGTCGGGCGGCTGGTCCTTCTCCGCAAGATAACTCTCTGGTGACGCCTCTGTTTCTTTCCGAGATTCCTTATAGGCCTTTGAAACTTTAACGGCGTTGTTGAACTGATGGTTCATGGATGCAAACTTATCACCAATCGCATCAAGAATCATAATCAAGAAATACCGTGCCTCGCGCTTGTTTTCAAGCTTCGAAATCTTCTCCGCCATGTTCAAGAGCAGCTTTGCGCTCATCGTTTGGAAACTCGTACCCGGGAACTCATCATGAAGATTCTTTGTGTAGACTTCCACGGTTCGACGAATTTGGTCGCGGCTGAGATGATCTCGAACATGATGAATGAGATCTGCAAGCATACTGTAGGCCAGCGGACGCATCGTCTCATAAACGGTTAAGCCATCACCGATGAGCGTTCGCTCATCAAGAAGCTCATCAATCTTTTCGAGAAAGATCTTGCGATAATTAAAGTTGATGATGTGCCGAATAGCAACAAGCAATTCTTTGCGTGCACCGGATTTTTCCCGCGGGCAGTCCTGAAGCAGTCTGACAACCACGGTCGGCAGCGTGGGAAGAAAATCCTGAAGCTGATGAGCATACAAGCGGAGCAGATACGCCAAAAAGCTCATTGTTTTCACTTGAGCTGTGATGAACTCGCCAAAAGCGGCCCGATTCTTGATCTCCTTGCAAACTCCCGTGAAGATCGTGTTCCGCTCGCGCGCTTCGGCATGCGCCTTCTCTTGCGGTTTCGCTTGCAAAAGCAAAATGCTCTTAATAAGCGGAACAAAAAGTTTGACATTCTGAGCGACCGAAGCGCGGTGAGTCTGGAAGATCGAGACGACAATAATCGGGCACTCGGCAAGGACCTTGAAGGACTGCATGCCCTTCAAGATAACATTGCTAGCCTGCTGGTCTGGGCCCAGATCCGATACAGAAGTGGCAGGGGAGCTCGGGCGAGGGGACTGGAAGTTTTGTGCGCTTGCGTTCGGGGTCGATGGCATTCCGGAGGGTGTGGCTTGATTTGGCGTGTCGAAAGTATCTCGTACCACGTTTTCCATGGTCTGGAACATTTCCTGGATGAGTTCCAAGAAAGGCTGTACTCGAGCCGCTGTGGCCTTTGCCTGGTTCCGCTCCAGGTCCATGATGGTTTTCATACACAGGACCGCGTTTTCCTCATTCTCAATGCGCGCAAGGTCCATAAGCACGTCCACCATGTCTGCCGCGTAGGGTTCCACATCAGGCGAGGCCGTTGGTAGTCGATGAAGGGTCTCTAGAATACAATTGCGCAGTTTCTATATGGTGTTAGGGATTGAAATATTCTTCGCGCGAATGCGATCTTTGAGGACCAATGCGCCCTCGGGAAATAGCCAGCCGAGAATCTCACCTGCTCATATGACATGCTGAAGAAGACCGGATCTCCTTTCAGAATATTCTTAAAGACCGGCCAAAGCTTTGCCAAGAACACAGGGTAGCTTGCGCCCTGGCATAGCGGCTCAATGTTGTCTCGCAACTCGGTTGCGACATTTGCTCTGATTTTGACATCTGCGACGAAGTCGAACAAGTCAATATAGAAAATGACATGGATTAAGGACTTCAAACTGAGGTAATGTGATCCAACTTACCCAGCTTTTCATCCCCTAGTTTGGTGGAGTAAACATCAATATTCCGTTCCATGGCGGCGATCAACTCCCCTCGGAAGGGCCAGTCAAGGGAAAAGAATAGCAATCACGGCCAGGCCAAGAGGCCGGCTGATGTATTTCCAGCCGGCGCAGGGTTCTCAGGTCAGAATCTGGGGTTCATAAGCGACGAGAACAGAAGGGTGATCGAAAGCTCTGCGGGAGGCTGTGCAATAGGCCCGAAAAGATCGATCGGAGACGGAGTAGCGAAGTGAGGATCGGAATTCGTCAAGTCAATTAATGTTCAAGAAGGAATGACCACTCCATTGAAAAAAAGACCCGCAATGCACGTCGAGAAAAAAAGGGAATCCCCTAGGGTAGAGAGGCGCCGGGGGAGGGAAAGAGGGTGGTAAAATGTCAAGAGGATGGGGGAGGGCTGGAGATTGAAGCGCGCGAGACCTGGCCCCGAACAGAAAGCACCAGGACGCGGGCTATCGCAGAGACCCCGAACGAAACACTAGTCCGCTTTAGGTAATTCGGTACCAGTTGTTCCGCTCCGGGTCACGCGCGCCTAGTTAGCGACTAGACGCGCGGGAATCCTCAGGGGCCAGTGCCAGGTACCATTTACCTCATTCCAGCCTTAGGGTATGTGTCCATTCCGGTGCTGAGTACTTAGAAAATAGAAGGAACCTCGATTTCATTCATAATAATCTATTTCAACTATGGGGGGATTCAGTGGTACTGGGTGCGATAAACTTGCCACAGTCGAATTTCAAAAATGCACCTTCATAATTCCAAGGCGATAGATATCATGTCTCAGTACTGGTCTAAACGGAAAACTGGCAACACATAGAAAGGCCACCAACACAGGGTGATCGATAGATAAAAACGCCATTTGCACCCATTTTCCATAACCCGAACACGGTTCTAAGACGGAATCCAACTCAGAGGTCCGCTCAGTGATCATAGGCCCAATATGGGAGCCATCACAGAAGGGGAAATATCAGAAAGGAAAAGAAAGCCATGTACACAGATAAGAGAACAGAAAGACATGGAAATGATAGAGAGAAAGAAAGAAGAGAGGGCAGAAGAGAGGCACTGTCGAAGCAGGGATAGGGCATCAATCCGGGCGAAAATCAAGACAACAGAGAAAAACATTTGTTGCAGCCCATGTTCGCTATGCCATGTTTGCAGAAAATCAACGGAAGTCACATGTCCATTCCTCGCCCCCATATCACCTTCCAAAACATCATTTGGTCGAATTGCTTCGATGCAGGATCTGTACATTGGTCACGCTGGTACCACTGCCAACCGAGCGTCGTCGCGGGCGAATCTCGCTACCGCTGCCACTCCGTCGTCTCCGGGTACCGCGAATGGAGCCACGGCGTCGTGTCTGGACCAAAACGGACGTTTCCACGTTAGAATCACGCTGGCTGTAAACGAATGGACATGGTGTCTTAGCAAAAAGGCAAATACAAGGACTCAGAAGGCGACGGATGGTGGAGACGAATTAAAGGGGTCCCGTATGGGGATGCATGCGTCTGAACAGACCCCAAAAGCAGGAATCAGAGATGCTTCGGACTTACCGAAGTTGGGGTTCCCTCCCGCGCAGGCCGCTCCTTGGATACCTCGGTTTCCTCTTGGAGCTTCAGAGTGTTCAAACGCTTCTGACTTTCGTTGGTCATGGCCTCCACTTCGTCAATCGGCTCCGGCACGTTGAGAGTGGGTGCAGGAGGAGGCGGAGCACCATTCTTCCTCATCGTCGCCTGTTGTTCAATCAGATCCCATCGATCTTGGCGTGTCTTCTCCCGTTGATCGGCGCTGTTTTGGTGCTCGGTATATTCGTGAGAACACTCATCGAATAGCTGTGGGTTGATCTCCATAAACATCTTCATGGCATTGTACACCATGCTGTGGATAGTCCTGTGAGTCAATGCTTAGCAAGTCGGTCCTCATTGGTACAATCTAAACGAAATTAATATATCTGAACGAACCGGTTCCAGTGCCCCTTCGAATTCTCATAGAGAGGAGCAAACATGATTGGAAGGATTGTTTCCACGTTGTCGCTGACAAGGTTACAAAAGTACTCGTTGTTCCAGAAGTAAAGAGCACGTTCGGCAACCTACAGTGAAAAAGAAATCATTACGAATTAGTGTTGGAGCCCTACAAGAAAGAGGCGCCGCTTATATCTTCATGAATAACATACCTGGAAATGTGGACTGGCTACCGATTTAGCCAGCTGATGGAAAAGAGGCTCTTGGACCTTTGCAAACTCTCCGGGGTCCATAACCTCGAAGATGTCCTCAACCTCGTTCAGATACATCACTTCTTTGGTGCTATTTGTCTTCGGCCAATAACGCAACAATCCAAGAACAACCTACGATGCAGGTAAGTATGTTTAAGAGAGAAAAATGATCAAGATGGTCGCTTCAGGAGGAGCGATAGTGTTGGTTTGGGGAGGGGGTGGGGGGTAAAAAAAACTTACGTCTTCGGTCAAGCTAGAATCCTTCTCCAGGAACTGGACAATGCAGTAAGCTAATTGAGGGTGATACATGCTCAGACTCTTCACCTTGTGCATGGGCAGTAAAACGCGAGTCAAGAACAACTTGTGCTCCTCCTTAAGCGGCAGGGCAAATCCGTTGATGATTGAACCCAAGATCTCCAGCAATTCAGCAATACCGTTGTGTCGCTCTGTTTCATACATGAACTGGAAGAAGACGTTGTTGATAGATCGCCGAATGTAGGAACGCAGATTCAAAAATTTGCCGTAAATACGATGCAAGGTAGTTTTCAGAAAATCACGCTCCCGAGGGTCTTCCGAGTCAAAGAGGTCCAGCAACTGTGCATGTCATTAGCGATCGCCTTTTCTCAGTAGAAACGATATGCCGATCCCATACCTGGAGGACAAATTGATGATCGATATAAGCCTTTGCGATATTGGTGTTGAAGTCTTGGCTCTCAATAAATCGAAGGAAGAACTCGTAAACAACTTGGATGTGGGGCCAGGCCACCTCGAGGACAGGCTCGTCTTCCTCGGGGTCGAACGCTTCACCCTGTGGTGTCATAGGCGGGGGGATCGGGCGAAAGAGATTCTTCGCAAACATTTCCACGACACGAGGGTACATGGGCTCTGTGATTACAGATCGGTTATTGGCAACGTAATCTAAGAGCTCGTGGAGAGCCAGCCTCTTGATCTCCTTGGACTTCATGTCGGCAGTGGGGTCATTGAAATCGAAAATAATGTTGCACTGGTCAATCTTCTGCATGAAGAGATCCTGGCGCCGGTTGGGAGCCACTTCGTGGAAGCCCGGCAACTTCTCCAGTTCTCGTTGACGCTGATCCGAAATGTCGAATCGCGAGGAGTGCTGGCGCTTCGGGGTGCGGATACCCTCCGACATATCTTTTGGGGTGGTTTGCAGGCGATCGAAGACGTGGGATTTCCTCGGAGGTGCCAGATCTCCGGGCATCGTCTCGGCGGCACCGGGGGAGGCGCATGCTGTATGCACAGAAAAGTATCGGTCAGCCTATTCTTAGCACTGAGGGGAGCACCGCGGAGACCTCGTTCTTACCGGCGCACTGGGACTAATGATCACACTGGGGGCTACTGGCTGGCCCTGCCTTGTCGGGGTACCCGGGCCATTGCTCACGGGCTGACCCGCGACCCCGGCTCCCGAAGGTATATAATGTTGGGCTGGCGCCCCGGGCACGGCACCAGTCGACGGAGTGCCGGCTGGCGAGCTATTGTCCGGCGATTTGCCTCGTGCATCATTCAAGGAGGTTGTAGATGATGTCGGGGTGCCCTGGTTTGGCGAAGCCGACTGCTGTGTCTGGTGAATTCCGAGAGAGGTTTGGTTTTGCGATGCGTGAGAGGGGTCTTTCTTCTTCGAGGACTTGTTGGCGTCCTTGGCCCGCGACAACTGCTCGTGCTAATCAGAACGAAGAAAAAGAAAAGTGTTAGTCTAGATATACGTCGGTCAAGGAGATTGGGACTGCCATCTGTATAGTGGGGACGGGGGAGAGGGAGGGGGAGGGGGGAGGGGGAGCGGAGGTGATCGTGCGGTGAGAAGGACCACAAGGAAGACTCACCACTCTCTGTCTGAATCCCTTCATCTTTCAATCCAGTATGGACAGCCACATGTACTCTGCAGAGAATTTCCGTGCTATGGCAGCGGGTCGCAGCACTCGAGCCAGAGCGAGTCGGACGAGGGCCAACGGGGAGTTGGGGGAGGTGACCGCTCGAGTAAAGCCACGAAGGGGAACAGGAAAGGAGATTGATCTGTATCGACCTAGGAGTAAAATTTCATGAGCGCTCTATCTCACAGTAGATAGGATGGCGATCAGGGTCACGTCGAATCCCATCCACTGGATCCGAGACATGGATGGTAAGATTGTTTGCAGGGAGTTGAGTCGCCATGGAGGCACCGAACGGGGGGGGGGAGGGCGGATGGGGATGTCGCAGCATGCGCACGGGGCCGGCGACCTCAATGCTGAGGCAACGGAGAGGGCAGACGACGGACAAGCAGTGAGGCCTACCTGATTAACTGGGGATGGGACAATTGGTATTCGGGGTGTTGAGAGCACAAAGACAGGGCGCGCAGATGTCGGTATCAGGACGTGTTGGGTCCGCTCTGGAAGGATATCCGTGTCGCTTAGTAGCAGGCTGGGAGCGGGGAGGGGGTGAGGAGGATGGATGTTAATCGAAAGCGCCAGTGCCACTGGACTCCGCGGCCAGGGTGAATGAGCCAGTTCAACCGGTACTGGAGAGAGGAGCGGGGGAGAGCAAATGGAGAATCGGGGTGGAGGAGGAAGGGGAGGGTTTAGGAAAGGCGGGTTCTCCTGGCCGTGATGGTGATGGCGGGAGGGGGCTTTGGGGCCTGAGAGAAGGCCCGTCCATCCACGCGAGGAGAACCTCCACGCCGCCTTCTTGCTCTTCCCCGGGAGCACGCTCTCTCTGTATTTCTACGACATCTTTCGGGGATTTACTTGCGTTACGGACTGGCTCGCCGGCTCCAGGGTTTAAGCTCTGGTGCTGGCTTTATTGTGTATGGCCTTTTCCCGCTTCGTTCGTCTTATGTCATCGTGGTCACGTGGCTCCAGGGGCAACAAGAGGGACGGGAGACACGCGATGCAGCAGAGGAGATGAATAATGACAGAGAGAGAGAGAGAGAGAGAGAGAGAGAGAGAGAGAGAGAGAGAGAGAGAGAAGGTCAATCCTAAGTCGGCAGTTCTAGTGGCGTGAATCGTCATGTCGTTCGTTCATTGGAGAAGCGTGTGCACCCATCCTGAACCCGTCGGGCGCTTTCTCTCTGCCTCGCCAATTATATACATATATACACAGCGGCACACATATTCGAGTGGGAGGTACTTCCGACGTCGAGGGAACAGCCAGCAGAACTACCCACTGGATTACTTCCCCCGAAGCAACATCGAACCCTGACCGATGTCATCATCATCACAATGAAAAAAAAATTTAAAAATAATAATAACAATAACGACGACAATAATAAAACCGTATCCCAAGGACCCGCGAGTTTGATGAAACTTTGGGATATTCATTGGTGACCCGTGGGATCGCCCAGTTAGCCGCTTCCACGCTCGACTCCCGGTCGCTTAGTCATCACTCATCACAAGCCGCCTCCAACTCCAAGAGACCAGAACTGCAGGGCGCATGGAAACCGAGACCACAGCCACAAAGACCACAAAAACCCCCAAAGACACAAAGGGGCGTGTGTCTTCTTCTGAGTGGCCGAGTCACTTTCGACGGCCTCGGCAATGGAACATGTTTGAACCAAGCCGCTCCCCGTAAAGCTGCAATCGGCCTTGATCCGCCAACCACCCACTAGGAAACGAGCCCGGGGGTGCTCTCTACATATACACACTTCTTGAGACGCCCACAACAGCATGGATCCACATCGCGAGTCTCGCAATGCGCTGTTCTACCAGATCCCTTCTCGGGAATTGGTCAGCGTCGAGCATCCGGCTGTGATCCGCAACATTGACAGGGCAATCGAAACGCTTCAGAGCAATGTAGGGATCCAAAAGGTGAGTGCGAACCTGTACACCCTGAGATAGCACCTTAAACCCCTACCCTCCTCGCCCGGTCAGTTGCAGAGCTTGGGGAAGGGGACGAGGTGGTATGAAGCCAGAATGGAGCCATGTTTTAACGAGTCTCAGATTCTCAATCCGGTCAAGCCCAACGCGTCGGCCAATCTCATATTGCGGCCAGAAGATGCGATGGCCCGACCGATTTTGTCGACCAGCTTGCCATCCAATAACGTGCTGCTTAAAGTCACGGTTCCTAAGCGCACTGGCCGGAAGCGCAGGAGAGGTTCTGGCCAGCCCTTCACAGACGCCGAACCCTCAAATTCATCAGTTCCGGACTCAACGGGAGAAATCTCCACTCGGCGGACCGCAAAGGACCTCCTGCGCAGTCTGATGGATAATCCCTCCAGCTATACCATTGAAGCTGTAGGCAAAGTAGAACGGACCCACGTCTTTCGAGGTTGGTTCTCATCATTCTCTACTCCGGATGTGGATAGGTTATCCTTGATTGTCATGATCTTCCCGAAGATGATTCATATGATGTATCTGACCCTAGACGTATTCACAGGCATGCCGGACTTTGTGTACTCGACGACGAATAGCGCATTCACCAACAAATTCCGCGACCTTATCCTTCCTTATGACTGTAAGGTCTTCATCCAACCATTCGTCATACTCTTTTCTTTCGAATGAATACAAAGCGACATATACTGATGAATACAGTGGAAAAACTGAAGCAGTTCGACATCGACATGAGCAAGGGTGCTACCAAGGGCGCTGACCTTATTCCACCGCCGGTTTTTAGCCAGACAGAAGTGCCTTTCCAGTACATGTGTGTGCAGCCTATACCGTCTTTCTACATTAATCTACTCTCCTTCCCACTCGAGCCTTTAGATCGCTTGGGAGCGACTGACATGTTTCTCATTCATCCAGCTACCGGCAAAACCCAACCGTCCGAAAGTCGGTTGGTCAGTCTGGTGAAATCACCACTGTCAATACTCAACAGGCTCAGAAAGTTCACACGCATCTGGTGGTATACGATGCACCCGAAGTCCCCTCCAGTCCGCATCCAGACATGCCTCCGCTGGAGACCCTCGAAAGCAACCTCCGTTCACTCATAGATCACCTCGCCAAGCTCTTCGAGCAGCGTCCCGCCTGGACCCGGCGCGCCCTGCGCAATTACCTCACCTCCGATGAACAGCGCAGCTTGCTCCGACATGCCGTCCCCTATGTTGGGTATGTCTTCCGTTCGGGCCCCTGGCGCGATGCCATCCTCAAGCTGGGTCACGATCCCCGCACCGATCCCGCCTATCGCGACTACCAGACCTTCATGTTCCGCCTCATCCCGCGTGAAAATGACGCCGCGCGTGAGGGCACCGGTGGGGGCCGCCGCTACAATCCGCCCCGTCTGGACGAAAACCCGGCCGTACCTTCCACCAGCGCCGGTGCCCCCGACACGCACCTCTTCCGTAGCGAGCTGCCATTACCGCGTGACGGCCGCATTTGGATGGCTTGCGACATTAAGGATCCGTTGCTGGCAGGTATCCTGTATCCAGACCAGCCGGCGGAGGACTTTCTCCGCCCAACGTGTGAGGTCATCACCGACGGATGGTTTGGCAACGGGGTTATGGGCAAAGTCAAGACCATTATGCGGGCCAAAATCCAGATGCTTATCGAGAATCGTCAGCCCCGGGACGCTGATTTCCGTCAGATCGTGGCGTTCCCAGACCATGCGGTCACGGAGGCGGATCTGGCGCAGTTCACTGTCGATCTCGAAACGGCATCGAGTCGGGAGATCCAGCTGGCAACGGAGGTGCGGGCGTCAATCAAGGGCGCCCCACTGTGGCGGCGAGTGCATGATTTACCCCAGACGGAGGGAGATAAGTATCGGGGGCGGGGCCCAGCGCGGTCCAGGAAAGGGAAGTCGGTGGTATTTGAGGAACCGGAGCTGGACGATGACGACGACGACGACGAGGAGGAGGAGGAAAGCGAGGGCGAGGAAGAGGAGATGGAACGAACAGAGATGTTGGAGGCACAGGTTGCCGCCGCCTTAGCAGCGAGGGCCGCGGCGGATACGAAGGGAAATGGAGAAGAGGGAGAGAATGCCGAGGGGCACAATGAGACGGATGATAATTGATGACCGCATCAGCGTCAGGGCTTTTCAGGGAATTGCTCTTCAAAGCAGAATGGCACAGCTCGTCCTTAGCATATAAGGATTGATTTACAATTGGTAGTTTTTTTTTGCTGCCTGCGGAATTGACCATTTTATATACCGGCTGCGAGAGAGCGCGCACGAGAGAAGAATTCATTTCAACCGTTTTTAGAAAGCTCGAGGAAACCTAACGCAATTCGTTTGCGGAATACAATTCATGACTTCAGACATTAGACATGACAGACGCTCTCATCAATAAAAAGTCAACGAAGAAAGCAGGAGCAGGAAATAGTGGAGAAAGCAGAACTGAGCACAGGCAATTGCGACACAACAGGACAGGGTATTCAAGAAGCCGGGATATATTAAGAAAAGAGCAACCGGCGAGAAAGAGACATGATCATGAACGCCAAGAAATATTTAGATCGGACCAAAAGATGATAAGACGAAAACACCACATCGCCCGAAAGAGAGATGGTCGAAGAACGCAGAGACGCCGAAGCAAATGCAAATGCAAATGATGTGGAGATGGGGGAGAGAGAGAGAGAGCTGTTTGGGAAGATTTGCTTTATTCCTCGCTTCTCTCTGGAAAAGCCTCTGTCACTGGCCGGGGAGGAGCTACCGATCCCAGCAACGACGCAATCGAGGCCGTGATGGTGGGCGGCACAAAAATTGCCTGGCTGGGTGGCAGCGGGACCATGATCTTCTTCGCCTCGGAGCCTTTCTCGACCTCCTCATCATCCACCACGACAAACGAGAATGCATGGCAGCCTTCAGCATAGAAGTCGGCGGCCGGGAGCTCCCCGAGAGGGGCGCGATCCTCTTCCATCTGGGAAACTTTTCGGGCCGCAGCCGCAGCCCGGGTGATTACCAGGTGCGAGGGAGGATTGTCGAGGGTCCATTCGGTGGGAGGCACGTTCTCCTTGCCACGGCTGTCGACAGCTGCGGCCTTGCTCTCGTCATCGCTGATATCCAATACGCCGGTGGAGTGCTGCATCAGGTTGGTCATCTCTTCCTGCTCGGAGTCGACGTGGATGTCGAAGAACCAGGAAGCGGGGCTTTTGGACTGAGACGGGGGCTTTGGAGTCGCCTTGCCCTGGGACAGGGCGGTCGCGAGGGAGAACGGGCGCGTCACGCCGCCGCGCTTGATCGGTTCTGGACGCGGCTTCGTCGTGGTCGACCCGCGACCGACGGGCCGGGCGGATGATTTGGATGACTTCGAAGGAGGCGACCGGCCGGCCGGTCGGAGGATGGGCGCAGAACGAGGTGTAGATAGCGATTTGTGGAGGGGAGTCGACACTCGGCTCGTCTGGTGATGGTTGTTGTTTTGGGGGTGAGAGCAAAGCGGGATGACTTGAGGGGCTTGGGGGATCCCTTGCCGGTCTCATCGTCCTCCTCGCCGGTGCGTTTGCGTTTGGCGGAGAGGCTCACCCCAATTGGATCAATGTTTTCCGCATCATCCACAAAGAAAGCGGGTTTGGCCGAGATGGTGGTACCTGCGGTTGGGCGATGGATGAGTATACCGGAGGTTCCAGCACAGGGACTGGGGGGAACAGGAACTGGGGCCTCATACCGGCTTGCTGGTTCTGGCGGTTGAGTTTGGACCGCATCAGCGAGCGCATCCTGGGGGAGTCCAGGCTGGCAAAGGGCTGACGAGTGGGAGGCGTCATGGTGAGTGTCGCCATGACGAGAGAGCAGGACGAGGCCGAGGGGAGTTTGTTTTGGGGTCGGCACCCGAAGTGGGGAACAAGATCGAATAACGCCCCGAGAGGAGGCGGTCTACGCTAGAACTCCCGGTCGATCCCCGGCCGCAGAACCGAGGAAATCCCAGAGGGAGGGAGAGACCCAGACGAGGATTGATGATTTTTATAGAGGAATTGAGGGACTGAGGCCTTGAAAATCGGGGACCAGCGTTCAAGGCTGGAAGGAGATACTGGGTGGATGTAAGTATGTAAAAAAGAGAGCAAGAGAGAGAGAGAGAGAGAGAGAGAGAGAGAGAGAGAGAGAGAGAGAGAGAGAGAGAGAGAGAGAGAGAACACTATAGAACGAGCAGGGAACAGAGAGCGAGACCGCGAGTGAGACAGGAGGAGGTGGCGAGGCCCGTCTAGATATAATGCGAGTCGTGGGATCGAGGCAAGGAGGGGGGTTGCGACGAGTATTTCACGCCCGCATTGGCGCGTGTCGCGTTCGCATGCAAGGCGCCCGCGTCCGAGCATGATTGGCAGGCGGACGAGACGGGGTACGGAAAGGGTAAGAGTTTGTACGCAGGATAACAGCAGGATAGCAGCAGTCTAGCAGCAGTCTAGCAGCAGTCTAGTCGTAAGATAATAATAGAATACCGTGCATACTGGCATACTGGCATACTGGCATACTGGCATACTGGCATACTGGCCCCATACCGGTTCCTCAGCGTGGCGGGGCCTGCCAGCCCATCATTGCGGGAGCCCTCGTATCATCCTGGTATGGAGGAATGCCAACAAGGACAAGGTGATATCCTCCGGACACTCGAGAGCGTCAGCCTCAGGGTTGAAAGTTGAAAGCTGGAGAATTGAAGAGTGGAAGAGTGGAAGAGTTGGTGAAGTTCATAGTTAGGTTAATCTATCGAATCTAGGTCCACTCTATCCCCCCTCCGATCCCTCCGATCCCCCGACGATGTCTACTTCTGCCTCATGACCGAGCAGGGGGAAAGAAGGGGTATCTGCCTGATCGGGGAGACCTGATTCGACGGCGCGGACCAATTGGATCCGAGGCGTCTTAAAGAGAACAATTGATAGTCGAGACACAATGGAGCGCCTCGGCGGGAGCCATTTGTCGAGTTCGCATGGATGAACCCCAACATCTGGCCTCTCGCTCGAGTCGCCAACGTCGAGTTACGACAAGGGCATGATAACCTCCATGCGTCCGCACTCCACTAGATCCACTGGATTCCAGATCACTTGGGAGGAGGGGGGCAGTCATCCCTGCGACGCGTCAGGTTCACGGGTTCGCGAGTTCACGGGTGCGTGATTTCGTAATTTCGGGGTTCGTGATCGATGGTTCGGCACGGGTATCGGGTACCTTCTCCCGGCGCCAGTGGGGTCCCCCAGACGGAGTACTCGGTACTGCGGCCCAGTCCGCGGTTTCTTGGACGCGCGACGCGCCGTGTTCGACGTCCGACACGCGATTTAGCAATGCCATCCTGCACCCTGCACCGCTGCCCCCTTTGGCCCCTCTCTGGCTCTCCTGGAAGCCGGAGTCCATCCCTCATCGGGACCGCATCCTGCCAACGCATCCATTCTAAACCCCATTCCATTGGACCCTCCCCCTCCCTCCCATACCGTCCCCGTCCCGGACGCGCTGGACGGGTGAAACGGCGTGAGTGAGAGCGAGAGAGATGCACCATCGAGTCCGACCAGAGCCAATCTCCAAGCACTCGCTCAGACAGATGAGACAATGCAGGAGACGGAAAGGGGTCGGCAAAAACCAGTGTGTCTGGGGCATTCATGTTACGTTGGTGGTATGTACTATGGATGAATATAGATCGTGACGATGGAGTGGGATGTCGAGAAAGTTTCAACAAGGATAAGACAAGACAAGACCCCATCTCCACACGATGGACTGATAAAATACCCAGAGTGGAAAGAAAGAAATGCAGAAGCCAAAGACAACAAAGACAACAAAGACAACAAAGGCGTAAAATTAATTGTACGTCATGTCCCGCTGCAAAATGGTTCTATATCAATGAGGATCATGAGTATCATGAAGCGATGAGGAGATAATATACATGAAGGGGACCGGATGCAATCCGGTCCTGGAATGACCCAGCCATTCCTCTTTCTCATCCAAATCCCCACTGTCGTCGTCTGCTCGGCCGGACGACCTGTCTAGACCTCATCCTCAAATGGAATGCTGTCCATCGCACCCTGACGTTCAACTGCGCGGGCCGACGCGCGGGCGGCCAGCCGCATCGCCTCGTCCATCACGGTCCCGTATCGATATGGTTTCTCGACAGCCGTTAGGGCCTGCCCGGCCTTACCCTCCACACGACGTTGTTCGCGCCACCGGGCCACTTGGACCGCATATGCGCCCACAAACGTATCCCCCGCGGCGGTGGTGTCGAGTACCTGAGCCACCGGGACCGCTGGGATCTCGTTCGTGCAGCGTTGCTGTCCATCGCTGGGCCCTGAGGTTCCCCCCTGCATCGCGCTATACCATGCCCCCTTGGCGCCCAGCGTGATCAGCACATAACTGACCCCCAGCGCATGAAAGTATCGAGCCACCTTCTCTTTCGCGTCCAAGTCCGCCGCATCGGGCACCACGCGGAGCAATTGCTCGTCCGGCGGGGTCATCAGCTCGGCCTCCGTTTCGTTCAGGATCAAGTGGTCGACCGCGGCATAGACGTCCTCGGGGAGCCCACCTGGTGGCGCTGGGGCTGGGTTCAATATCACATCAGGCCCGACCTCGATGCCACGCGTGCCCGCCGCCCACCGCTGCGCCTTGAAGCTCGCCACCTCTCGCAGGATCCCGACGACCGTGGCCACAGGGATCTCGCCCTGCATCACGATCACGTCCGGCACGGGAGCGGCCAGTGCCGTGCTGAGCACCTCCGAGGTGGGTTGCATGCCGCTGTAGTTGGCGCCGGGGGAGAACAGTATGCGGTTCTCGCCGCCCGCAGAGGCGTCCACAATGATCACGGCCACCCCCGTGTAGGCATTTTCGATCACGCGCACCGGGGACGGGTCCACGCCGGACTTTTCCAGCGTGGGCTTGAGCAGCGCGGTGAAGTGGCCGTCCAGGGCGCCGACAGCCCCCACCATCTCGACCTTGATGTCCCCGCGGGCATTCAGACCCTCGGCGGAGGACTTGGCCCGGGACATCCGACCGCAGGCGACGGCCTGGTTGGCGCCCTTGCCACCGGCACTGGTGAAATAGGAGGATGCGGTGATGGTCTCGCCAGGGTTGGGGAATCGGGGCGTCACCGAGACCATGTCGGCATTGAGCGAACCGATGACTCGGATGAGAGGGGCCATGGTTGTTTGGGTTGGAGATCGGCTTTGGGTGTGCTAAGGGCGAAGCAGTGACAAGAGGGAACAGCAGCAGCCGTGAAAGTGTAATGACCCAGTAAACTCAATGATCCAGGAGTCTCGGTCAGCGCTCTCTTAAGTTCTAGAATAAGTAGGGGGAGGTGAGGGGTTAGAGCGAGGGCCGTTTGAGGAGCAATTGTGCAATTGCAAACGAAGGATATTGAATCTATCGGAAAGAGGGAAAAGAAAAGTAAACAAGGATCACGGCAAAGAGGTGACTGATCCCCGTGAATGGTGTATCTCTTCCTTCGTCCTGGAGAAGGAGAAAGAGAAGGTGGAGGAGTGAAGAGGGCGAGAATGAAGTGACGTGAAGGCTCCACTGCGCTGGTCGTGATTGGCCCAACTACGTACTACAGCGACTCGACAGATACGGAGCGACGTGACGGAGGATATACAAGAACCAAAGCATAGTGATCTTTCTCAACCAGTCTGACTAGATCCCATCCAAGATCGATTTCCAGTTCGACATTGGTCCACTTATACGGGTCCCCCTTCCCTGGACTGACGGTGCTGAATGACAGACGAGCCTTTAGGTAGTATATGCATTAGTTCTGTCCTTCAACCACTCAATCTCTTCTCCTGATATAGCAAATTTTCTATTCTCCAAGGTTCTCAGGCTTGAAGTCGCCCGTGATCTCTCCAGCATTTCTGACGTACTTTCATTCAGACATACAAAGACCGGGTATGGACCGAGCCTTCAATGAGCCCGGGAAGCGACCTCGACTGGGCTGGGCTGGAGGAGCCAAAATGGGCAAGGCAAGAGTCACCCCCGGAACCTCACAACATGATCCCTCAACAAGATCTAGCACCTCACCACCTTTCCTTTTCATCCTCCATGACTCTCTTATCCTCCATTTGAGCCACGCCTGATCTGCACCAGGCTCCGACGCCTCTACCTCACATTGCCTTCTTGGGTCTTTCAGATAGCCATGTTCGTGGTAGTGAACCATACTCTCACCGAGGAACACCCCCAAGACGGTCAAATCCCGGACTCCGAGGAAGATGAGCAGTCAGAGAATGCCCAGCCCTATAATATAGACACATCGCTGATTCAACAACAGGGAAAATCTAAAGCGCGGACAGCGCCGTCTTTCACCCTCCCTCTCACCATTTGGGGTTGAGGAGTGGGAGGAGGACCAAGGAAGATATCGTCGATCGCTGTCGCCTTCACCCGACCAGGTAAGAGCTTTGATCGCGAGGTTTGCACTCGACTACGGCCCACAGGGCAGTGGAACCTCACGGTGCGCTCGCAAACGCAAGAGATCGGTTTCATCGGCTTCCTCTCTAGTCGTCGGACCGCCTAGTCCAGCCAGCTACGGCACATTAGACAATACGAAGTCTCGCAAGCGCAAAAGGTCGGTTACATGGACTTCCTCTCAACTCGACAACCCCGCCAATCAAACCAAAGAGTCCACTTTCAAAGGTCTCATCATTCACAAGAGCCGCCCTCAAGCAATGGACTTCGCCTTGGAAGCCGACAGACCGCCGTTCAGAACGAAGAACACCTTCCGCCACATCTTTTGGACAGATGGATCTATCATCCGCCAGAACGCAGCAGGGTCAGTGGTGTGGCGCAGTCCGCCTGGTTTCAAGAGCTGGGACCACCGCAGCTTCTGGGTCCCCTTTGAGACACCTTGTACGGATCTGGTGGAGATGTTTGCTATTTCCAACGCGTTATTGCTGGCGACCTATCAAGTCCAGGAATCCCAATCAGAGGTCAACTCCAAGAATTCACAGATCGAGGGCGGGGGCCAAATTCAGCAGCCCCAGCTCCTCCACCAAGTCTTTGTTTTTACTGATTCTGTTGGGGCCCTCACGAGAATTGAGAATGAGGCCCAGGGGAGACACTCACCCGCTTACTGTGATGAGGCACACGCAATCATCAACTACAGCTCTCAGCTCCAAAGTCTGGGCGCCACGCTAGAGTTACATCTAGTTCCTGGACATTCAAGTGTTCCGGGCAATGAAAGGGCTCACCGGGTTGCAAAAAAGGCGGCTCAAAGCCTCACAGAAAGCCGCGGATTTTCAGGGCCAGCAGAACGTCGTCATGGTCCCAAGCCTACAGATGATCAGGTGTTGAGACCAATTAAATTGGCTGATAGCCAGGCCATAAGTGGAAAGAATTCGACACCAGCGATTCCTCACTATGACCTCCAAAGCATCCAAGATCCAGCCTTGGGCTCAGATGACTCAACAGAGTCAATTAGTATGCGAGTCAAGAAATTCCCACGGTTATGTATCATCCGTCAAAGAAGCATGACGCCGCCGCCACCCTGGATTATAACAAAGGACCAAAGACCATCGTATTCCCCCCCATATCCATGTTCGCAGTCGACATCGGTGCATGGCAATACGCTGCCAGCTGGATCTCCTATCACTCTTCGTCCAGATCGAACTCCGGAGCCAGAATCAGTATTGAGTCCAGAGAAAGCATCAAAAACCCAATCCGAGGTGGTGTCAGAGCCCGGGTCAAGTTCAGAACTAAAACCAATTGAGCATAGTCTCTTGGACACCCCAGTGGTCGGCAGACCAGAAGATACGGAATCGGCTCAGCTAATTTCTATTCCTTTGGAACCGATGGTGCCTTTCCCGTGGATAAGGAGCTTTGCGTCATCCACCCCAATCAATGCGAAGGTATCTGCTCTTTTTGATCCTCTTCCAGATCAATTAGCTGTGTCCAATTTAGCTCCTGCTTCCTCATTGGTTTTGGTTGACGCCGATCGAACGATCCCGATTGATGCACGAGCGAGCAGAGAGCATTCACCCCTCTCTGGAGTGACTACAGAAGACATTCTAATGTCAATCTCCTCTTCTTCATCTGGAATAAATGTAGGAATATCTGACTATGTGGTTGGCATTGAAAGAAAATGACTAATCGATTCTATGAATCTCCCAACGCCGAAAATGTCGAGACTGGAGGAGTCTGAATGATGCCCCTGTCTGAGAACAGGGATGGGGGTTTGAGGGCGATTTCGAGGACTTGTCGACCACTACAATTTTGTCTTTTGTCTTGTACTTATTTGGCACAATGCATTCCTAATAAAAACTCCGCTTTTGTCTCATAGATTTGAACATTTGACTTATGATAGTACCACTCAACTGAATCAGACCGAGTCTTCCCACCTCCTTTTCCAACAACGTAATTGTGTATCAATTCATTACACAAACACCAGGTGGCCGTCTTGATTTGTGATTCTTTCCGCCAGGTTGATATCCGCGCTCACACCCTCCCCGTCGATGGTATACAGAACAGCTCGAAGCACGGGAACGTCGTCATCTCCCTCTCGATGAAATTCAATATTCTCGGCACTGTCTTTGAAGTTTTCCCCACCCCAGACAAATTCTCCTAGATGGAATTATTAGCAGGTTGACTTCTGACGATTTCTCCTAGCCCTTCAGGACAAGAGATCAAATACGGAGTAGGAAATTTTGGGGTGTTCAGCTGACCATTGTTATTACCGATAACATCGTTCAGGTCCAGCTCCGAATCACGCTCCTCGTCGTCTCCGTGGCGGAGAGTAGCTTTGAGCCTATGGCCCTCCTCAAGCTCAATGCTGACGGCAGACTCATGGAAACTCATTGTAGATATCAAAAATAAATTGAGAGGGATCTGTGAAATTGGAAAGGCACGACCTCAGAGAACAATGCCATCGTCCCCTTTATATACTATTTGTACTTGCACCATAATGCCCTTTCCTGTGGCCTCTGTGGTCACAGCCCCGAAGCTCTGCAGAAACTAGAGCTCTTGTCCGACACTTGTCACCAACTCATTTGCTACCTATGTTAAAATGGACCGACTAGGTGCAGATATCATCGGCCGGAGAGAGCGGAGGGGAAGTGGATGCTATAAGGGCTCTTTGACGCAGAGCGAGTGGAACCATGTCGTATTCCAAAGTATTGGAGATTATTTTCGAGTTGAATTCAGTATGAAATGATGCTTGGCTCGAAGTGGATCAAATCAATGGATCCTTCCAGCAACTCTGATCGAGCCCATCTATGACGGTCGAAGTATGGTGGTGTGGGCTACATGTCTCGGAGATAGCGATCAGACCTCGTGAACCCGGCATTGTCGTGGCGCGGGATGCAGCCCTATATTTCAGCCACGGACCCATAAACGGGGACTCTGATGTTGCACCAGAAATGTAGGCCAAGAGCTGTTACTTAGCCCCACGGGCATTTCGTGTTAAATCGGTTCCCAAATAAACACTGGTGCCTAGCGAAACCCTGTCACGGAATGCGGGCCAAATAATTATTGCATTCGGGGCACATGCAGCTTCATGTCTGAGCCTCTTGGCAGTTGAGATTGTAAAGAAGAGATTACTCCCTGCCAGTTGCGCTTCGGGCATTGTGGCTGGTTAGTAAGTAGCTGCCCCGGGGTGGTTATATAACAAAATGTGCTGAGCAAATTTCCAGGACAGAATAAGTAAACGTAGAATGACAGTTGAAAAAGAATCAAATAAGATGAATTTTGTGCTTTGTAGAGAGACAGGAACTATATGCTTCCCCTCGCCGGATATCTCACGGAACGCCACAAACACCGCCGGAACCCCTACCTTGGAAGCCTGAAAAATGCACAATTAGAACAAAAAAAAATCGTCGCCCATAGCACATGCATGGTAGATAAAGAAGGATAAAATGTCAGATGTCATCACTCGGTAGGAATCAAGGATTGTTTCGGTAGATCTGAGAACCACCGGAGCGAATCTGAACGGTCTCCCGCCGCTGCAGAATCACCAATGCCCGGTTGAGCGCTTGCTCAGTGTATCCTTTGCCGTCAACAAACTCCCGGCGCAGTGTCGCTAGACTGGTGCTCCAGCCGAGGGGCAGACGGCGCTTTAGTTCGTCTTCAATCTTGGTAGCTTCTTCCATGAGCTCCTTGCTGCCCTGGCCATCACCCTGAGTAATGGCATCCATAGTAGATGCCAGGAATAGACGGATCGCCTCGTTGACATGGGCCTCGGTGGCAATTGGAGACAGTGAAAGCTTGGCCAAGGATTCCGTAATACGAACGATGGCTTCCAGTTGACGGACGGTGATGGGAATGGAAGACCGAGTGTTAGATTCAAGCTCGGTGCGATGTACCTGTTTACGGATGGTGACGAAATGGGATGAGAGTTTCTCGGCCGCCTCGGGGGACAAACGAGGGGCACAGCGACTAGAGCATGATGTGTTAGTACTTGACCATGACCGGAAATGGTAGAGCTCAATAATACCTGCGGCAGTAACTGATGTAGCGCTTCATCTGATCAACTGGGATCTCAGCTTCCACTTGCTCCTCCATACCACGACCACCCATGTGCACACCCATAACGTGACGTGCAATATTTTCGTCACGGCTTCGCTCGTGGTCGTCACGAACGATGAAGATCATATCAAAACGGGAGAGAATGGTCGTTTGGAAATCGATGTTCTCACCGGGGGTCTTCAGGTCATCATATCGTCCGAAAACCGGGTTAGCTGCTGCCAGGACTGATGTCCGGGAGTTGAGAATTGTGGTGATTCCAGCCTTTGCGATGGAGATAGTCTGTTGTTCCATGGCCTCGTGAATGGCCACTCGGTCCTCATCGCGCATTTTGTCAAACTCATCTATACAAACCACACCACCATCAGCCAGAACCATGGCACCGCCTTCAAGGTAGAACTCGCGAGTAGAGTGGTCTCGTTGGACAGAGGCAGTCAAACCAGCCGCAGAGGAACCCTTTCCGGAAGTGTAGATCGCGATAGGAGCGGCTTTTTCAACGAACTTCAACAGCTGAGACTTGGCGGTACCAGGGTCACCAAGCATGAGGACGTTGATATCACCACGCAGCTTCATTCCATCGGGGAGAATCTTTTTGGATCCCCCCATCAATAGACAAACGATGGCCTTCTTGATGTCGACGTTACCGTAGATGGAGGGGGCAATACTCCGGGCAAGGGCGTCATACAGATCAGGGCGGCGGCTGAGTTCTAGGAACTCTTGCTCTTCCTCTTCGGAGAAGACTGCGCTGCCCTTGGCAGTTTGATCCAGGTCAGTGTTGATGCCCACCGCACGCAGATAAGGATTGCGAATAGCAACCGCGGCCTCCTTGCGACCCTTGGCTTGGTAGATCGAAAAAATACCCATAACTGTGCAGCGGGAGCCAGGAACAACTCGGTTCGCCAGGTAGCGATCGGCCGAAATCAGGACATGGCGAGGCAATTCACCTACTGGCACCTGATCAGGTGCTTCTTGGAGTTTGAGAACCTGCTGGTCCACAAATTGACATTTCTCGTGATGTACCACGTACGGATCCAAGGGACATTTCTCATCGGGCTGGTCGCCTGGATTTCTGGTGCGGCCACAGCTTCTGGGTAGTGAAAGGCCGGAGAAGCCACCATCGACATGAATATTTTCGCTGTGGTCACAGTTCTTACAACGAATATGGACTGTGGTCGCCTTGGATGAAATGGTGGAAGCGCCAATCACGATACCTGGGATTCGGACCAGGTGGGAGATATTGGTGGCATTAAGGTCGCGAATGGAAATGTGGGTGGCCGACGAGTGAAGAAGAACCTGATGAGAAGGAAGGATGACGTCCCGCTGGCCGGGGTAGACAATACGCCGAGTGCAGTCTTGGAGCGCTAACTCAAACTGCGCAATATTAGGAGAATATTGAGGAAAGTGTTGGCAAAAGGAATGTGACGGGACTGACCAGAGGGATGATATCAGCCGGCTCGGAGGTGAGTTTGTGTGCCAACTCCTCGTTGTAGGAAATTAGGTGGGCGATGTCAATATCGCAATAGTATTGTTTCACAAGTGCATTCTGTCGTAATTGGTCACTGCAACACTGGTTAAGCCTGGTTCAAATGACAGAAAAGAAAGCCTGCTTTGGGTACGAAGGTGGGATAATCCGTACCGATAGATGAAGGAATTATCCAGCTGGAATTCAAGGACGAAATTCCGCAGACGATTTTGATAGGTAGTGCGTGAATCCTCGGCGATGTTGGTCCCATCATCCAGGACACTCAAGGTGTAGGGGGTACGTCTATCCATGGTGATTGTGGACGGAAGGTGTTGATGTTGAGGGACGGGAAGGGAGAACTTTTGGGAGGTTCCGAAGTTGGACAGGGAATCGCCAACGCGTCGCGTCGCGGGCGTTAACCGGCGAACGCGTTAAGTGTTCTTGCCTGAGGCATAAACGTGGGAAGGCGGCCGCCGTCGGAGCGGATCATCTGTTCGTCCCGGTCACCCGGCCGGGTTAGCGCCTTTCCCCATTGGGCGGAGCTGCACATGGCAACAGGAACCCAAAGCCACCTCAACGACTTCACTGAGAGCTGCCGTTGGCCTGATTCGACAGACTACGCCTACCAGGGGATTTGAAATCTAGGTCTGTGCGTGCCAGGAGTGGTGCATATCCTAAGTTCCGATGTTTCCGGTCGATCTGTCATGATCAGATAACCCCCAGCTTCACCAACGATCGACCCCGGCTGTAGTTGTCACATCCCGCCGTCCGGATAAGGAGAAGATGGCGTCAACAAGCCCGCGCAAGTCAATTGATAGCCTAGCCTCGGGCGTGTCAACTCCGTCTCTCTCTCATTACTCTACTACTCAGCTGGAATCTTCCCCACGTGTGCCTCCCCAGCGATACCCCCTGAGAAGGGGATCCACGGCGAGCTCGATTGTGAGCATTGGAGGGATCCTGGATACCTCGCAACACCATGGTTCTATTACAGAGTCTGGACAGAATGGTTCGTTGATGATTGATGAAAGCCCCAATTATATATATGGCGTGTCGGCGCGGCTAATAAACCTTGTAGCTATCTCAACCCTTCTACAACCTCCAATTGTCCGCACAGGCCTGACCCCTCATACCGCCGTATCGTCCACCGGATATAAGCCTCCTTCATCCCGCGATATTCCCCCAGTAACCCTCACGAATATCGAGCATGTAGAGCTTAAGGCCTTCCAACCGTACCTCTCGCAAGTCGGCTCGCTCTATGATGTGTTCCAACAACCAAAGGACGGCACAGGGGACAAGGCGGCCCAGAAATCTCCCAAGCCTGATGACATGGAGTCTCTCATGCCGTGGAGCCCTGAAAGAAGAGCCTCCTTTATGTCAACCGGCTCCCGATCAACATCGCCGTATGAGCCACGCGGTAGGCGCTCCTCTGGTAATCGTGGTCGAGGCCCAGCTATCACGCCCTTGTCTACGATACCACCTGTATATTTTGAAGCGGACTTTCACCTAGAGAACCCTCGCACTTTTGATGTGATCTCAGAGAAATCAGAGGTTGTTCGACCGCCACGACCCCCAACCAAAAACGATAGATATCCAAATGGAAATGGAGAAGCCACGGAGCCAGCCCACACGGTAAGGAAAGCCTTGGCTACTAATGCTATCCTACAGGAGAAGCTTTCGTGGTATATGGATACCGTGGAAATTCACCTGATTTCCTCAATCTCAAATGCCTCGAAATCCTTCTTTACGGCCCTTGGTTCATTGCGCGAGTTACACGCCGAAGCTGCCGATTCAGTGAACCGAATCCAAGTTTTGCGACGAGATCTTCAGAAAATAGATAAAGAGATGGCCCTTGGTGGCCTTAAAATCGTCAATCTCAGACGGCGGAGAGAGAACGTACGAATGCTAGCCGCAGCCGTGGCTCAGCTTCGCGACGTGGTGGAATCTGTTTCTCGATGTGAGGATTATGTCGAACAGGGAGATATCGAGGTTGCCGCCGACGAGCTCGAAGAGGTTGAGAAGCTCATGGCGGGAGAAAAATTATCAGATCGGCCTGCCGAGGAAGATGAAAAGGATCTTCCACGGAAACCTGTTGACCTCCGAGGACTGAAGGCCCTTGATGGCGCATCTGAAGATCTTGCTCTATTGAGGCAACGTATTGGAATGGGCTATGAATCTCGTTTTTTGAACGACCTTCTAGGAGATTTGCGGGAACACGTCCAGCATGTGTCTTCCAGCGTGACATTGCAGCGCTGGGGTGCTTCATTCTTGCGACAGCGTGGCGGACAACGCCCTATATCTATGGCCTCACCTGCATATATGAACTTCAATAATGAGCTGCGATCGAGATTGCACGCTCAGCTCACTGGACTGGCGCGGGCTCGCTATACGACGGCGGCGGCCACCTCATTCAAGACCGCTGTTTTGCGAGAGATGAAAGGGCTTATCCGTAAGCACTTGCCTAGTTCCAGCGACGACGACAACGAATCTATGGTTTCTGTTTCCACGCATGGCGACCGACAACGAAACCAGCAGGAAAAGTCATCGATTCTCGCTCGAAATCTTCGCGCACTTGATTCAGAGGATGCCTACTCAATGCTGGTAGGGGTCTACACGGGCATTAGCGAGTGCTTACGCCGACTGAGTGTCCAAGTGAAGATCCTCCTGGATGTTGCCAGTGGTCTTGGTAGCGCTGGTGTCAAATCACTCAATAGGAGCCCAAATCTGCAGAGCTCCGAGCAAAGTGCTAGGTCTTCTGATAATGGGCGATCGGCATCTGCCATGGCGCAAGATGAAATTCTCCAAGTTTTGGACATGTCGAGTCTGCTTGGCCAAGCAGTGGATATTGCCCAATCTCAGATCACCAAGGTCCTAAAGGTTCGCTCTGAGCAGACGTCTCAGCTCTCCAAAGAAGAATTCTTAAAGTACTTTATTCTCAACAGGCTATTTGCCGACGAGTGTGAGGCTATTTCTGGGCGAGGGGGCACTGCGCTGAAGACCATTGTCGGAAACCAAATTCGTGACTTTATTACTCGATTTGGTGAAACACAGCGCCATCGAATTGTCAAGGTCATGGATGCGGATCGATGGGATGCGCGAGATTTCGGAGAGGCTGAAGTGACGATCATGACCCGGATTCTTGACGCGAGCACCAAAGATATTGAGGCTTGGGTCGAAGTGTCGAAGATCTGGGTCCCGCAAAGCGAAGATACCCACCAAACAGCCGCACACGCAGAGAGCAGCGTCAATGGATCTGGCAAGGACAAATTGCGTAGTGCAGTGGTTGACGAACAGAGATACATCCTTCCTGACTCGGCAGTGGCCATCATGCGCACCATCGAAGAATTTGAGTTCCTCATGGCCAATATCCCGAGCATGATCCAGGATATTGTCCCGCAGCTTCTCGAAATTCTGAAATTGTTCAATTCACGTTCGTCCCAACTTATTCTCGGTGCGGGTGCGACCCGGAGCGCAGGGCTCAAGAACATCACAACGAAGCACCTCGCACTTTCATCGCAGGCTCTGAGCTTTGTCATTGCACTTGTACCATATGTACGAGAATTTGTCCGACGCCATGGCCAAACAAACCAGGTGATGATGGAGTTTGACAAGGTTAAGCGCCTGTGTCAAGAGCACCAGACTGGGATCCATGAGAAGCTGGTCGATATTATGAGCTCGCGGTCGACCATCCAGGTTAATTCCATGAAAAAGATCGACTGGGATACTGCGGGGTCATCTACAGTCGCCCATCCTTACATGGAAACGTTGGCAAAAGAAACGGGCACCCTTCACCGTGTTCTCAGTAAACACCTGCCGGATACGACTGTCACTATGATTATGGGTCCTATTTTCAAGAATTATCGCGACCAGTGGACTGCTGCGTTTGATGGAGCCCATGTCGAGTCAGAGGCTGGAAAGAAGAGGTAAGAGATTGACTTTGGTTGTTGGCAAGCTTTGGCAAATCCTGACTAACCAAAACTCTAGAATGGAAGCCGATGTTGAACACTTCCGAGCGCGGCTCAGCAAGATCGAGGGCGCAAGTGCCCTGGGAGATACGCTGCTTGAAATCGTGAAAAAAAAGCCCATCTCGGAACCCACTGCTTCTACTTCCGACCCTAACCAGCCTGTCAACGACAAGCAAGATTCCGAGAAGGCGACTGATTCCTCCGACTCCTAATGGTACGGTTCAGCTTTCTCTTATATGACTACATTTCCCGCCCTGCGAATGCGTTGCCACCGGCCAGCTTTTTAAACACATTATAATACTGCTCCTACCTCTGTAATTTTTTGATGCCCGCATGGATACCTTAGAAGCTGCTGATACAGAAGCGATCTCTTACCTTAGTTCTATATCTATATTTACATATGTAATTTTTTTTCATTGAAGAGTCGACAGAGAGCCTTGCCTCATAACTTGATTTTCTAGAACTATCCGGGTGTTTCTTTGTGCAGATATGCCTTTCCACAGAACCCCATCCTCATCGTATCAGGATTGTTGATATTGAGGAGTGACTTATCGCGAGCCCATGAGCCCCAAAGTGACTTGTTCGCTCCCCTCTTTGCTCTCGCGCTCTCTTATCATCATCATCATCATCATCATCATCATCATCATCATCATCATCATCATCATCATCATCATCATTATTATTCACTTCTTTCTTTGTTGTTTCTGGTTCTTTTCCTCCTCCCGTCTCTCTTTCTTCCCCTTTCCTCTTTTTCCATTCACTGCAGGACCCTTGTTCTTGGTCTCTTGCTTTGGCCTTCCAGTATTTGCTCGGTCATTGAGTCGGGACGGAGTGGTTTCAACCGGCTCCTTGGCTGGTTGGTCCTGTGCTGCTTTCATTGATGCCCAACGCTCCTGCAGTGGGATCCTCCATTTCGGCCTTATTGAATCCAACCGCCCCTGCTCTGATTTCCTCTTCAACTTCCCTGAATTCCCTGTGCCGGTTGTTGTAGTTGCAGACCCTTCATTTGACCCCAAAACGATCGTGACATTGACGTTGCCCGAATTTCCAACGGATTGATTCACTTGCGCGGGAGGATTGGAAACCGGCACCGCTGGCACCAGCCTTTTTTCTCCTCCTCCTCCTCCTCCTCCTCTTCTTCTTCCACCGCCTCTTCCTCCTCCTCTTCCTCCTCCTCCTCCTCTTCCTCCTCCTCCTCCTCTTCCTCCTCCTCCTCTATCGGGAAGTCGGGGCTTATAATTGGATTTGGACAATGCCGTCCACAATTTCTGTTGTTCCTCTTCCTTGTGTCTCTTTTGTTGCTTTTCTTCTTCGTGTCTCTTTTGTTGCTCTTCTTCTTCGTGTCTCTTTTGTTGCTCTTCTTCTTCGTGTCTCTTTTGTTGCTCTTCTTCTTCATGTCTCTTTTGTTGCTCTCGAACCATGACCATGTGATTAACCCTCATCTTCAAATCTTCAGATAGCTTGATGAAATTGCGCTTCTGGAGATGGTACAGCACCCATGTGACCTCCTCGCTGCTCTTTGTGAATGGAGGTTGTTTCTCGGCGTAGTGATCTGCGTAGTGAATGGCGTAAAGCTTGTCCTGCACAAACCGGAGTCTGGCCGTGTCTGCCCTACCTGAATTGTCTTTGTCATCATGCAGCCAACTGCTTTCCCACTTCCGCAAATTATCCTCAGTCACGGTTCCTATTCTTTGGGGCTTGCTCCAGTGGGATTCGCCCTGTTCCCATATCCTCCTGATATTCTGGACACCCCATATAGTCCTATTGAGAAGTCTCCTCCAACGGGTCCCCTGGGGTCGCGCCTGATGCCGCGTTATATCGTTCATCACCCTCTCCTTGTCCTTCAGGTTCTTTGGATCGCGCCTATCCTCCTTAGACGTGTTGAACAACCTGGGCATCGCTTCTGGGTATCCCTCGAGGGGCTTCTCGGTCTTGGATCCAATCGTTACCTTCTTCTTCCGACGGACCACGATGAATCGTTTTGGGTCCTTAGGATGCCGGAGGAGGAGGAACAGAAATCCCCGTGAGTTGCCGGCGTTGGGCTTCTTATCTATATCCTTTCCGTCATTGCTCTCATCAGTGCTCTCCTGGGTCTTCTCTTGGGCCTCGTTCTCTGGGGAGACCCCCCTTGGGGCAGGATTAAAGGTTCTGACAAAGAGAAAGGTCGCTCGCGGTTGGGGAGGATGGGCGTCCGGATCCTCGACGTAATCATACTGAAAGACATCATATCTCTTCTCCCTATTCCATGGTGAAGCCATGTTCAATGGGTCGAGATCGGGGAATGGCCATACAGGATTGTAGGGGAGCACAACGGACGACAAAGAAAACGGGGGGAAAAATATCAAGCCAGAATCAAGTGAAAGCGAGAGGTAAATCAGAGACCGGAGAGATTGGGGGTTGGATTTTGAAATTTAAAACATCCTCTCAACCACGGCGATTGCCGCTTCCAGAGCGCAAGACCTCGGAGGGAGGGATGGAGCTCTATTTTTGTCTTTCGTTTCACCCCTCACAATCCTTCCCGGTTGGTTGCAAATGGGCCCTCAAAGAACAACAATCCAAACAGGAAGCCCGGCGGCTTGAGAGACTGTCGAGCGCTTAATTGTGGTTTCCAGGGGGCCACGCCCTCGGGCTCTCTGTTGGGGAACGATCTATAGGGACTGTTGGCTATAGGTGGAATGAGAGACGATGGAAAATGAGATAGGTTCGACGAGTAGAGTGATAGAGGAGAGAAAACTACACGGCCGTAACAGGACCCAAGCGCGAGGTGTTCTTGGAGGTCTTGAGATCCAGCTTTGGGGCAGTCATCAACTGAGTGAACCAACAACCAAATAGCCGCCACTTGGTATGCGCGCTATGTGCCAGGCCGAAAGGACACCATTGTAGGCAGATGTGATTCCGACGAGGGCCCCAAAAGAGAAGAAGAAAGCTTATGGTTCCCGCAAATAGTACATACAATCGGAATTTGCAGCTTTGCCTCTATGTGTGCATGTGTGCATGCATGCGAGTGGACGGAGGCAAGGAATTTAACGGCCCGTGTATGGCGGAGAGGCACAGAAGGAGGTTAGGGATATACGGGGCCAACCGCTGAAAACTGTTTGGCCCCAGTCCCAAATCATGCGGATCAACTCAATCAACTACAATTTTAGCAGAAAGAGCAGAAAGAGCATCCGAAAAGAAAAGCACTTCCCTCGACGTGCCAGAAATAACCCCCCCCCCCCCCCCTCTCCACCCCAACATTCAAAAAGCCCTCTGTGATTCCCCCTTTCTCATGAAGCCAATTCAAATGGTGGACGGGCCAACTATTTCGCAGGAGCGAAAGCAAGATGCATTGAACTTGGCCTTCATGGTAACAAATCTCCCCCTGCCTGGCCGGGCACCGTCATATGCAGGGAATCCGCGATCAAATTCAAGGTGTTATTCGGAATGGGCTCATCTCGACACGTACCCAAAGTCATCCTAACAGTTCTGGATATCCCCATAGTTTTCAAAGTAGATCATGGGAAGTTAATTAAGTTGGAGAGTCGCGATACAAAATCCCGAAAGTACTAAATGGTGCAAGCAACTCTGGGGCTCAAGAGGTCGACGCCACCAACGGTATTGAATTTATAGCCTGGGATGTCTCCTATATGCAGGGAATTACTTTACTCAAAAGAGAGTTCAGTGTCAGCAGAGAAGTAACAGTACCCTGAATTTGTCGCATTGTATACAAGACTTTTGAGGAAATTTGATGTTACATTGTATGGGGACATTCAAACTAGGCATCTGGCTCCCAAAACTCCTAATCGTTGAGTAATGTACAGTACAGGAAATTTGTACGCATAGCTCGTGCCAACTCAAGGATAGTCCAGAAGTATCCTCAAAAGAGATATGAGTAGGTGATCGATATCATGACGGTATGTGCTCAAATCGTAAAAGGCATAAAGCTGTTTAGTTGACGCCTTGGGCACCACGGCCCTTGTTCTCGCCAAGGGACTTTGGCTCATGACCACCCTTGCCGCTGTTGGAACCAGCACTGCCCATACCGCTGAAGACCTCCCGCTGTGAGCCAGTTTCTTGGGGCATCGGGGCGACCTTGTTGGCGCGGTTCACGGGGGCATCCTAGTTGAATCAACAGTCAGATTATCAGATCTATAACAGGATGCATATCATAAATGTGAAAGTAGGGATAGAGGAGGAACACACGGTGGGGCCAGTGCCATGGGCCTTCGTAGTACCCGCCTCAATGGGATTGTCACTTTGAGGGATTCCGTTGTCGTAATCGGCGCCGCGAACCATTTTGAACTGAAAGTAGTGGGTGGGTGAGGGTAGGCGAAGGAAGAGATGAAGAAGAGATTGATCTAATATACCAAGAATAAGTTAGAAAGGAGTAGAAAGAAATCGTCTCTTAGCAATCGGGACCCTTGAACAAAAGCATACCTTAGTAGTCGAGAAGAAATGCTCACGATGCTTCGACTCTGTGCGGTTCTGAGATGCTATTTAACTTGGATTCTCCTTATCTCAGAAGGCCGGTTGGGTGTGTGACAGCATCATGAAGTCATCCCCCCACAATGACTTCACCAGCAGAGAGATAAAGATCTTTGGCCGATCCTTTGGTAGCAAATCTTGGCAAAGGGATTCCGGTGGAGAATGAAATACGGGTCTTATTGCCGTTTATAGATATACCTAGCACTGTCTTACTGTAGAAGAAATGGCTCTTTTACGCGCGCCGCGTGGCGAGAAGCGCGGAACCAGCACTCGCCCATGCCGACACCAAGGGGATCCGGTGTTAACGCGGCTCTTTAACCGGTACAGAGGAACTGGTAATTGGATTACAGATAAGCTTGACCGACTGACAGATTATCGACCCTTGGCCTCCGTTACCATAGAATTTGTTGAAGAGGCGCAGATACTGAATTCCACGGTATAAGAGGCCACATCCACAGCAGGATGGAAGATATCGCATGTTAAAAAGCAATCAGAACAGCAGAAGTATTGGCCTCATCAAGATCTAAGGTCACATCAATGGGAACATCTCGATTTTTGCTAAATCTAATGCCATCACTAAGGGCTGAATGTGTGAATCCTACGGCGGTTCTGGGCGGCCACGCCTGCAGCATGTACTATAGACCACAGTCAGCTGCTACCATTGGCAATGAAACAAGATCTTTCAGCTTGAATATCAAACACAAGGATGATCAAAGAGATTCCAAGGCAACCCCATAAGTAATTAGTCTTAAAGTTTAAGGCTGATAGTGTTTGTGTCTGTCTGATGATGGGCAAAACGTGGAAACATAGACCTACCGAAGCTCCTAGGATTTGAAATGTCACAGAGCTGTGCCCATTGGATATCAAACCAATCAGTTCCAAATGGCGGTCCAAAGCTTAACCTGAGCGAGGGAAGATGGGACATAACGCTGAAATTTGAGCTTGCGCGACTATTGTCTAGCCTGCAAATCCAGTCCGCAGCCGGCGGGGGTGTCAAAAGAAACTCTTCTGAGCGCAGATGACTGATCTGCGAGTAAATGGGCTCTCGGACTGGATGGCTATCCCCTTGAGGATTTCCAGGGATCAGACTTGGGTGAATTATGTGGTCCCACTCCGATGAAGGCGTGGAAGGACACTCCACGACGACGAAACGTGGAAGGTTGTGACTGAGTGTCTCCACGACCAATTCTAAAACGATGGGGTCGAAAATTGTCATCATCTCACGCGATAGTCTAGCCGCAGTGACCTCGGGGGGTGTGGGAATGCGAATTAATGGTCTTCCCAGAGTGCGCTCTCGCCAAACTGGATCAGTGTGCCACCTGGGTCGGGCAGAGATATCAGTCGATGAGACAGTAGATCTCAAGGACGACATATCCGTCTCCGAGTCTGTCGCAGTATCGGTATCGGCAGAGGCGGGTCGCCGGCATGACAAGAAAATCGCAATTAACCTTGACAGGATCCGGCGACCGGGAAAATTGAGATTGCTCCGATCCATTTTCTTGCCGGTCGCGTAATATGAATTCCACTGCCTTCAATCCGATTCGAGAGGGAAAGCGAAGGGTAAGAGCGACAAGAGGAGAAATCCGCGCTCCAGACAAGGGTTGGCAGCGCCCAACCACGGGGTGTCTATATATATGGCCTCAATGGCTTGACCTCTTCTTCTTTGGATCCCATTTCCGTCCGTTTACCGGCAATTGCCATCCTTGCTGAGACATGGCGATCGCGCAGGTTGAGGGCCATTGCGATATTGAAGGGGAGGGCTTGAGTTTGCAGGTGTCATCGTCAATTCCCCTGCGAGAGAAACAGTAGAGAGTTCAGATAGGGCCGTGGAGTGAAAGACGGGCCACTCCGGGTAGGAATCTCAGCCCCAAGGCTTCATGCATATACTGCATCTCGGTCGCCAAAAAGCTCATTGTGCCTTTTGTGTCTGTATCCGAAGGAAATTGGAGGTGTTTGTGCCCTGAGTTGGTCCTCTGGAAATGTGGAAATGGCAGATCTGGTGGAAAGAGATCCTTTTTTTTTTTTTCTTTTCTTCTCTTTATCTTTCCTTTTAGATATTCTTTTTGTGTGTGTGTCTTAGGGGGAGGTAGGGGTTCCGATCGGTGTCCTTCCGGCTGTGATGGGGGAAGTCCAGGCCTGCGGGCCAGATCCACGGGCGTTTGGCCAGGAACCTTTGTGTTGCGCCAGATGAAAGCAAGAAAGCCGATCCCCGAAGAGAGCGGGAACCAGGGAGAAACAGAGCAGGGTGGCGGAGAATCCATCACCGCTGCTGCTCAGGGTACTCCGTAAGTATCTCCTGGATATCCTGTACCTCCTGCGGCGTCTCGAGCTGGTACTCGGCCTGTTCCACCGGGCCATGACTGGGTTTCTTTTCCCTGCCAAGTTGTCGAGGAAGTGGAGTTCCATGACATCATCTCCGCGCCGGACCAGCTTTCCCCAGACGAGCTTGCCCGCGTTGCCCGCGTTGCCCGCTTGTCAGCTTGTCAGCTTAGCTTCGTCCCAGCCACTGAGATCGGGCCAATTTCGTCGGGGAAACCTTCGTGATGGCCTTAAGCTGCACGCGCCAGGATCGACGGTCATCCGCTCTTTTTCGCGCCTGTGGCTCATTTGTGCTCGTTGGAATTGGGGGTCGGGTCGAAATCCGGCTAGGGTCGCATTGAGAGGGGCGAAAAGAACCTTGGAAACGGTCCACAGGCGCAGGCTCGTGGAGGCGCAGACCCAGTGGACGGAACAGGCGATCAGGGGAGGTGGCCGAGCACAGACGAGGCGGGAGTATCGGAGAATAGACGAAGGAGTTGAGCAGATTCAAAATCCATTGAATCCATTGAGACGGGGGATTCTCGCGCCAACCGACGAGACTGTTGTATGACCGTGTTGGACGCAGTCACGCGAACGAGCACCAGCACCAGCAACTTCTCTGCTCTTCTGCTGTTCGGTTCTTCCTCTTCCTCCTTTTCCTCCTTCTTCCCCCCAATTCAATCCTCTCGTGTCAATTTATCCCATCTTTTTCCTATTCTGCTCTTTCTCTCTTCCTCCTCGTTCTCCTCTACTCCTCTTCTCCAGCCACCCACGGCGAAAATTGACGGCGATCCAGATCCCGCGTCTCTGCAGCCCCCCCCCCCCCCCCCCCTCCCCCCCCCCCCCTCTCCCCCGCACAGACCGAGTCCGGAGCTCGGTTCCCCCGTCCCAAAGCTCCTCGTTCTCCTCTGCTGTCTTTTCCTTCTCTCTTTCCCCCTCTTCTGCCCGTAATTTGTGGTTCTAAGAGCCAGAGAGATTGACCCCCTCCTCTCCCATTCCCTGAAAAGAGCTTTGGACGGCCCTGTCAGTCTCTAATTATCCCGCCATGGCCGACGAGAACGGTAATGAGCCGATCAAGCGCGATGTGCGCAACCACATGCTTTTTGAAGTGGCTACCGAAGTGGCGAACCGGGTCGGGGGTATCTACTCGGTGCTCAAGTCCAAGGCGCCCGTCACTACCGCCGAGTATGGTGAGCGGTATACCTTGATCGGTCCCCTGAACAAGGCCTCCGCTGCCGTCGAGGTGGAGGAGCTGTCGCCGTCCAGCCCGGCCATGCGCGACACCATCAGCTCCATGCAGGAGCGCGGCATTGAGATCGTCTACGGTCGCTGGCTCATCGAGGGCGCCCCGCGGGTGCTTCTCATCAATACCGGCACGGGTTACCGGTGGCTCGATGAGTGGAAGGGCGATCTGTGGAACACCTCCGGCATCCCGTCCCCGGCTGCCGATCACGAAACCAACGAGGCGATCGTCTTTGGCTACCTCGTCGCCTGGTTCTTGGGTGAGGTATGTTGGTGATACTCGCCATATTATAAATCCCCCTTTCCCCCTCCTTTCCGCTTCCTTCCTAATGAAAACCCCTCTCCAATATGACGCACGGCAATGAGAGAGAGAGAGAGCACAGAGAATGTTCATGAAAACTGATCTCCTCGTCTTTCCTATCTAGTACATCGCCCATGAGCGTCGTCGCGCCGTGGTCGCCCACTTTCATGAGTGGCTGGCCGGTGTCGCCCTGCCATTGACCAAGAGGCGACACATGGACCTGACTACCATCTTCACCACGCATGCCACACTCCTGGGTCGCTATCTCTGTGCCGGATCGGTCGACTTTTACAACAATCTCCAATACTTCGACGTCGACGCGGAGGCGGGGAAGCGTGGGATCTACCATCGTTACTGTATTGAACGGGCAGCCGCTCACAGTGCCGATGTATTCACCACCGTGTCACACATCACAGCGTTCGAGAGCGAGCACCTCCTCAAGCGCAAACCGGACGGTGTGTTACCCAATGGCCTGAACGTCAAGAAGTTCTCCGCCATGCACGAGTTCCAAAACCTGCATTCGCAAGCCAAGGAAAAGATCAATGACTTTGTTCGCGGCCATTTCTATGGCCATAATAATTTTGATCTGAACAACACCCTCTACGTTTTCACCGCTGGTCGGTATGAGTTCCGCAACAAAGGTGTCGACATGTTCATCGAGGGACTGGCCCGTCTCAATCATCGCCTCAAGGCCAGCGGGTCGACAATGACTGTGGTGGCCTTCATCATCATGCCTGCGCAGACCTCCTCGCTGACGGTGGAGTCACTCAAGGGCCAGGCTGTGGTCAAATCTCTGCGTGACACCATTGAGAATATCGAGAAAGGCATTGGCAAACGCATGTACGAACGCTGCCTCGCTTGGAAAGAAGGTGATAACATGCCCGACGAGAAGGATCTGATCACCAGTCAGGATCGGGTGCTCCTGCGCCGTCGTCTGTTCGCCATGAAGCGGCATGGTCTCCCTCCCATTGTCACGCACAACATGGTGAATGACCACGAAGACCCAATTCTGAACCAGCTTCGTCGCGTGGAACTCTTCAATAACTCGTCAGACCGTGTCAAAATCGTGTTCCATCCAGAATTCCTTAATTCTTCCAACCCTGTCCTACCACTTGATTATGATGATTTCGTCCGGGGAACTCACTTGGGAGTGTTTCCCTCCTACTACGAGCCTTGGGGATATACGCCAGCTGAATGCACGGTGATGGGCGTGCCGAGTATCACCACTAATCTATCGGGCTTTGGTTGCTACATGGAAGAGCTTATTGAAAATTCCTCCGACTACGGTATCTACATTGTCGACCGTCGCATGAAGGGTGTGGATGACTCGGTCAACCAGCTTACCGACTTCATGTATAACTTCACCCTCAAGAGCCGCCGGCAGCGCATCAACCAGCGGAATCGGACTGAGCGTCTCAGTGATCTCCTGGACTGGAAACGCATGGGGTTGGAATATGTCAAGGCTCGTCAATTGGCGCTCCGGCGAGGTAGGTGTTACAATTTTCCCCTTTCAATGCGGGTTTGTCAAACGACTGATACTAATCGGAGCAAATAGCTTACCCCTCCTCGTTTGACGGATCGGAAGACTACTTCGACATCATCGGCGGAACTGACCAGAAGATCTCCCGCCCACTATCGGTTCCGGGCTCCCCTCGCGATCGCTCTGGCATGATGACACCCGGTGACTTTGCGTCGCTGCAGGAAGGTCGTGAAGGTCTCGGCACGGAGGATTACATCGCCTGGAAGCTCCCGTAAGCCTTTCTTCTTGCCCCATTCTGCGATCTTTATCGTATGGACGAAAAACGAGTGAATATTGATCCACACATTAGAGAAGAAGAAGAGCCCGATGACCACTTTTACCCCCTTACCCTCCGCACGCGCAAGACCACCGATCGACCCCAATCTCCACTAGACAGTATATCTCTGAATGGGGAGCGTGCCGCAGAGGGCGGCAGTCCTAAAGAGACCTAATTCAATGATCTCTTCTGAGAATTTTGGGCCTCTTGAATGAACGAACCGAACGGATCATAAATGTTACTTTTTATTCAACCTCCCATGATTCTAGGAGGAAAGTCTTGCCTTATGATACTTTTTTTTGCATTTGGTGCTATTTCTATCTCCTTTACCTCTCTTTCTAGCGGAACTACAGCCTTGGTCCCTCATCCTCATCTCCCCTTCCCTCATCCTACTTCTCTTGCCTTTTCATTCCCTGGGCTGATCGATTTCACAATTGTAATATGTGTTGTTGTGTTGAGTCTGCTGCATCCTTGCTCTGCATTTGAAGCCCATGTCGTGTTAAACATGAATTTGAACTCCTCATGATTGTACTTCCAGTCGTCCATACGATCGACCCGGGAGAGGCCATGAGCTGCCGTGTTGTCCCAATCTCTGGGGCCGTAGTCTCGCATAATGTATCATGATAGATAGGCATAGCACAAGAAGCTGGTTGGTTAGGAAAGAGGCACCGAAACGTTGGCGCTTAGACAGCACCAATTAAACCAAGGCGGCTGTTCTCACTTCCAATCTTCGGTCCTCTTTCATGTCCAACAATTTCACCGGACACCATGGCTTATCAGGCGTCCCCCCTCCCCAATCCTAAGGCCCACGAGAAAATGCCAGCTCAGGGCCGCTGGATTTGACCTAGGTTTTCATCTGTCACCCAAGCCGCCCTTTCATTGGTTTTCTAGGGCGCCTATGTCTGTTGGTTGCTAATCCAACCTGGCATGCTCCGATATCCTGATATCAAACCAACCCCGACACATTTCCAGGTTGCTGGGTAGCAAGGACTCGGACCTGTAGGGTCTGGAGGGCTTGTTGATCGGAGTCTTTCTGGCCTAAAACTGGAACAAATAAACCGAGTGCTAGTTGGTGGTTAAGTATATAAGCTTCGCAAGCAGCCTTGCATACCCCGTGGGGAAAGTGGATAGCGGAAATTAGTGTGACATGTCCTGATTTTACCAAAAAGGATATTTCTGTGAGAAAATAAAGCCGCAGGCTGTCAAAATGTCGATGGCAATGGAAATAGAACCAGGTGTCTCCAAAACGCCTTCCGCTGGGAAAGCGCCCGAGGTCAAGCCAGTTCTAGATGGAAACAAAGAGATCAAAGGCGACTTTCCATTAGATCAAATCATCATTGACCGTAAATGCCTCTGTTGTCTCCCTTGGGGGCTCTAGAAAGCTAACTCCGCCATGTTGCTTAGACTTCCCACCAGGTACGCAGGTCCACTCTTGTTATCGTTCCGGAAAGTCCCTCTGGACCGTCACGGCGAAAATTGCCACCACTCTTTCGAATGGGGAGCCTCGATTATATTTTCTCAAGGTATCGCTCGAGACAGCCTTCTCAGAAAGATTTACAGTAGATTGGCTAACATACTTCGCGTAGTGCGCTGATGGGGATCAAGGAAAGGTCATGTTGGAAGGAGAATTCCATTCAACTGTGGAGCTATACAACATCAGCCCTGATTTCGTTCCGGAACCATATGCATGGGGCAAGCTGGGTGTCTCCAGTCCCAACACCTACTACTTCTTGAGCGAGTTTCTTGAGATGGAAACCCAAAATCAGGCTCCAGACCCTATCCAGCTGGTCACCCAGATCGCAAAACTTCATCACGCAAGCAGATCTCCGACGGGAATGTTTGGCTTCCACATTAACACTTGCCAGGGCTGTCTTCCACAGCAGACATTATGGAACGCTAGCTGGGTCGACTTCTTCACACAATTACTTCGAGGAGCGATGGCATTAAACAAGCTGAGAAACAGGAACTGGAAGGACCTGGAGCCCCTGATTGACCGAGTCATCACTCACGTAGTGCCTCAGGTTTTAGGGCCCTTGGAAGCCGAAGGCCGGGGCGTGAAGCCGACCCTGATTCATGGAGACCTGTGGGAAGGAAACATCGGAATCGGCCTCAAGGATAGAATGCTACACGCTTTTGATGCCGGCGCCTATTATGCGCACCATGAGATGGAAGTCGCTATCTGGCGTTCTCAGTTTAGCGGAATCTTTCGCGCGCCGGTCTACCTTGACTCCTATCTTCGTCAATTGGGGGCCAGTGAGCCTGTCGAGCAGTTCGACGATCGAAACCGGCTGTATAGCGCATATATGAGACTACACGCATCCGCTTGCCATGAAGGTGCGGGCCATCACGAAGAGTAAAGTGCATTTCTTGTCCAACGGCGCCTGTATTTTCGTACTGACAGGATTTGACTTAGGTGCTACGAGAGCTTGAAGTATTTGGTGAATAAATATGGCCCCACCTCGGAGGAAAGCAATGGGGATGAAATCATTTAAAGATCTCCAGCCCTAATCTCGCGAATCAATATGGGATTTCAAGATTTCGAGAAGAAGCAATATCTCATATATGCAGTGAGTCAATGCAATGCAACTGCTTTCCTGTATCACGTATCATTTCATAGAAGCCGTACTTCTTCATGATCGGTTCCTGGATTGACGTTGAACTCTTTCGACGGAAGGTCATGCATGACGATTGATTATTGATTCCCTTGTCCTTTTTCCCTCATGCAGCGGCTTTAGAAAAGCCTTGGAAAGGCCCAGATTTACCGGTCAGGGTCAGTCCTCCAAGAATCATTAAGGTTCCCTTAGCTTTGTCGGATGTAATTCGGCTCCTGCGGTTAGTTTCGGAAGCACGAGAGTGGAATCCTGTGGGATAAAGTTATGTCCAAACCCAATGAGAAGCGGTGATGGTTTTCGTCCCGGTGAACTGTTTCATAGTCGGAGTCATGATGAGCGCAGATTCGCGGATCTCCCCACTCCGATAGCTCCATTTTTTTCTGTTCATCAGGGTCATTTTGTTTATTTGTGACGTCGACCTATCCAATTGGCTTTACTTCACTTAGGTTCGACCCTGGGGGTCTCGTAACTTAGTTAACCAAGTGTTAACCAAGTTAGTCATCGGGATTTCGCCGAAGTATTTCTACCCCTCCATTCGTCTCCTCGTCTCTTTTCTTTTTCTTCCCAACTCCATTTCCATTTCGAAATATTAGCCAAGAACTCATACTCCAAGTCAACCTTCGGTACGACCCTCCATGGAGCCGCGCACGTTTTAAGAAGCCTGCAGATGGGCTCGATGGGCTTCCCTGCAATGGGTTTCCCTGAGGCCCCGGGGTCTTTCGCAACGATGATCATGGATCAAGGTATTGTACTTGTATAACAGTCGGCGCACACGCATGACAGGTGTTCGGCTCGGTCGGTCCTTGAAGATCTTGAATTCAATTTATTTTCAAGGGCAGGCTGGGCTGTTCTGAGATTATACTGTCAAAACTTGATCTAGATAATACTAGCGAAAGGACATGCGTGACTTTTGATTGTTCCCCCTCCCCTGTGTTTTTTGGGCATTTCGTTTTCTCCTTCCTTTGTTCCTTTGATCATTGAATAATCCAGTTGATTGACCGAAGGAAGGAGACGAGGTGCCCTCGTCTCGGGTTGACTGACTCCGTTCCAGCCTTCGATAGTTCAACATTGAACGATTATCAATATGGCCACCGACAAGATCACTTTTCTGACCAACTGGTATGCTGATGTGATCCTGCTTTGCATTTTACAGCCTTTTGGACCGTTTTGGTCTTGTGCACAAGTCCTTCATCCCTCACACATTCTAGAAAACCCCGGCTAAGTCTCGCTCTTCTCAAGGCACGCCACCCCGTACCATGCCCCCCTGTACCTCGCCCAGGCCCGTGGCTACTTCAAGGATGAAGGCCTCAAGGTCGCCTTGCTGGAGCCCAATGACCCATCTGATGTGACCGAAATCATCGGCAGCGGCAAGGTCGACATGGGCTTCAAGGCGATGATCCACACGCTAGCCGTATGTATCTTTATATCTCACGTGTGTCTACACAAATGAATGCCCTCGCCTCTAACGAATTCGACCTTGACCAGGCCAAAGCCCGTAACTTCCCCGTGACATCTATTGGGTCTCTTCTCGACGAGCCCTTCACGGGCGTGGTGTACTTGAAGTCCAGTGGTATCACTCCGGACTTCCGCTCGCTGAAGGGCAAGCGCATTGGCTACGTCGGCGAGTTTGGCAAGATTCAGATCGACGAGCTGACCAAGTACTATGGCATGACGGCTGATGACTATACGGCCGTTCGCTGTGGCATGAACGTCACCAAGGCAATCATCCGCGGTGATATCGACGCCGGCATCGGCCTGGAGAACGTGCAGATGGTCGAGCTGGAGGAGTGGCTGGCTACCCAAAACCGGCCGCGCGATGATGTTCAGATGCTGCGCATCGATCAACTTGCCGAGTTGGGTTGCTGCTGCTTCTGCTCCATCCTGTACATCGCTAATGACGCCTTCCTGGCAGCGAACGCCGACAAGGTCACTAAGTTTATGAAAGCCGTCAAGCGGGCGACCGATGCGGTTCTCGCCGACCCTGCCGGCACGTACGAGGAGTATGTTGACATGAAGCCCATCATGGCGACCCCCGTGAATCGCAAGATCTTCGAGCGCTCGTACGCGTACTTCAGTCGTGACCTAAAGAACGTCGCCCGAGACTGGGACAAGGTGACACGCTACGGCAAGCGCCTCGGGATCCTTGACGAGGCTTTCGAGTCAAACTACACCAACAGTTATCTCTCCTGGGGCTTGGATGCCGACTCTACCGATCCCACGGGCGATCAGAAGCGCATGGTGGAGCTGCAGAAGGAGGTCGCGATCAAAGGTGGCTTCAAGCGTCTGCCGGTCTCGGCCACTGCTTGAAATGGGTTTCATTTCATTTCCCTGCGACCTAGCTCAGAAATTATTCCGAGGTTCTTCTGAGACTAGCTAACTGGCTGCTGCTTGAACCTGAGTCGAATGGGTCGAATGCAAATTGAAGGATACGTCTTATTTCTGGGCCTTCGCTCTTTTTGCCCAGCTTCACTAAGCAAATCCCCTGAATGCAATAAGAAACTGCCATGTTTTGATGGTTTTTCTTAAAAAAAAATCCCTCTTCCTCTCTCCCTCTTTGTAGACCCGGTTCAATCAATTAGATATGTCGTGCCATGTGTGGCTGATGTATAAACAAGCCCAAGCGCCTCGCGATGATTAAAAACATATTGGTACAATGCCAGATTCAACAGCCCTTCATCCCAGTCCATTCATTCCTCGGGTTGTTTCAGCAAAGAATCTCCGACCCGATCACCGGTTTCCAAGTCACTCAAGTTCTCCAAGTCATCGAGCTCCTCCAGCTCATCCCCAGAAGCAACAGCTTGCCATATTTGTTCTTCATTTGTAAGACTCGGCCGAAGAGTGAGGATTCGTCGCCAGGCGCCGCGGACCAGGAACCTGCATACGAGCCAAGCTCCCACAACAATCGCGGTGGCGGACAAAAAGCCCAACCCAAACATTAATGGGGATGCAATATGGGCCTGGGAGAATTCATCGACTTCGCCTTCAAATACCCCGAGCTCGACACCCATGTTCTCTGGTTGCCAGGGCAAGGACTTGGTTGCGCCGAGGAAGCCACCCGTCTTATCCAGCGCGACAATCCGCAGCCGGGTATAGAGGGCATCCGGCGGGATGGAAATGCTGGTTTCAAAGCCGGTCTTGGGGACGGCCGAGATGAATTCATACCCCTCGTCTGCAGCATCGGGGTTCGCAATCCGTCGATCGGATATATGCTTCCCTTTCCCGTCACTGGGACCTTGTTCGCTCCAAGAAGTAATATTCCCGATGTCTTCCTCGGTCTCGTCGTCGGTCTCGGGAGCGAGCGACCCTTGTAACACCCAAGTGGCTACCTCTGTAGCTCCCAGCCAGCTTACGGCAGCCGCGGTGTCAGACAGTGCGACACTGGGCTTCGTCAGAGGCAAGCCGACCCAGTCCTGTTTGAAGACGCGATAAGAAATCGTATGTCCCTTACCGAAGCCATTTTGGGGCCCAAAATTCACTTCGCAAAGTGCCTCTCCGTCTGCCGAGAACTCGGTCCAGGCCGCGTCGTATCCATATCCCACCAGGACATTGCCATTCTCAAGCACCTGCACGGAGCCCTGCGATTGACTGCTGATCATCTGGGGATTCCAGAACTCCTGGAGCACGGAGACGGTCATTTCCTCCTCGTTGATCATTATGAACAACCCTCGGCTGGGGTTCTCCGGTGCGCCCACTCCTCGGGAAGCATTGTCGAAGATCGAGATGGCTCGCGTGGTATTTGTGTCGTACTCCACATGGAATCGGGCATGATGCTGCCAACTAATATTGGTCGCGGCACCGTCGCTCAGGTCCTTGAAGGAATTCTGCTTGCCTCCGAGTTTCCAGATGACATCGCCGGTTTTGCCGTCGATATAGGCCAGACAGCTCATGTACCGCGACGAAATCAAAAAGTTGCCACGCCAGTCCTTGTCTACGCTGTTGAGGTGGAAGAAATCCCAGGGCGTATCATGGCTCTCGCCGTTGCCTTCACGGCCGCGCTCAATCTCGTTGAATGAGAAATGCTCCGAGGCCCGCCATTGGAAGAGCAATTCGTTGGTTTCCACGTCGACTTCCTGGAAGACACCATCGTAGATCCATCCCTCCTCGGGTCCTCCGACCTCGCGGAGATCCATTGGGCGAGTTTCGTAGACGGCAAACACGGCCGTATCGTCGTGAGTGATCTGGAATTCATGCAAGTCGGCTGGCAGACCGCTGGCACCTTTGATCTTGTAGACTTCTTCGTAGTGGGAGTTTAACTGTATCGGGTCAGGTCCGATTGGAGGTCGCCATGCATTCCCATGGAATTTCAAGTATCTACTAGGTTCGCGCTTACCATGTAGTATATCCCATCTCCGTGGCCTCGGATCGAGTCATCGCCCACCCAAAATGTCAGATACCGCTCCCCCTTGTACGTATATACGTTAGCATTATACGTGGTATGAAGTTCCTTGAACCAGACGAGATGCCCCTCCTGGTCAAGAATCATCGGGCCCGGGTGTCGGATCGAGTCGCCCCGCGGTGCAAGGATGGTATACTTGCCATCCTCACATATCTTGCTCCGGCGCCAGTAGTTGAGAATCGGCCCCGACACGTCGGCGGAGAGGTATCGCTGGAGCGGAAACGCGCCCCTGAAGCCATGGGCGTACTTGGCCGAGCGGTAGAGATTATCAATATCCGGCGACGCCACGGCGGAAGCACAGAGGAACCATAGCGCTCCAATGAGACGCATGAGCGGCAGAAAAGCCATCATGAATTGAAAGAGAACGATGACATCGTGTTGCTGTCGAAGTAATAAACAAGAAAAGCCCCCACGGGGGAAGGACAAGGCTGGGCAGGATCTTTTCTAGATCCCTTTTTTTGATTTTTAATTTTTTTTTTTTCATAGCCTGAAGCTCGTTCGTGTTGAGACTCAGAATTGGGAATTGACCCGCGTAGCCAAAGCAGCGACTGGATCAGCATTTGCGTCTGCCATTCCCACCAGGGCCATCGGGTCGGCGGCTGGCAGCGGATTGGCCCTGGGACAAGTTGATTCCTGGTGCCGGCGCCACCCAAAGGGGCCCATGTGGAACCTGCCGCGACAGCTTGCGCGGCACTGAGACTTATGTGGAGGCCGGTCGGTTCGTCTGAATCGGGGTCTCGTTGGGCCTGGAGAAGGACACAGTCAGTGCTCGAGTGCAGGCGGATGACGATCAGAGGGTCCTTATGAGGCTCTATTCCTCGTATCCCGCTTTCGATTGAGCGGGGCGGCGGACAGAACACGGAGCCATATACGAAGGATGGCGTTGCGGATCAGAACCGAACGCGACTCTCGGCTCCCAAATCCTCTTCGTGCTCTTCGTCATCTCCGCTGAGGCGGAGCCGAAAGTGGCTGCCACCACGATTGATAGACTCGGGACTCGGAATAAGGCAACAAGGCCCCAAGAAGATACTAAGTCCGACACGAAAATCTACCATTCTCCGCCATCGACTGGACACTACGGAGCACGGAGTAGATGTATTTGACTTTTTCCATGTCGAATTGACACACTTTCTGTAACTTCCATGCTTCATGAATTACATCCAACCCCCAGCATCAATCATCTATTCCCATTGACTACCTAACTATAGACATGCAACTACATAGCATCTCCCTTGGCGAGGTAAACAATGAAACGTCCTCATTCTCTTCTCACATCTCTTTCAGGAATGAACTGGTGGGTCGCAACCCCAACCCACTCTTCTCATACGCCATATCAATCATTCTCATTTGCTGAATGGAATCGTCGGCACTGACCCAGTATTGCGTCGGACGTCCCTTGACCCCGTTCACAAACTCTTCCAGTTGATATCGATAGGACATCCACCAGTCTTCGCCTGGTAGGTTCGCAAAATGACCGCCAGCCTCCTTAAAGCTATACGCTTTGTGAGACTGGGACTCCACCCAACTCTTGAGAGGCTGCCGGTTACGGGTGTCGCGGATGACATATGAATCGTTGACGTCAATGCGATGCCAGATAAAGGAATGAATAAAGCCATGTAACGTCTTTTGTCTCGTGCGTATTTTCTCTTGTGTAGGTGGCAGACTTGTATCTGGTATCACGACCTCGCACATCGTCACTCTCGCTTCAGATGGCTTCCATAAGACAGGTCCTCTGAGTGAAGTCGTTGCCTCGCCGATCCCGCCGCCAGGAAATCGAAACTGGGCTTTGAAATCATAGTCGCACTTATCGTGGAGTTTGTCCCCGAAGATACTAGTGTCACACTTGAGGCACTCTTCCGGCTCGTCATTGAAGATTATGCAGAGCATGCCGAAATTATACGTACCAAGGTTCATCATGCTACCTCCAGAGAGGCTATAGTTGAACTCAATGTTTTCCTTGGAAGTAAGCACCCATGGTACCATAGAATCCGTGTAGGCATGAACCACGTCAGCTGAGGTGATGAAAGATCGAAATAGCTGGATGGCCGGATGGAAGCGATGGTGAAAAGCTTCCAGGAGAAGTGGAGCATTTGGCTGAGATAGCTCCAGCATAGTGAAGAGGGCCTTGGCTTCTGCCGCATTGGATACCGACGGTTTCTCTACTAAGACATGCTTTCCAGCACGAATAGCGCGGATAGCCCACTCAAAATGCAAGCCATTCGGGAGAGGTATAAAAATGGCATCAATGTTTGGGTCATCGAGCAATTCTGCAGAATTTCGTGTATTTACTCTGTTTATTCGCACCGGTCCATTAGATTCAGTGGGAAACTGACCTTGGTATGACCCTTTTACATCAGGGATGCCGTACTCTTTGGCAAACTGTTTGGCTCGATTCTGGTCCCTTGCGGAAACAGCTTGCACGATTACTTCGGGGTGCGATTTTGCCGGGGTTATCAGAGCCAAGGGACTTGAAACTGTTGATCAATATTCAAGAGACATACTCCATATTCATCATTGAGCGGAATACTTCACGACCAATACTTACGCAATCTTGGCAGCTCCTAGGACACCGATCCGGATAGCATTGCTCTTCTTTTCGACAGTTTGGGGATTAAAGGCAGTATAAACACGTCCTATCAGCGAGATCATCTTCGTTCTTCTTGTATATTTGATATTGTCACAATCTCTTCACTGCCGAAAAATTGACGCGAGATATATATAATAGAGTCAAGAAGAATAGATCAAGTCAGGGAGTAAACCAGTCTGTAGGCAACCCACATTTCTCAAATCCGCGCTCTAGACAGATATCCCGATATTATGTGAGGATGCTTCGGGTTATTTTTTATTGGATGTGATGCACTGATTATTAGTCGGGTTTTTAGACCTTTACTTTATGTACAGCGTGAGGGCTAAATCCGAGGTTCGGACCCGAACACCTCTCGGATCCGAAAGGATGTTTTGAATGTATCGGACTCGGGAGAATCGAGAGCGAATTCAAAAATAAACATTTAAAAAGAATCTAATTTTCGACGCATGCACTTTATCAACACAATGAGACAGCGGAAAGACTGTAATGTGAGTATCCGCTCGGATGTCTCAATATTTTCTCTGCCACGTGGGACTTTCCTATCATGGCTGCAGCCGCTTTTTTGAAGGCGCTTAGTGTCAGGCTCACTGAGCCGATTTCAGTCCGGGTTCAGACTAATCGAGTTGCTCAGTGCCATCGCACGGGATGGACCAGTGGGGGCCGATAATCAGTGGTTACACTTAATCAGAAGATGGAAAAAATGCTGGGATAAAGGAAGTTGTTGAGGACTCGATTCGATGATATTGGTCATTGAATTATTGCCGATTTCTGAGGGGGCAGCTCAATATCTTTCTTTCCTCGAGCTCTCCGAGCTTCCTCACCAGAAGATATGGACATACTGATGAGCTGGTTCTGCTCTATCCTTTTGTATCCGGAAGAAGCTTTTTCATTTCTGTTCACGTCATATTGGCTATCTGTTTGCTTGCAAAATGGAATGATAGTCAAATCGTCAATGGCATTCTACGAGGAGGAATTGACATGTGGCGCCTCCAGAGCAGAAAGCGGGGGATATCAAGGTCATGTAATGAGTGATACAATACGGTGGTGTTATTTGAGGTGCGTTCAATATATCAGGAGGTCAAGAATACTTGTCTATATAGCCTCTCCGGCTTGTATAGCGGGAGTCCTGTTTCTCGTTAATTCTATCGCTGTGAGAGAAGAAATTAGAATAAGATGAGCAGTTAGCTCTCAAGAAAATTGAGGGTGGACTTATTACAGTACATAAGGTGGTTCTTCGCCTGGGAACGATAGAGTTATCCCAAGACCCATGAAGGCAATTACTTCTTGAGGATGGCTTTAAATATAGTCTCATTAAACTTGATACATCTGTCTCTAGCACGTCTTCAGAGATACTACATACCTTTTCGAGTTTCTGGGAATCTAAATTACTCTAAGTATGAGCGAATGAGTGAAGGTAGCTTACACCCCTCCACAAAACGGCGTAGAGTCCCATGGGCTCCCAGGAATATCGGGCGAAGAACTGGGCACTAAAACGAAGTTTGAGGGCCAATATATGGCATTGGAAACCCGGAGCCTAGGGCTGAGATATATGGAAAGCTAGAAACACATCATGAAAAACAAGGTCAAAGCAAATATATGGGAATCTATTATATTCAATCAATTATTCTGAATTGGTTGGGAAATCCCTGCATCCGATCTCGTTGCGAATTTTTAAAGCGAACCCCCGACAATATTGATTTGAGCGCCCGCAAGCATGGTTCTGTGATCTATTTGGTACGCTTGTAGATCTTGGCCAAGAAAGACTCAAAGACCTCCTTCTTCAGGCCGGTAGTCTCATCCACAGCAGCAATCTTGGTGCGCAGCTCGCCGACCACCTTCTCCTCGTAATCCTTGTACAACTTCTCCAGCTCAAGTTCGTTAAAGATCTTCTTGACCTTGGCTTCTTGCTCCTTGTCCTTGCGGCCATATGCGGAGTCGAGCACCGCACGTTGCTCCGGGGTGCAGCGCTGGATGGCCTGGTTGACCAGCCATGAGCACTTGTTGTCCTGAATGTCGGTACCAATTTTGCCAATGATTGAGGGGTCACCGAAGTTGTCGAGGTAGTCGTCCTGGATCTGGAAGTATTGGCCCAGCGGAATGAGGATGTCGTGCGCCTGCTTCAAGGTCTCGGGGGTCGCAAGTTGCAGGTAGAGCAGGGCCAGAGCCACAGGGAGGTAGAAGCTGTAGTAGGCGGTCTTGTAGGTGACAATAAACATGTACTTCTCCATGGAGAAGTTGTCGAGGTTGACGTTATCCTCGGGCGCAGTGATCAGATCACACAGCTGACCCAGCTCGGTTTGCCAGGTGGTTTCGTGGAAAAGTTCAACAAGATCGATGTAGGCAGGGTGGGAACGGAAGCGCTGTTTTAGGATCATGTAGATCGCCGACTCCAGCATAAAGGCGTCGTTGATGGCGATCAGGCCAACCTTATCTTGGCGGTACCAGCAGGGTTGACCACGACGAGTGATAGAGCTGTCCATAATATCATCGCTGACAAGAAAGAAGGCCTGCAGCAACTCAGTGAGCCAGCCCAGGATGCTCAAGTGCTCGAATTGGTCATCGGTCAGGGGCTTCTTCAGGAGAGCGAGGCCGGTATCGGGGACCGAGAGGCCGCGGTTCAGCTTGCCGCCGGGGACATTGGCATTGAGAGACTAGAGGTCTTGTCAGTTTCAATTATCCATTGCCTGGAGTGTATGCCGATGTTTTCTAGGGAGCGGGGAGAGTGATGATGGGCATTGTCCTACTTTCTCAAACCACTCGACAGCATTGGCAGGGAGGTTGTACCGCTTCGCATGGGCCAGGATATCCTGAGCCAGCGCAGGGTAGATAGCTTCAAAGTCGGCACGCTTGGTAGTGGAAGCCATGATCATGAAGATTAGGGGATGACGATGCGGACAAACGAAAGTCGGTGGGCCAAACAATTTACCCCCAATCGCTTTCCAATCCCCGCGGAGGGGGATGTTTGCCATTTTTGCGGCGTTTGGACTGTTTGCTGCGCGCTTGGCACCAGTACGCAACTGCTCCGCGGTGACCTACTTCTAACTTCGCTGTGCTTCATGTTCGATATTGGATGCTTGTGCAAGCCCGCAATTGCTTGCCACAGCACAGGCGCATTCAAACCAAAGTCTTTGTTTTATCCGCAATTGCTTTGCTGCTGCCCATCTCCAGCGCCAAGCCCTGTTAGCCAGTCGCGTCAACAACGCGCCAAGCCCGAACTTTTTATAGGTTGACCACGATAAATACAGGACTGTGTGGGGATTTTTCAGGTCGTGGGACATCCGAAGCTTTCCCCATAGGGATTCCCTTCTTGTGGATCCGAATGCGATTTTCTGATACTCGGAATTAATCACAACCCCGCGTCTTTGGAACACAACCATGGATTTCACCCAAGAGGACCTGCAAGAGCTCAAGTATAGGTTCGAAGATGCTGCAATCAAATGCTCGGAGAGGTGCTTGTACCAATCATCCAAATGGTGCGCGAAGATCGAGGCCCCGACTTCTCTGACGGAGAAAGAACAACTAACCAGCTTCTTTTGGTCCACAGGGCAGCGGAGATGCTTGATTCTCTCTTACCAATCGACCACGAGGATACCGATGCTGAATCCCCGATGGATATAGCAGAGCCTGCGATTCCGTCTATCAATCCATATTTGCACCCCCAGGACCCTGTCGAGGCTGCGCTGGAGGCTCAAGAAGCCCACAAATATCTCCTCGCCAAGTCGTACTTTGATACCCGGGAATATGATCGCTGTGCGGCCGTCTTCTTGCCCCCGACAACGCCGCCCATTCCTCTATCGTTGGCATCACCAAACTCCAAGCCAAAGCAGCCCCGGACAACCCCACTGAAGGGCAAAGACAAAGCCTCCCCATTCCAAGGATCCAAAGCCCACGGGAATGCCCTCAGAAACCCGTATCCGAAGTTAAGCCAAAAGTCACTATTCCTCGCCTTGTATGCCAAATACCTGGCCGGCGAAAAACGCAAAGACGAAGAAATTGAGATGGTGCTTGGGCCAGCAGATGGTGGGATGGCTGTCAACCGAGAGTTGCCAGATCTTGCCCGTGGGTTGGATGGCTGGCTGGCTGAGCGCACTGCTAAGGGACTAGATGATCAAGGTCAAGGATGGTTGGAGTACCTTTATGCTGTTGTTTTGCTTAAGGGACGAAATGAGGACCTGGCCAAGACTTGGCTCCTTCGGAGTGTCCACCAAAACCCCTTCCACTGGGGCGCATGGCAGGAATTAAATGACCTTCTTGGTAGCATTGAGGACGTATGGCCTTTCATTGGCCCAATTTTTGATTATTATGCGGGTGCTAACATCGTCACTAGTTGAAACAAATCAAGGACCTCCTTCCGGAAAATATCATGACCCTCATATTCTATGTCTACTGCAGCCAGGAACTATACCAAGCAACTGACGACACCTATTCAACTCTCAATGACCTGCAAGCTATCTTCCCGACCAGTGCATTCCTACAAACTCAAAACGCGCTACTTTTCTACCATAACAAAGGTACACGCCCTTCTGACTGTCGTTTCATTAATTTGCTTGTTTGTTCCTAGCTAACGAGCCTTTAGATTTTGAACGAGCGTCTAACATTTTTAATGAGATCCTCGCAACATCACCTCACCGCCTGGATAGCCTCGACCATTATTCTAACATTCTATACGTCATGAATGAGCGACCTCGGTTGGCCTTTGTTGCGCAGATTGCAACTGCCACAGATAAATTCCGTCCGGAGACATGCTGTGTCGTGGGCAACTACTACTCTCTAAAATCCGAACACGAAAAGGCCGTGATGTACTTCCGTCGTGCTCTGACACTCGACCGGAATTTCCTATCGGCATGGACCCTCATGGGCCATGAATACATCGAGATGAAGAATACTCACACCGCTATTGAATCCTATCGCCGCGCCGTCGATGTCAATCGCAAGGACTATCGTGCCTGGTATGGTCTCGGTCAAGCCTATGAAGTTTTAGACATGTCCTTCTACGCCCTTTTCTATTATCAGCGTGCGGCAGCTCTACGTCCCTATGATCCAAAGATGTGGCAAGCCGTCGGATCATGTTATGCGAAGATGGGCCGTGTTGAGCAGAGTATCCAGGCCCTGAAGCGTGCTCTGGTTGCAGGCTCATATTATGCTGATGATGCTCCCGGAGCGGGTGCGCGGAAAATGCTCGACCCGGAGACCCTGCACCAAATTGCAACCCTCTACGAACGTCTCGGTGACGAGGAGGAGGCAGCTGCGTACATGGAATTGACTCTTCAGCAAGAATCGGGCGGAGCCCCTGTTGATAATGAACAGGATTCCGATGAGGACGACGAGTACTCATCCGCTTCCGAACATGCTACGCACAGTGATGCCGAGCACTCTGGAGATGGTCGCTCGGACGATGGTCACATTCGCTCTCGTCAGCGCCGCCGCAAGCCTCATGCTAGAACATCGTCCTTCGGTGTTCAGAATGACGAGTCGAGTGCTGGTGAGACATGGCACCACCCGACAGCAACTACATCCAAAGCCCGCCTTTGGTTGGCACAATATGCGCTACGGAATGGTGATCTGGATCGGGCAGATCAGTTGGCAAGTGAATTGTGTCAGGATGGAATGGAGGTGGAGGAGGCGAAGGCTCTGATGCGAGATGTTCGTGCTAGGAGAGAAAATGCGAACTAGTCTTTTTTGGTGTCCGGCAAAGGGGAGTTTTTATCTCAATCTCATCAGGCTAGCGCGGCGTTTCTTGTCATCTCGACGACTCCATGAGTGTTTTTTACACACAAGTTTCCAATGTACGTTATTCTTTTCCTATTCTGCTTAGTATATTGTAACATCAGTTGCTGCTAGTATGCAACAGCGAGTCAACAGAGGGGTACTCTCCAAGTGCCAAAACTTCATCTTCGTCAAAACTTGCCAAAAGGCATGGAGATTGCTCACGGTTATCAATGCCAAAATTCATTGTTTGCCCTGACTCTTGTGTTCTATCTCCTGCCGTCAAATCCCATCGAAGACATGCATAATAATATCGGCGGCCAAGATCTCGCCAAGTCTCTCGCAGGCAAAATCGAAGATCCTCAGGCTCAAGATTCTCTTCCAGTATGACCGAGTCTAAGAAGATAATTCTTCCTTTGGGAGGGAATGCGGTCGTGTCTCGGCGGATTGATTGAAGAACGAATTTCGCCACTTTCTGTATTTCCGGTCCAAGTCGTGATTCCCCAGGATTGATCAAAGCCATTCCATAGACTATGCCTTGAGATGCCGCCAGAGGATTCGATTTTCGGAAAGCGGAGACAAAGCCTTCGGAGCATAGGGCGTGAAAGAATTCACAAATCCCAGAAGAATTTTCGTTTGCCTTCCGTAAATATTGCGTTGTCGATTTTCCAGGCATATAGACAGGGATTGTTGTCAATGGTGATTGAAATATTTCACCTTGATATTCATTTGAGAGGTATTTTGTGTCAATTTCTGTACCATTTTGATTGGGCTTTACTTGATTCTCGTGGTGCATGGAATCGAAATTGGTTGGTCGTGCGTTGGATGAGTCTTTCTGGTCCTGTTTTCCCAGCGCCGAGGAACTGATACTGGTAAAATTTAGATCAGTTCTCTTGTGAGACAACAAATTCACGTTTTCAGCTAGCACAGTTGGGTCATGAGACATATTCCGAGTACAAGACAGAATCCTAGTCTCATCGATGTGCACTACAGGAGAATCCTCGGTGCTGTTATGCGAGTGATTCAAGCTTGAATGTCGGTAGGCTGTATTGACCAATCGACAAGAGTCCATTGAAGAACCACGGTCAGTAAATGTGGCATGAGTACTTTCCGATGTTGGGGTTTCATTTGACTCTGCTTCGTACGATATTGCCGAAGAGGGGCTGCAAGATCTTTGGACCTTGTAATGACCAGATTCATCTCCAACCTTCAATCTCTTGCACCATTGTTCTTGTTCTTGGGATAGCTCTTCTGCGGGTATAGATCTGGAGTCCTCTGCCAGAAGTTGCAGTTCGCGGAAAGAAGCAGCCTCCTCAAGTGCCCTTTCTGTATGAATTTTCAGAATTCTGGGGAAGCGTAGAGTGTAGTACCTTGCACCAGATGGCTTTTCAAATCCACTGCCCATCATCTCGACGATAAACGGTCTTTTGAAAACCACAGAAGCCGCCGGGATCTCACTTCGTCCATACTCAAGATGAAAAATCTCGAAAGATTCTGGGTCAGAAGCGTAGAATTCCCCAAATTGATTGAGGTATTGTAAAAAGGTTCGATTCATGCAATGACGATTGATCACATCGATCACTTTGAACTGCGGTACAGCTTCAACTTGAAGAATAGCATCCTTGTTCAGGAGACATCCGACCAGAAAATGGGTCCACTTCAATTTTGTGGAAGGGGAAATGGCGGCCGCTTCTTGGGCATTGTAACAAGCACCTACTAACGCGAGATCCACAGTATCACCAAGACCCGGGATGTAGTCCTTTTTGAGCTTGATCCATCGACTAAACGACTTATCGACGCCAGCAGCGTATATCGGGAAATATGGTTCATCGCACCCCTTCAAAACATACCCCTCCCACCTTTGGGTTATCGCCTTTGCAAAGCTGGCTTCGAGCCGGCTTTTGCTGTCAATTCGGCTGAAGTCCAAAATATCTTGTTCCGCTACAGCAGCGTGGCCAGGAATACTTTGAACTACTTTTTGAAGAAGGAGCCTTCTTTTTCGATGGGGAGCTCTGAGGCACACGTCATCATCTAGAAGAAGAATGTCGAAAAACACAATCATCAGATGCTCATATGGCTGTGGCCTGTTTTCATCAGCTCAATCTATGGAATACCAGCTCAATGTATACTAACGGGGAATCTTGTTCGATGCCAATGAACGTGCCGGATCGGGAAAGGAATTTGCGAAGCTTGTGGAATCCTACAACTCCGCCATGCTTATCGCTCCACACGAGTAGCTCTCCTTCGAGAATACACCGGGTGGAAAACCTGCACCTAGGCTTTCCAATTTGAAGCGATTCTTCCAAGACTGTGAAAATGGCAGACCTATCTGTGGTGGAATCTTTGCCGCTTTTGGAGAAGATTTGTATTGGGTTTTGTTTCCTTGTTAGATCAATATGGATCTGACAATATTCCCCATCATACTTCCTTTCGACGCTCATACGACGTCCATTCGCCATTTGCAGACAGTGTTTGATACTGCGAGCCTTGAAATATTCAGGTCGGCCAATTTTAATTCCTGTTCTTGGCTGCAAATGTTCAAGGGCAATCGAAGACAAAGTGCCCGCCAGCTTCGGATTGGGGCGAGATGGGAAATGATTCAAGGGTTTTGAAGCCAACATACCTAATGCTCCTTCTAAGGTGCTCTGAAACTGAAGAAGATGTGGAAGCAAAAAGTGGAACCCTTCCAGAGTAATCCTCTCCGGGAGGGCTACTGGAGCGTAGCTCTTCAAAATCATGCGAGTAAGCCACTTCGCATCGCGGCTGCTCATTCTGCGATACAGTGGCGAAAGAGCGCCTTCAACGCTCACTGCAGATTGTTGTCGGCGAACCTGTGGGCCTGAGAAGCGGCACCGTGAAGCAATCATCGCCAGAGCCTGGTCAATCTCTTCTACCGAGACCTCACAACCATCGGGGACATGATTTTCAGCCTGGCGCATCACATCCTCGACGCACTGTCCCAGGTCAGGGCCACCAGACTTCCACCATCGCTCCATCTCTGCCAGCCGGGATGATCCCAAGCCCAGGCAGCGGCCAATCACGCGTGCCAATGATGTGGCCTGCAGCCAGTACACTCGGTCAGGACGTCGCTCGGGAAACATGCATGAAAGCAGGGCCAGCATATCTGTATCGGGGGAATGAATATTCCTGTCATGGCGGACGAACCATTGAGCAATGACTCGAATATCTGGTACATCTTTCCTCGTCGAAGCAGCCTTGGCCGTCCGGTTGTCCTCTAGGCTCGCTAGTAGGTCACAGAGATGGGAGAATTTGAATCCCATGAGGACGGCTGATATGGATTATATTAATTCCAAGGCATTTTCGCTTTCCTGTTCACCGAATAACACATGTCAATTCAATGTGATGCAGGACTACTGTGGGACGCGAAAATTCGCGGCGGGTTGAGACTGTGGGACACGAAAGCACGTGACTGGCAATCTATATGGGTTCGTGCTAGAATTGAGATAGTTGGAAAGCAAGTTTATAGGACATGTCGACGTAGGTGTTCTTTAAAATGTTCAGTCTAACTAAAGACTTGGTAACTGAGACTACTGCAGACCATTGCAGATCAACCATGATATTCGCCAAACTCCAAGCCTTTTGTTTGATATTGCATACATCGTCCCAAGGAAAGCAAAGAAGTCAGTCTGATGGTTATAGAATTCCCTGCTTTTGGAGGCTGCGGTATGTTAGCATCAAAAATATTATAGTCCAAGATGGGGGAATGACTGACTCCAGATAGATTCTCTCCGGCATAACGTTGCCCTCGGCATCCTCCATCTGCACAACATTGTCACGGGAGTCCCGCTCCTTCTTACGATCACCCTCGAGTTTCTCCCACAGACGCATAGCGTCTTCAATCCGAGTAATCTCACGAAATAGATTGGTGTTCGTTGTGATTCCCAAGCACTTCAGACCGTAGATGTGTAAGGCTTCGGAGAAATGCTTATCAAAAGCCCGGCGACCCATGTAAACATAATTTCCGCAGATCTCACATGGATATTCAACACCCAGACCGTGCAACTTGTAAAGCCAGTACGGAATAGGCTTGCCATCCCATGCCAATGGCAGTTTCAATGGGTTGTAAATTCGATCTTCATCATCGTCGTCATCAGAACGATCCCTGTCACGGCTTTCGCCATAGTCCTCATCTTCAGCCATCATGGCTTCATAATCCATCTGACGTTCGCGCTCTGTCTGACCCTGTCGCCGCTCCACATTGGTTCGGGTGGCTTGGCGCTCCGATTGTAGCTCCTTTGTCAAGCATCGAATGCGGTGTTCGCGCTCGGCAACTGCACGCTCTTTCAGGCTAAAGGATGAAGAACCATTGGCAACAGGGGCTGATGTTGTCTCATTCGACCGGCCGGAAGCTTCACGGGCCTCGGCAGCACGGATATGCTTCTTTCCGGTCAAATGATTCTTATACACGTTGCTGTTCTTGAACTCCTTCTCGCAGTCTACACACCAGATCCCTTCACCGGTGCCTTCTGTCATGGGTCCAGATGCAGAATTCTCCTCCTCCATCCAACCTGGAACCTGCTTCGAAGACCATTGGTTGTCGAATTCTTCGTCAAATGTAGCAAACAACTTGTTGAGATCCTGCAATGGCCGCACCCGCTTAATGAAACCTTCCAGGTAACTGGCAAGTTCACCAACATAGTGAAAGTATTTATCGGAGACCTTATCTTTCCGCTTGATGTTCAGGGCGGGCGGCGTAAGGACGTCGAAGACATCAAGGTATTGAACGTATGACAGCCGCTTAACTCCGGGAAGATTCAAATACTCTTCATGGGTCCGCGTCAGATCCAGGAATCGTCCAAATCCTTCTTCGCCAGTAAACATGTTGTCCACCTCGCGACGTGGCCCCTCGCCATCGCCGCGTTTATATGCTTGCTCAAGGTTCTCGGCCGGTTCATTGGGATAGCGTTTGTGGAAGTCCTTGATCTCATCCAGCTGCTTATAGAATTCTTCGAACTGATCTCCAGTCGCAATGGCCTGCGCTTCTTTTTCGCGAAGTCCATCGGCATCCTTGTAGATTTCCAGGAGGCGTTTCGACTGTTCTTCAATTCTGGTTAAAAATCGAGCAAGCTCATGGTCTCGAGCAAGTCTCTGTCGAATCTATCAAGAATTTTAGCCTTAGAATTCGATTAATAGCAACTTATCGCGGAAGGCGCATCTCACGTTTTGGGGGTTCTCAGCCTTGCGATCAGCAACAGCCTGCTCGAGGCGCTCGAGATCCTCGTGGAGAAATCGCTGGTCTTCAAAAATCATTTTGAATCTGCAACCGCCCTTTGAGACCTTTGCGTCTGCTGAATCAAAGAGTGGTTGAAGATTGCTATGGCCGATGAAGACCGCGGCGGGTTGAAAGCTGCAGCTTTACGGGTGGTCACGTGATGGGCGCCACTTCTGGTCGCAAAAAGTCATTCTGAACGGTCACCGCGGACAATGATCACTGTCAACTTTTACTAAAACTCGGTTCGCTCTCTTGTTGAACGCCAATATCCTTACACCTTTCAATATGGCGGACGGAATCGATCGACGTGCTGATGGTAAGTACTTCACGAGTCAAGCTGAAATGATAGCAAGGCTAACAGCTACCGCAGAGCGGATGGAGTTCAGCACCTCTAAGGAGGTTACGGTGGCACCAACCTTTGAGGACATGCACCTGAAGGAAAGCCTTCTTCGTGGTATTTACGCCTATGGTTATGAGTCTCCTTCGGCCGTTCAGTCGCGTGCGATTGTCCAAATTTGCAAAGGTCGCGATACCATTGCGCAAGCCCAGTCTGGTACTGGTAAAACAGCAACCTTCTCGATCAGTACTCTCCAGGTTATCGATACTGTAGTGCGTGAAACTCAGGGTATGTAATTATTTGCATCTCACTGCCTTGTAACTCTTTGTGCTAATCTCGCGCTGTTGTTCTATAGCCCTGGTCCTCTCCCCCTACTCGCGAACTTGCAACTCAGATTCAGTCCGTCGTCATGGCCCTTGGGGATTACATGAATGTCCAATGCCACGCATGCATTGGTGGTACCAATATTGGCGAGGATATCCGCAAGCTGGACTACGGCCAACACGTTGTTTCGGGAACCCCTGGTCGCGTGGCCGATATGATCCGCCGTCGGCACTTGCGCACACGTCACATTAAGATGCTGGTTTTGGATGAAGCAGACGAGCTTCTCAACCGTGGTTTTCGTGAACAAATTTATGATGTCTACAGATATCTCCCCCGGCGACCCAAGTCGTGGTTGTTTCGGCTACCCTTCCCTACGATGTTCTGGACATGACCACCAAGTTCATGACTGACCCCGTTCGGGTTCTGGTCAAGCGTGATGAATTGACCCTCGAAGGCATCAAGCAATACTTCATTGCTGTTGAGAAGGAAGAGTGGAAATTCGATACACTCTGCGATCTTTACGACACTTTGACCATCACTCAGGCGGTGATCTTTTGCAATACACGGCGCAAGGTTGACTGGCTCACTGACAAGATGCGCGAGGCCAACTTCACTGTTTCCAGCATGCATGGTGAAATGCCCCAGAAGGAGCGTGACAGTATCATGCAGGACTTCCGCCAAGGGAACTCTCGTGTCCTTATTTCTACTGACGTCTGGGCCCGTGGTATCGACGTTCAGCAAGTGTCCCTGGTCATCAACTACGATCTGCCCACTAACCGTGAGAACTACATCCACCGTATTGGTCGCAGTGGTCGTTTCGGCCGTAAGGGCGTGGCTATCAATTTTGTCACCAGCGACGATGTTCGCATCCTTCGCGATATCGAGCTGTACTACTCCACCCAGATTGATGAGATGCCTATGAACGGTGAGTTACCATATATTGCAAACACAGTCATCAGTTACAGGGTTTCTAATCATTTTTTTTCTCATACAGTTGCGGATCTCCTTTCATAATTATTACGACTCTGCATTCACCTTGCTATTCTTGTTCCATCGAGCCCAAATTGCAAAATATCCTGATACCTTATCTGAAAGCAATTGCCATTTATTGGTCCAATGCGCGCCTCCTCAGATGTAAATTGACACTAGGGCCTCACAGAAATTAAGGAGTCATCTGTGAGACCAGGTCTAGCGTGGAGGAAAGGGGAAAACATCATGATTTAGTGAGATGACACCATTACCAATCGGCGCTCCCCCTGTTCGCTAACTCGCTACGGTATCATTCAGTCTAAGATTGCCAGGCAGAGTTTATTTTCTTGATGAATGCGCTGATGAAATTTCTTGCCGAATTTGAGTTCTGGAGGCTGGAGCATCCTGTTAATTTGTCTCTGCTCATTATAGTTTATTCCGGGTCTGGGCTAAGGAGTTACGATTGATGCAATTGATTTTATTCTCTTGTGGATACACTTTCCATAAAACAAACCTTTTTCAGCCATTCATGTTTGGTAACCTTGAAAGTCCTATCAATTGTCTAGGGGGAGTTTCATGATATCGGCCTTCCTTGAGCTTGCATTTCAATTTCATCTAGAAAAATGCAAACAGGGATAGATTCGAACGCAATCCTCAAACTAGAATGGATCAATGACCTTGTGTTGAACGAAGCACCAACGCCTAGAACATGGCAGAATAAGAGCCGAGAGAACAAGGACATATAACCGCAAAGAAATAATATACCTTACAGAATGACGAGTAATGGATTCCCAAGACGAATGCCGGCGCCGTTCCTGTATTAACTTGAGATGTTTAGGAAATTTCATACCCAGAGAGGATGTTGGAGGGAGCGGGAAAAGTGATGGTACTCTGTATATGCGACGCGGTGAGGAAGGAGAGGGCATGGAGACCAGATGCGCAAGGGAGTGACTTGGGCGAGGTTGGCTAATGTTTGAAGAAGAGAAAGGGTGATTTGAGTGGGCAGATAAAATAAAAGTCAAGTTGGTTTATCGTCTTTGGTTCCAGAAAGCTCCGGGTATGATTTGTGGCTTGGCCGTGGTACAAGATTTGCTGATCAAATGAAAATGCCTGATTAAAAAAAGCACCCTCGCGAGACAGTAGTCATTGCAAACATTCTGAATATAAGATCAGAGCGGGAAGTAATTTCCCTCACATGATCAGAAAGATCAGAATGCAGAAGTTGTTCTTAGTGCACTGGTACGCGGATAGCCATTAGGCGATACCCCACGCCGTTGATTCTGTTCCACTGCTGAGCGAGATCGGTCTTGGCCGGGTGTCCAGCTAAATGATTGTCAGGAATATGGGCAAGCGACAAGGTCAGCAGAAACATACATGCGAACTGCTTTATCATCACCTGCAGAGGCGAACATGGTTGGAATTTCTGGGTTCCATGATATTGAATTCACGCAACCCTTCATATGGCCTTCCAAGGTTTCAACAAGAGTACCATTCTCCTTGTGCCAAATATAGATTCGAGAGTCTAACGATAGTTAGCACGACGGGGGATTCCGACCCAAATGGACTTGATGCTATACTTACCCTCGCTACCACTGACAACAAAGTTCTCTCCTGCTCCACCAAAAATGCTCCGGATAACATAACCACCCTGTTTGTGCCCTCGGAACCGTCGTGCAACAGTAGTTGTATCCAGGTCAATCAACTGGATTTCACCCTCCGCCAAATTCACCAGGACAAACTTGGAATCCTTGCTGATAGCAACCGAGGTCGGTTTACTCGGCAGCGAGAGGCAGTAATCTTCCTCACGAGTCTGGAAATCAAATACGTGGAGCTTGGAATCTGTGTCGGCGGCGACTAGTCGCCGCCCGTCAGGGCTGACTGCACAATCGTAAACACGGAAACCGCCCTTCCATGTGTGCAACGATGTTCCACGCATGCTCCATAGACAAAGGCCAGTATTTGCGTCGAAAGATGACGTTATAAATGACTCTCCATCAGGAGCCCAACCAGCAGAAGTAACTGGGTAGCTGTGGTGGTCGATAGTAAGAAGACAGCGGCCCGTCTGCCATATGATCATCAGCCTCGGTCAGCTATAGTGCTGATGGATGATCTGTATCGCAAATTTTCTTACCTCGACGTTCCAGACACGCGCTGTATGATCTTGCGAACACGTAATGAGTTTCGAGTCATCCGGACTCCAGCTGGCAAAAGCAACACCCAGTGAGTGCCCGGTTAGCTTATGGAGCACGCTGAAATCATTCGTGTCGTAAATCAACACCGAGCGATCCTGACCCGCAGTAACCAGCTTGGTGCCATCATGAGAAAACCCGCAGTGCCAAACTTCATCAGCATGGTGTGTGAGGTCACCAGTAACTTCCAACGGAAAGTCATTTCGGTCACACATGTGATCTGAGTAAAGGGATGGCGGATAGGCGGTATTATGATATAAACAATCGTGGATCTGATTCCGCTTTACCTGATTCAACAAGATCGCGAGCCGATGCTGGGGGATCATGACCGAGGGAGATATTGATTCTACGCCGTCTCGGTTAGTAAAAAGAAATTAGGGGCTGCCATGAGGCTCCATGATGTGAATCTCACTTGACAGGTCGGCCAAGAGCCGTTCTCGAGACAAGCTGACCGGACCATCCCAGCCTGCTTGGTCATGGAGCAATTCCATGGGGCACATGAGAAGACTGTGCGGCGATAGAGGTGGACTGTCAGAAGGCCATAGATCGGTCGAGAGAGAAGCCCGACCTCTGAGTCGGAATTCACAGATCAGACTCACCTGGAGAGTGCATGGAGCCTATCCACATCGTAATTTAACGGTGTCAGTTCCTGACGGAGGACGAGAAGGGCCGAGGCCAAATCCCGCGCCTCGAGAAGTTCCAAGAACTTCTGCTGGCGCAGGTAAAATAGCATTTCGCTCCTATCGGCCTCCTCAGCCAATACGAGGGTCTCCTCCGGGGCCGACTTTTGGCCATTATTGGACCCCGAGTTCCGGAAAGACTGAATCAGAATCTTTTCGGCTTCCGACCACCGTCCACCTAGCACCGCGTTACGGAATGTCGCCACTCCCGAAGTTTCTAGTTCGTACCCGCTCTCTGCGCTCAGCGTGGAGGCGGCGTCGTTGTAGCCCAGCTCGTAGAGGCTCTGGATCAAGATCCGCGTCACCTCCTCCCGGTTATGCCCGTAATACGAGGAATTCGCCAACAATGACTTGCCAGTGCCGTTCGAATGCGTCTCGCCATTAGCTGGCGCCGTTAACTGGCCGTTCAAGTTGTTTTTGCGGAGCGTAGACCCGTTGGAGGCCTGCGAATAGCCATTTGTGGTCGACGGAGTATCCGCACGCATCGTTGCCAGGCGCCTGCGCTTGCGAGATGGGGAGCGGCCGTCCAATCGACCCGGTTGGGAGCTGGGATGGGTTTGAGATGCGGCTTCACGTGGCCCGGCGTCTTCAGCGTAGATGCCGGTGCCCGCCGTCCGGGTGACGAGAGATTCCTCGGAGCTGGTGCTTGAGAGACGACGACGGCGAGGGTTCGTCGGGTGCGAGCTAGGGTTAGCTGGGTCGGGGTTCGAGAAGGAAACAGCGGTGGAATCAAAGGGGAAAGGGAGTTCGGGGTGGTCGGGGGCGAAGGGTTGATGATCGGGAGGACTGTCGGCCAGGTCGGCTCTGGGGATCTGCGTAATCCCCTGGCTCTTTGGAAGAACCAGGTGAGCAGACCTGCACAGGGGAATACGGAGATAAGGAGGACAAGTGACGAATCTCAGTCTTCGGCAGGAGACGGAGGAGCTCAGTAAATGAATCAGACGATGATATGGTCGAAGGGTCGGCGTGGTGGGGGGGGGGGAAGAGGGTGGGAAGCGACGACTAGCAAGGTCGGGAGCTTCTGTGACGGTCCTGGGATTGGATCAAGGTTGAGGCTAGGATATCTGAGGGGGTTGACAAAAAAGAGTCACTTGGATGGGCCAGAAAGTATCACCAGGATCACCAGGATCATCAGTATCACCAAGGGGGAGTTGAAAGGTGCACGGATCGCAGAGGATGAGAGCGTTGTAGAAGGGGAGTCGTGGGTCTCTCCGCTTTGCCGGAGATCAGCTTATCGGCGGTCACCACGACGATTGGCGAGAGCTCGTCCCCACTCCGTCACCGGGTGTGCTTCCCCAATGATTTTCAATAATCTGAATCACGAGCAGCAGGAGGAAGAGCAGGAGAAGTGTAGCTGATCCTAAACTCATCGGGGATCTGGTTAGTCCTGTGTGGTCCAGGGAATCGGAAACTGCAAAAACAACGCAGTCGCCAGAACCCGCTTCACCATGAAACGTATGCAAGGATTTGAGGATTTGAGGATTTGATCGCTGCCAACAAAGCGCCCAAAGAGCAAATGAAAGAATGGAATATGCTCTTCTGGTGGATTCTATTGACGTCTGGTTGCCCTAGGCGTCCTAGTAATGTACAGCCCAAAATCCCACAGCCCTTATATAGCCCATCGAGACTCCTCGATCCTAGAACCTAGTTTATAGTTCATAAGCTCGTAGTCCATAGTCCATAGTCCATAGTCGCATTCCAGTCCCAAGATAGATAGATCATGTACCAACGTTTCTACAAGACGGGATGCAACCTTGCAGCTGTTGGTCTATTTATATTCAACACTTGTCTAGGATAGAAGTGCCAGAGGAATGTTCGTATCGGGATCTGCACGGAGCCCTAAATCATCGGAGGGAGCACCTCATTAAAACCCTGACATCGTTTCCGGTCGCAGCGTGTGTCGCGGTCGAGGGATGCAATACAGGGCGAGAAGAACGAGCGGAGAGAGAAAGGGAAGAGGCCGCCTCTCAAACGAATGAGATGTCAAGATGCTCGAGTGTGACTCTCTGCCGGCTTCCATGGGCCTTGTCCTCCCCACTGACGCCATCATGATGCCGTCGGGAGCCGCCCACCTCCCACCGCGAGTTCTAGAGAATATAAAGCTTTCCCCCGGCTTATCGGGAGTTCCCTTCCCCAACTCTCTGATCGCGCCATTTGCGAACAATCAGGTTCCAGGATTCTCCCACTTTTCCACTTTTCCACGTTTTCCACCTCTCACACCGAACCATGGGCTGTGGCTGCGGATCGACTTGCACCTGTACTGGTGCTCAGGGCTGCACCTGCGACAGCGGCTGTTCCTGCAAGGGATGCGGAGTAAGTCAATCTTCTCTTCCTCCTCAACGCCCCCCTCCTCTCCAACACTGGGGAGGGAGGACAATGAGCCAGGATAGGCGCTGACTAAGTACATCGCACCGTGTAGAAGTAAAGCATAACTCTCCTTCCACCTGCGCCTCACCTATCTGCTGCCGCCTATCTGTTCAGTAAAGTTCAGCTACCGCCTACTTCCAAACCATACGGAATGGGATTGAGGCATCCATAACCCATAGGAGGATTGGCTTGGGGGGAAAGGGGAAGGAAATGACATGTACAATGTCTATTGCTTCGTGAATGACCTCTTGAATTTGATTCCTACTTGGCCCTGAATTTCAGTTGAAACCGAAACCCGCTCGGCAACTCTTAAAGTGTATATGGTGTGTAGACGTCATTACCCTCTGCTTGCCGCGCACCGTCGACGGATCCCTTTACGGTAAGTTCATTACTTCACGGTTGACAGCTAAGGCCACCAAAGCCCACAGCCATAACCTCATCTCAGATGGGTGGTACAGGATGCCGAATCCATTATGGGCGGATTCATGTCGTATAGAGTATCTAGGTAGCCCATAGAGAGCACACACAGCCCCTCAGCCCACTGCCCACTGTCAGTCTATTACGATTAATGTTGTGACCACGTTCAATCATTCATTCACCTGGTCGGTGTTGATAGCTGGCTCGCCCCCTGTCGTCGACAAGCGCCAATCTGTTTCAGAAAATGCTTAAAGTACATTATGTGATATATAGGATTCAGCCAGGTGCTTGCAGGAACCTCCCTCGCCCAGCTCGGGGTGACCAGGGAAACGGCGATATCACGACAATGACCCCATGGCGGTCAAGTTCGGACCACCGAGAGCAGCTGGGGAGAGGCAAGCATATTTGCGGCAAATGCCAGCGCCAAACCTAGTGTGGCAACGACACTAAAAGCCGTGAATAGCCCCAACCGGGCGAGGCTCTCGACCCCGGGTCTCTCGAACTTCGTGGTACGCCGCTGTCCCAAGCGCGTCGTCCGCGTTAATGTCGGCACATATTTGAATTCGAATCGAGATTCGCCTCCCAGGCCAACCTTCTCATCCGTGATCATTTTGTAGAAATATTTGCGACGCATCTGGGCCAGAGAGTTAATGTCACGTTATCCTGCAGGGTGGAAGTCGGGTGGGATCAAGCAGCTAAAAAGACCTACCGCAATCATGAACTGATCCAGAGGGTGAATCCGGGGGATGATGTAGGACACAATCATCACCCAGAAACAATAGCCCCAGATGAGCATGCGATAATACAGACTAGGTCGCGGGATCTCGAGCTCATCCGACAGCTGATCCCCGTTGAGCAGTCGACTCATCGCCTCCATAAATTCCTTCGAGGCGTACGCAGGAGCAGTATTCTCGAGGCCCAGGATGATATTCTTCGCCAGCACTTTTCCGATCTCGGTGGGATCGATCTCGGAAATCAGCAGCGATTCCATCATGGCTCGGGCCTTGGCCGTACTCTCAAACGGCTCCGTGGGGGTTCCCATGTAGTATGCGACGAGGCGCCAGAGGGCAATATAGTCCTCAATTTCCTGCTTACTGAGGTAGATGCCCTGGCGCGGGAGTCCGAGCCAAACCACAGAGCTGCAAAAGGTGTTGATGGTGCCAATGCAGTCGAGATCGCTGACCGGCGTGCCGTATTTGGCGACATCATAGTAGTTGGGTTGCTCTTCGACCAGGCTGAGAATCTTCAGACGGACGGAAGAGTGGAGGAGCCGCACGCGAACACAGGATATATTGCCCTCACCACCCGGTCTCATGCCATCTGCCGAGCTGCTGACCTGAAGGATATGCTGCAGCGTTTCGAGAAGACGGCGACGGACTACTTTGGCACCGAAACCGCCCGTTCGTGCCAGTGTTTCAACGACTCGGATCGCGCCCCTAGAGAGAGATAGAAAGAGGATATTCAGCCCAGGTCCGTTCGATTCGGCTCTGTAGCGTAGGGTGGGAAGGAAAGGATGGGACGTTAAAGCTCTTACATTCCCCCAAGTAGGCTCTCAAAGCCGAGCTGTACAGAGGTTGTTTAGTGCGAGGGTTCCCCATGGCCAACATAAAACTAGACCCAACGTACTACATTCAAGATCGGGAGACCGTATCGGAAGAACACATCCTGTCCTCGTTGGATCTGATCCCAGTCCACCCATTCTGGGATGGTGTTAACCTGCTCCCATAGCTCCTTCAGTTTGGGGTCTTCATCCGCATGGTCTTTGAGCAGTTTGTATAGATCTTTCTTAAATGGCCGGTCTGTGTCACCCTCTGTGGGAATTTTGTTCAACTGCTGTACACAATGATCTGCGAGACTGTCATAGGTAGAAACCATTGGCCGCAACTGCTCCTCGGACTGGTGAAGATCCGTCCAGTGAAAAGAGTATCCCCAGTAGTGATACTCGGTGCTGTTCCCTCGCCGGGGACTCTTCAACACCATGGTGAGGATCAGAGATCAAGGTCAACACGTGAGCTCGTGAGCTGCTGGGTAAAATGGGCTTGGGGCTATCCGATTGAGATCCATGCTCTTGGACTGCATGAGGATTATTATATTTTCCTGGGGATGAGTCCACACACGAGTCATTCACAGATGTCATGGCCAGCGTGGCCGTTGCCGCCAACCGTGGTCCGTGGTCCGGGGTTCAGGCAAGAGAGGGGTTAGGGCTGGCTGGGCGCTTTGCATGTGAACCCATCCGTTTTCTGCGCAGGATCGACACATACTTCGGGGAATCAGGCCCCTACATGAGAACCAATATGAGGCCTAGGGAATGGCTGTACATCTTGTAGATCAGTTTTTCATCGGACACTGGGAGACTGGTTCGTTCCTCGACTGCAGTCACGACCCGAACTGCCCTGAATACGTCCTGGAATCTGGCAAGTCGAAAGGGGAAGGGGGAAGGGGGAAGGGGGAAGATGAGACCTTTCACATGCTATGGCCCTTCCCCAGGCAAATCTGGGGAAGTATTTCTCTTGCTCTTGCTATCTAGGCCATTGCTCGATGATTTGACTAAACAGATGAAGAAATGAAGTAGCAAAGCGGAAGGAGATTTGCCTCCATGTGAAGGATAGACAATCGGAGGCGGAATGGCCCCGTAGTGTAGTCGACCGGTCAGGTTCGGGAAATCTAGCCATAAATCACTCTTTGAGTCCCGTGGATATACATAATATGACATAAAGCAGCCTGGCTCCGCTGGTGGCCGAAGATTCTGCTACCTCTTAGAACTCTGATAATGTGGTGTTAAGTGATTCAATCCAGTCTGATAACTATACATAAGAATGGATGGATGCGGCGTTGGTGGTAAGAAAATATAGAATCTTGTCTCGATGAAGTGATCATCAGCTATCTAGAATCATATCATGTGTCCTATTGGTTTTGTCCATGCTATTCCCGATAAGGTAGAAGTGGCAGTAGTGGGAGGCAACGCCCTTCATGATATATGATACACACATATATATATAAGATATATACTCATTCAGGATAGAAGAGACACTCCAGTTCATTAAGCTGCTGCTTTTGATGCTTCGAGGACATCCACACTGGTTAGACAGGCCACGAACGGCACATGTCACACGGCGACCTCGACCTCGATCGAACCTCTGCATATCGCGCACACATCTGGAGGAAGGTGGCGGAGAAGAAGGGGGGGGGGGGGGGGGGAACGGGTTCGTGGAAGTTGTTAGAAGTTGTCTAGTGGTCCATTCGATCCACCTGAACCCTATCGATCGATGGGCTGAACGTGGTGGGGTTGGATGTTGGAAGGGCATTCTGCACGTACGGGAAGGACGGGAAGGACGGCGAGTTAACGGGGAATATAGAGCACACGGTTTGAACAAGAGTCGAGGATATGAGGATATCTCAAATGTTGACATGATTAAATCCCCGCTGCCACCTGGCTATAGCCGTCTGCTGAACCTGAAGCCCAAAGCCTGGAGCCTAGAGCCGACAGGCTGGTCAAAAAGCAAAATAGGGCCGATCGGAGTGCCAATCCCGCCAGTGGATGAACGAGACCTGGATTGGATGACAGCTTTTAGGGGGGACTCCACGACGACACCCTGGTCGATTGGCCGCCCCGAACAACTTTGACTATGTATGTTCAGTACATGGGCACGGTTTCGGCCATCTCTGCAGAGCGGATGTTAGGATTGGGCCGGCCTCGACTGCGAACACAGCCTTCGCTGCTGCAACTGATCCATCGCCACGAGGAGCTCCCCGAGCCCCAACCCCCGTCACCGCCCGAGCTGCCACCGCTTCCAGACTCGCCCGCCTCAACCAGCTCATCCAGCTCGACCAGCTCGACCAGCTCGACCACCTCCTCCCTCATCTCCTCCTCCTCTCCTGCCCCCCAAACCTCTTCCAAAATGGCTCCGTCCACGGAAAGCCATGCTCATGGCTCGATCTTTTCCGTCTCCGGACCCGTCGTCGTGGCCGAACACATGATCGGATGTGCTATGTACGAGTTGGTATGCTGCCCACCTTCTCCCCCCCCCCCACAACTCACGGAAGCATCGTACTGACGTTTTTTGCTGTTTCTTCTTAGTGCCATGTCGGTCATGACTTGCTTGTGGGTGAAGTCATCCGTATTGAAGCCGACAAAGCCACGATTCAGGTCTATGAGGAAACCGGTACGTCTGCTCTCTCTCTCCTCCCCACTCCCCGGGGCCACGTATGCTTCGGGCTGCCTAAAGTTTGCGCCCTCATGATCGACGATACTAATTGAGACAACTTCGTCTGAACAACAGCCGGCCTGACTGTTGGTGACCCTGTGACCCGGACCGGCAAGCCTCTCTCCGTGGAGCTGGGCCCCGGTCTGATGGAGACGATCTACGATGGCATTCAACGACCCCTCAAAGCTATCTCCGATAAGTCGGGAAGCATCTACATTCCCCGCGGTATCTCTGTCAACGCGCTGGACCGCGAGAAGAAATGGGAGTACAAGCCTGCCGCCTTCAAGGTCGGCGATCACATCACCGGCGGCGACATCTGGGGCACTGTGTTCGAGAACAGCTTGGTCAACGACCACAAAATCCTGCTGCCCCCGCGCGCCCGCGGTACCATCACCCGGATTGCCCCTGCCGGCAACTACACGGTGGAAGAGAAGCTGCTGGAGGTCGAGTTCGAGGGCAAGAAAACCGAGTACGGCATGATGCAGACCTGGCCCGTCCGTGCGCCCCGCCCCGTCGCCGACCGGCTGTCCGCCGATGCGCCCTTCATTGTCGGCCAGAGAGTGCTGGATGCTCTCTTCCCCAGCGTCCAGGGCGGCACTGTGTGTATCCCCGGTGCCTTCGGATGCGGCAAGACCGTCATTTCCCAAAGTGTGTCCAAGTTTTCAAACAGTGATATCATCGTTTATGTTGGCTGTGGTGAGCGCGGTAATGAGATGGCCGAAGTTTTGATGGATTTTCCTGAGGTATGTTCTTATGCTCACCCATGATGATATCGGTGCAGGACTTGGTAATAATGTGTTGCTTTTCTTTACTAGTTGACCATCAACGTCGAAGGTCGCAAAGAGCCCATCATGAAGCGAACCTGTCTGATCGCCAACACCTCCAACATGCCTGTCGCCGCTCGGGAGGCTTCGATCTACACCGGTATCACCATCGCCGAATATTTCCGTGACCAGGGCAAAGACGTGGCCATGATGGCTGACTCCAGTTCCCGCTGGGCCGAGGCTCTGCGTGAAATCTCGGGTCGTCTGGGAGAGATGCCCGCTGACCAGGGTTTCCCTGCGTACCTAGGTGCCAAGCTGGCCTCGTTCTATGAGCGTGCCGGTAAGAGCAGTGCCCTGGGTAGTCCTGAGCGTATCGGCAGTGTGAGCATTGTCGGCGCCGTCAGCCCACCAGGTGGTGATTTCTCCGATCCCGTTACCAGCAGTACTCTTGGTATTGTACAGGTCTTCTGGGGTCTGGATAAGAAGCTGGCCCAGCGCAAGCATTTCCCCTCGGTCAACACTGCCATGTCCTACAGCAAATATACTACCGTCCTAGATAACTACTACGAGAAGCACAACCCCGATTTCCCTCGCCTGCGTGACCAGATTCGTGAGCTGCTGTCCAAATCCGAGGATCTTGATCAAGTCGTGCAGCTGGTTGGTAAGGCGGCGCTTGGTGACTCGGACAAGATCACCCTGGATGTCGCCGCTATGCTCAAGGATGATTTCCTCCAGCAAAACGGTTACAGTGACTATGACCAGTTCTGTCCCTTGTGGAAGACTGAGTACATGATGAAGGCGTTCATGGGTTTCCACGACGAGGCACAGAAGGCTATCGCCCAGGGCCAGAACTGGAGCAAGGTGCGTGAGGCCACCGCCGATATCCAGAGTGCCCTACGGAGCATGAAGTTTGAGGTTCCCGACGACGAGCAGGAGGTGTCGGGCAAGTACGAGAAGGTGCTCCAGTCTATGTCGGAACGATTTGCTTCGGTGTCGGACGAATAGACAGGTGTGTGGTGGGAGATCTCTATTTTGCTGTGCATTTTCTCTCCCTCCCCTCCCTCCCTCTCTTTCTCTCTCTCTTTCCCTTCTTTTCTGTTTCCGGCCATTATACTTGTCTAGCACGCATTCACCCTGTAGTTATTGTTTCAAATCGACGATTGTTCTTCTTTGGGGCAGACCTTCTCCCGTATTAAGCATATTAGGCATCGAAATACTCGAGAGAGCCCTCGTTTCCCGAGCCCCGGCGCGTGACCAGGCGACCGCGGAACCATCTAGCACGTATAGCCAGTACAGAAAGTGTATATTAGATGTACATAAACTATATACAATGTCTGTACATAGCATATCGAGAGCGCGCATGTGGCCCATTCAGACCTGAGGACGGAGTACAGTATATACTTCGGGCAGCCGTCGGGGAGACTTCTGACTGCAGTGTTGCCTGCCAACGTGGAGCCCTCGGGGCTGGACTCACCCGCCACTCGCATCACCGCCTTCGACACTCGCCGACCAACAAACAATCTTCCGCTTCCAACTTTCTCTACGTGCCTCTTTCTCTTCACCCTTTTCTGGTTTTTCCTTGATATTCTTTTGTGCCCAACAGAGTCTTCCTCCAATACTTCGCCAGCCATGGCATCCCCGACCACTGGCTACTCGTATGCAGCCCACTTCCCCCTGTCCATCCCCCTCCTCCACTCCGATGCATCGGCCCTAACTAGGTTGTGCGCAGTATAAATGTGAATGATCCTAGCTTGATCTCACTGGTCAACAAGCTTCAAGATGTGTTTTCTACAGTCGGCGTACGTTCCTCCCCACCTCTGCGAATGTGTGGCAACCGTGGTCTCTTATCCGAAACTGACACCGCTGCTTTGATCCAGGTCCACAACCCCATCGACTTGCCCCAGATTGTCGTCGTCGGATCGCAGTCGAGTGGAAAGAGTTCAGTACTAGAGAACATTGTCGGTCGTGATTTGTATGCGCTCCTCCGATCTCCTTGGATTCCTCCCCCGGCCCGTCTGCGCAACCCTGGTGGCGGTGGGGGTGCCTCCGGTGGTGTCGTCGTCAGCTATTGCTAACCACATTTTACGGGATTTGTAGCTTGCCTCGTGGTTCCGGAATTGTCACTCGGAGACCTCTCATTCTGCAACTTATCAACAGACCCGCTACCGCGCAAACAAATGGCGACAAGAAGCTCGAGACCACCGATAGCGAGTCCAACGTCGATGAGTATGGCGAATTCCTACACATGCCTGGCCAGAAGTTCTTCGATTTCAACAAGATTCGCGAGGAGATCGTCCGTGAGACTGAGACCAAGGTTGGCCGCAATGCCGGTATCTCACCTGCTCCGATCAACCTTCGAATCTACTCGCCCAACGTCCTCACCCTGACCCTTGTCGATCTGCCCGGGTTGACCAAGGTGCCCGTCGGAGACCAACCGAAGGATATCGAGCGTCAGATTAAGGACATGGTGCTCAAGTACATCAGCAAGCCCAACGCCATCATCCTTGCCGTGACTTCGGCCAACCAGGATCTGGCCAACTCTGATGGTCTGAAGCTCGCGCGTGAGGTAGATCCGGAGGGCCAGCGCACCATCGGTGTGTTGAGTAAGGTTGATCTGATGGACGAGGGCACTGATGTCGTGGATATTCTCGCTGGACGAATTATCCCCCTGCGCCTGGGTTACGTTCCCGTTGTTAACCGTGGCCAGCGTGATATTGAGAACAAGAAGCTCATTGCCTACGCTTTGGAGAACGAGAAGAATTTCTTCGAAAACCACAAGGCTTACCGAAACAAGGCATCCTATTGCGGTACTCCCTACCTTGCTCGGAAATTGAACTTGGTATGCTCTATCCTACTAACTTGATATGGATCCTGGCAGACTAGGAAACTGACTTGTTTTTTTAAAAAAGATCCTTATGATGCATATTAAGCAAACTCTGCCCGATATCAAGGCTCGTATTTCCTCCTCGCTGCAGAAATATACTACCGAGCTGTCACAACTTGGCGATTCAATGCTTGGCAACAGCGCCAACATTATCCTCAATATCATTACTGAGTTCAGCAATGAATACCGCACGGTATTGGAAGGCAACAACCAGGAGCTATCCAGCATCGAACTCTCGGGTGGTGCTCGTATTAGCTTCGTGTTCCACGAGCTCTACTCAAATGGTGTCAAGGCTGTGGATCCCTTCGATCAAGTGAAGGACATCGATATTCGCACTATTCTCTACAACTCGTCGGGTTCATCCCCGGCCCTGTTCGTCGGAACCACTGCCTTTGAATTGATTGTGAAGCAACAAATCAAGCGACTGGAAGACCCTAGCACCAAGTGTATTTCGCTGGTCTATGACGAGCTGGTGCGCATCCTCGGCCAACTGCTTAACAAGCAGCTGTTCCGTCGCTATCCGATGCTGAAGGAGAAATTCCATGCCGTTGTCATTGCTTTCTTCAAGAAGTGCATGGACCCCACCAACAAGTTGGTTAAAGATCTGATCAGCATGGAAGCCACCTATATCAACACTGGCCACCCCGACTTCCTCAACGGTCACCGCGTACGCATCTACAACCGCATTTCATGTCAGGCGAAGTGATTGCTAATTTTATTTAGGCTATGGCTATCGTCAACGAACGCCAGCAGGCCGCCAAGCCTACCCAGGTCGATCCGAAGACTGGCAAGCCTCTGCCCCCTCGTGCGCAGAGCCCATCTCTGGATACCACTGGCGAGGCCGGCAATCAGAGTGGATTCTTCGGTAGCTTCTGGGCTTCCAAGAACAAGAAGAAGATGGCTGCCATGGAAGCTCCGCCACCTACCCTTAAGGCCTCTGCCAGTCTGTCCGAGCGCGAAGCCACTGAGGTCGAAGTGATCAGTAAGTTCATAAAACAGCCATTTGCAAGATATCCAGGAATTGACTCGAATTACAGAGCTCTTGATTACCTCCTACTTCAACATCGTCAAGCGTACCATGATCGACATGGTTCCTAAGGCCGTCATGTACACCCTCGTCCAGTACGTAAAGCCACTTATTCAATACCTATACCTCCCTCCTCTCTCTGTATACTGACATTATTCCAGGTTCACCAAGGATGAGATGCAGCGCGAGCTTCTAGAGAACATGTACCGCAACAATGAGCTAGACGACTTGCTAAAGGAGAGCGACTACACCATTCGCCGGCGGAAGGAATGCCAGCAGATGGTCGAGAGCCTGGGCCGCGCCAGTGAGATCGTCAGTCAGGTCCAGTAAGCGGGTTTTTGCCCTTCACAAGAGGGAGCTAGTTCCTGAAGGTGCGATTCGTTACTTCGTTGTTCGCGTTGGGAAGGATAAACGGCGAAGGTTATCTGGGCGTCGACTGTATGATTGAAATATCTTTATCGCGCTGGCGGAGTTGGGAACACCACCGCATCTCTCATCTTTTTTTTGTGATTTTGCCACGGTTTCGAACTTTGACTATACTCGTTTCTTTCTTTCTCGCACAGTCGCGCCGCCTTGCTTCCTGCTTTGATCCAGCCCTGGTGGGCACTGCCCGGGTCGGCACTTAGAGCCATTGGACACTGTTTGGTCGTTTCCAGAGGCTTTGATCTGCCTTGGAAGGGAGGTCCGCTGCCTCATCCTCTCTCACAGCCCCCTTCCCTCTCTCTGTTTCTCCTCGAATTTGAAAGCTTTATACCGTTCCCCCACCCCCAGGCCCCCTTCCACCTTGTTAAGGTCTTATCATTTTCTGTTTGTTTCTCACCTTTTTGGAGACTCATGATCCTGCTTCCAGATGATGATTGTATCGACTAATGATTGTGTCTCTGCCCCAACGTCGCTTAGAATTTTATCGTTCTGGTTTAAATAAATTATATGTTCTGTTTTGAATAATTACCCTGGTACATTCGAATTCAATTTCTATATAGAAGGATTGGGTTTTGGTTTGTAATGCATATCTGCATCGCGTATCAAGAGAGTGTGGATGGAATCACTACATCCGACATTCTCCTTGTTGGCATCTTCACCCAAATCCCGTATTCGAGTCATATATATTTTTCTTCTGCGCGCAGGCACACATATTCGGCACCTTAATATGGTGCACCATGCAAGAGAAGAGATCCAGTCAGTGATCAGATAGATAACTGAAATGATTATGACTATGTCCCCACCTCAAAAATTCGTATTCTCAACTTCTAGAGAAGAAACTACTGTCATTGACTACGAGCAGCACACCGAAGATGAGGCTGTAGAATTCACTTGTGGTGATAGAACTAAAATAAATCTCTCTACCTCAACAAGGTTCCATAACTCAGTTGGTTAGAGTGTGGTGCTAATAACGCCAAAGTCGAGGGTTCGACCCCCTCTGGAACCATCTGTTTCTTTTTTGCTAATACCGAACTTAAATGAAGTTGGATTATAATATCAATTAACGATCGACAAATCACCAAGTGGCCTTCATAGCTCAGTTGGTAGAGCGTTGCACTAGTAATGCAAAGGTCAGTCGTTCGAATCGGCTTGAAGGCAATTTGCGAGTTCCTTAATTTTTTTTTTCACACGACAGCGATGTAATTTTTTCGGCTCGCTGGCAGTAACATGATATTCATCAGACCAGATGATAGCGTATTCGAACGTTACATTAAAATTATTTTTCAAACCCAATGGCAAAATTCCAAAGTTCTTCTCTTCCATGTCGGCAATCAGCCACCCGAAATTTTCCGTCATCTAGTATTCCAGACCCTCCACATGACGTATATTCCCCGAATTCCCAGCAGCGGGAAAAAACAATTCCTACATTTGCAAATGAATGTCGGCAATTTTTCATCCGGAAAGTTGATTTGGTCCGAGAGCGAGCAAATGCTATGAGGTTATAACGATGTGCCGGGGTTCGCTCCATGTAGATTTACTTATGTTTGAAAGTTGTCAGTGTAGGGTACCATAGGGTGAGCATCTTGGGAAGCAGACCGCGGTTACATTGGGAATCCTTAGGCATCATGTTCCAGTCCACGCTAGCACCAAGGTTGAGCTTCATTAGCATTGCACGCACAAACTTTGCTGATATCGAGTCCTAGAGCCTAAGATACTCATGTTACGTATCCTAAGCATAAAACAAATGACGGGGGACGGAAAACTCCCTCTGTTTTGTCAAGCATGAAAATGGTTAATGATACGTGAAGAGATGCGACTTACTCCGGTCCTCAATTCGGAATACAAGACTGCCCGGCTCCAACAATAACAGTAGTATTTATCTACCGGCATGCCTGATCAACCAGACAGGAGGTATCTCTATCAAGGTGCTTATGTAGAAGGCCTACAATCGAATGCATTTCGGAGTCATCCGGGCCATTCTGTAATTTGTGCATCGAAATTTAGGAAGTGATGGTGGCAGTTGGATTCGAACCACCGGGGCGGAGTTCGTGCCGGATTCCAAGTGCCTGTGTTATGTTGCATAGGAGAGCCAACACCTGGTCTGAGACAACTTCTGCGATGTTCAGCGGGGAGTAGCAGAGTGACTTCGTCCAGTGTCTCCTCGATTTCCGCAGTTGGTGTTGTTTTGTGAGGAGCCAGCATTGGCGCGAAGGAGGTGGGTCGGGTGGTGATAATCGCCATCGCCCCCTTGGATGAGCTTCGGGGTCCCGTCGTTTATGAGGCCACGGCAGCACATGGATTTTTCCTGTGGCGACACAATCACAGGACCCAGCAGCGGCTCTAGCTCCCCCCGTTAAACTCATCGATCTTTTCCCCCAGTCATGTTCTCGTCGGTCCTACGGGTCATCCTGGTAAACACTACGTGTGGAAATTACTGGATGCATTTGAAATCGACGGGCCTGATGATAAGCACCAATGCCTCATACACCGTCCTTTATCCGAAAGTGTTCATACTTTCCTGAATCGGAACCAGGTACAGAAGCTGCCGTCAGTCATTGTCGCAGTGACTCTGAATCGCCTGTTATTGGCCTTGGATTATCTTCATACAGAGTGCCATATCGTCCATACTGGTTGGTTGTTTACCGAGTCCTCCATCCGCCTCTTTTCTGACCTCTTCCTGACCTCCCCTTCTATTAGACATTAAAGCCAATAATCTCATGTTTGCTATTGATAATGATTCTGTCTTTCGTGATCTTGTAGAGGCGGAGATTCACCATCCGGTTCCCAGAAAAGAGGTTCATACAAACGGCCGCATGATCTACATGTCTCAAGAACTGAATATTCCTACAAAGCTCGGTGCAACGATCTTATGTGATCTTAGTTTAGCTTTATCTGAAGATCGAAAACGTCTAGCAAAAACCCAAGGCACTGGATAAGCGTCTCGTTCGGCCCGGAGAGCACACAGGCCACGAAAACTGTTCCTAGATCTATGGCGGCCCCAGGTACTCAGACATAGGGCACTCAACCCCCAAGTTGAAATGATCTTGAAGATTGTCTACGCGATATATAATAAAAAAAACAATCTCCAAGCACGTTTATCAAGGGCGGACATGAGAAACTCGCAGGGCCCTGCCCCCCCATAAGACTGGTAAGTCCAACAGACTTGGACTGCGAGGCCAGGCCAGAGACTGGGGAAAATTAAAGAGCCTTAAAAAGGCAGGCAAGCTCAAAAAATATAGAAAAGGAAAATTTTGACCCCATTTTTCTGTAAGAAATAGCTTAACAGGGAACACTTTTATGAGAGAGGCGAGACCCTAATCCGCGACACGCCTATATCGTCGGTGGTAACCTCAAAATGTATAACAATATCATTCTTTTAGGATTATATGGTAGAATGAAGCTTAACTATTTTAAACAAGCTATGTATACTTTCTTGACTGAGCAGTCTTGATGATGGTTGGTTTATTGGCATACTTCATAAGCCTGGATGATCCCAGGCACATTCGGTGGAATGTTTTTCCGACCGAAGTATATGATCTGTCGTGAAAGGTGGCACAATTCTTCACTTTTCTTTCCCTGAACATGCATACTATATCTCTTTAAGCTGTTAAATCTTGGCCGAATAACCTAGGATATAATGATTTGGGAGAACTATCAGTCCAATTTGACAAATGAAGCTCATCATTTCTTTGAAGCGGAAAAAGCGGGAGAGAGCTGTGTGGCTTGCTGCGACCATCAAATATCGTTTAGATGTGGGAGTACAGTCAATGCTGAAATGTAAGTGAGAGATGAAATAGAAAAATGATAAAGTATCTACTGTTTCAGGATCAAAGAAACGCTTCTATCCTCCTTACATATAGACTTGTCACCCATTCTCTCACTTGTTTCCCTCGTTCTCTCCCCAACATACAACTGTTGTTACCTATCACCCAGCATTTCAACAAAACAATGTGTCTGATAGAGTATTTCCCTATCATACCAGAGGGATGTGTTGCAGAGAACCCACATGTTGTGATGGCCCAGGAAGCCGTCCCTTGTCCGGATGCAATCGACAAAGCTTTGGCCCAAGCCAAGGGCAAAGACCCCCTGATCCACCAACCCTTCCACACTGGCCTCAATGGAGAGCTTCCAGAGATTGACTTCACTCGATGTGCTCCTGAGCAGATCAAGAGAGTTGACTGCTTTTGGCGCAAGCTCAAAGTCACGGCCCTGCAGTTGGTTGATCCGTACTGCCCTGTTTGCACTGCTGAATGGAGCATAGCAAGTGCTCTGCAAGTGAGTTTTGCACTTTTCTCCCTCTTCGTTAAAAACAAGCTCTGTGGGAAAGGTTTTTTTCTTTGAGAAAAATGCAACAGGCTAAATGTGGCAAATTAAAGACCGATCTTCCAGCCGATATCGCTGTTATGCCCAACGGAACCCAGATACACGCCCCTGGGATCACTGATGACGTACTCGAATATCGCCGACACATTGATAAGCAACTTGCGCACGGTTTCAAGATCGACAAGAAGTACCTTCGTACCCATGTTACCTTTGAGAAATCAGGGAAGCCAAAGGAGAAACCAGAGGAGAAATCAGAGAAGAATCCAAAGAAAAATCCAAAGAAGAATCCTAAGGAGAAGTCCACAAAGACGTCAACAAAGAACCCCACACCTGAGGCAGATACCATCCCGGAATGCCCTGTCTGGATTATCGAAAACTTGACCAAGGAAAAGGCAGCGGCGTTCCTTGTAGACCTATTTCAGAGCGTGGGCAAAGTTATCAAAGAGTCAAGGGACATGGATTTCCTTGATATGCCAGGAGCATTCCCTCGTGGGTGAAGGAGCTGAATCTTGTGATGAAGTGATTTCTGGGGTGTCCCTCCCAGAGAGAAACCACTAAAATGCCTCTTCAAGGTTCACAATTCTGCGATGTACCAAAATCCATCATATTACAGGAGAGATAAGATAATGCCACAATCAAGTTCAAGAATCTTTTTGGCGATGTGTCTACATAGGAAGTTGTCTGGCGAATTGAAGGATTAATGTAATATAACAATGGCTTGAGTGTTGTTTGGAGGATGCTTGGTTAGTGCAAACGCCAGTGCTAGCAGTCATTCCCGGTATTTCACATTGATAGATATTTATGCATAAAATAGTCTCTTTATAAGCAAAAAAAGGGGTCCATGAAAAGAATTTAACCAATGAGAGTCTATAAATAGGACTGAAAGGCTTGATTGGTCCACTAGCCGAAAATTCCTATATATGTGAACGCAACCGAACAATGCATATAACAGTTAGAGTTTGATTTATTGTGATGAAGAATGTCGATAGACATAATGCCAATCCTGTTTCCCAATATCCTGACGCACTTTGTAGTTCTTCTCTGCAACCTCGAGTAATGACAGATTCATATCAACTACTTGCACACCTTCCTCCGTACCCATCTTGGCCACGGGTCCAACAATAGGAAGTGTGACCTGTGACATACCCAGATATTCATCCTTGGGACCTGCAGCATTGACGAAGATGATGCCGCACGTGTTTTCGAAGCATCTGGAGGTAATAGTGGAGTTGAGGAAAAGCGCTTCCGACTCTGGATTATGGTGGAGTGCCTCGGGAGATGCATCATGGGGTGTCCCTGATAAAACTCAGTAATTATTTGGAGGAGCGGGTGACCTTCAAGGGAAAGAGTCGCACAGAAAGTGGGTATAATGATAATATCGGCGCCGTCAGCAATCAGCTCGCGGAAGGCCTCTGGGAAGGCAAGATCCCAGCATATCAGCATACCGACCCGGCCAATAGGTGTGTCAATGGCGGAGTGGCGTTCCAGGCCAGATGATGTGAGGTGTGGGCGCTCCGGATGCCAGATGTTCTTCTTGCGGTAGGAACCTAAGATGGTACCATTGTTGGAAATAAAGTACGCGGTGTTGTAAAAGAGGGTGGATTCACCAGGCCCCATCTGCTTTTCAATGATGGTTCCCGGTACCAGACATATATCCAGCTCCTTGGCAAGGGCTTGATAGTTTGCTAGGTACTTGGCGGAATCACCGGCTTGGATGGCCCAGTGAGGGTCATTGGGGACCCAGCCGCTCAGATGGTATCTATGAGGCGTTAGTGTTGACTGAGCATTAGGCTCAGATAAACTGACTCTGGAAGAACTGCAAGCTCTGCTCCATCTGCAGCTGCCTTTCGAATATAATTGCACGCCTGAGCATGATTATCGTCAATTGCTAGCTCCTGCACTTCGCATTAGTGGCCGTTCGTATCTGCGTCATCGATGGGGAATTAAGTTGGGGCAGTAGAGCCAGGCGTACTTTAATATGCCACTGGATGATGGCGATGCGACGAGCCGAAGCCATATTGCGTTATCGGTCTGACAGGAGGTAATGAGAGAGTAAATGAAAGAAGGAAGATATGTTCAGCAGGTCGATTCATGTATTTGATCCAATCCCCTCACCCCGAATTCGAACGATGGAGACGACTCCAACACGTTTTGGAGACGGCGGGGCGCGGAATCGCCAGCGAATCAGCGCCACGCAAAAGAACCCCCCACCGCCGAGCATCTATTCTCATTACACGCGATGAGCACGAGAAACTTGATTAATATGGACACATAGCATAATGGAGAAGAATTAAACATTGAAAGATTAAGACATTATTAAGATCGGTAATATATTATGGAACGCGCCTGGCACCTCGCATTAAGTATAACGGTCACTGAGAAAATGAATCTATCCCCAGGTATAAAACAGGTAGGAAGGTTGGGTCATCTTAACATAGGCCGGACAATCAATATGTTAGGCCAATGCAATCGCATCTAGACTGAAACTTGGCTTCTTACTGACACGATAGACCAGTCTATCCGTCCAGAAGTGGGCAAATACAGCATGCAGGGTTGGCACGGCACCGAAGATGGTTCCCGCGATCGGGAAGCAGATCCGATCAAGCAGATACTGGGGCTTATTCCATATACGCCGAGAGAAGCCCGTGTCGGACAAATTGGCCTCGCGCATATCTTGCATTCTGGAGTTCAGGCAAAGTGTATGCCACCGCTCGTACAGGCTCAAGCAGACATTCATGCCGATAAAAGCCATAGTTCGCAGGACATTGGTCACAGAGAATGCCCAGGCCAACGTTGGATGCATATTCGAGGCCGGTACCCAGAGGGTATATATCACAGAAAATAGCATGATGATGGTCAAATGGCATGGCATAAAATGCGCTTCCCACAGCAGTTCAAGCAGGGCGAAGTGTCGGGGGCGCAAGAACAGACACCGCTGATGGAATCGGAGGTATTTCATGGTTCGGCGCGCAGCAAAGCCAGAGTCCAGAGCTCCCCACATGTGTCGTAAGGCTTGACGGTAGCGCGCAACGCAAGTGTCTAGGGCCCTTCGCCACCCGCGAGCACGATCGCTTGAGACGTTACACTGACTGGCAGGGACATACACCACGCGGGTGATGACATTCCCTGCAGTCTCAAAATAGCATTTGAGGAGCATGTGCATATCTTCTCCAATTGCGGTTGGATCACTATCCCAACCGCCCACTTTCTCTGCCAAGGAGAGAGGCAGGGAATAAACCGAGGTGGGAATCGAGATCCAAGTTCCGGGATACATGGTGGATAGGCCTGCGAAGCCCCAGAGGAGATCAGCGCATCGGACGAGGGCTGGGCTCTCGTGGGAATTGCGGTCGAAGATGATGGGACAACAGTAGATGGACCGTTCTGCTTCGGTGATGTGTGAGCGATGGAGACGACTAATCTCGGTAAAGTAGTCGCGGGAGAGATGAGTATCAGCTAGAAGGGGAAATTACAGATTAGAATGTTGCTTTTCTCTTCCCACGCCGAGCTCATTGGTCTCTATCACCTACCATCCATGACAGTCACTACCACATTGCAGCAGTCCATCTGCAGCTCTGTGCGATGAATCTCAATGATGCAGCGTGCGGCACAAGCTACATTTGAGCTCTTTCCAGCAATCTCGCCCTGAATGCCTGGAGGGTGGAAGGTGGATCGAATGTGGAGGAATGCCTTTTCGAACGAGGCCACCAGATGGGTGGCCTTTTCCATTGCTGCTACTTCCTTTTGTTCCATAGCCAGATAGATCTTCTGAATATTAACACTATGGCCACCCAAAAACGGACTTGGACCAGTTTTTGTTTACTTACCTCATACTGTCTCTTGGCCCGCGGATGGCTCGCCAGAACTTTCAACGTGGTTTCTAGAGTGTGTAATTCCTCACAATAATTAGGTAGAATGATAGCATGGATGAGTTCATCCTCGACCAGCTCATCAACGATGGCCACGTCGACTTTCTTGGAGGGTGATAAGTCGGGCGAAAGCGTCAAGGCTGGGGATAGTGGCTTCTCGACCAAGGCCTCGCCGTTATCACGGTGGGGCTGCGACGGAGACTGCTCGAGGCGTCGCTTGAAGACTGCCTTGGCGTTACTGGTGGCACGGAAGATGGCCCAGCCAAGGCGCAGGGTAAAACCAAACATGTGGCAATGGATTAGAACCGCATAGATCACGAAGACGCACTGGGCTATGTTGAGCCCTGTCCAGAAGCCATCCGGATAGGGCTTGCTGTCCTGTGCCGGCGGAGGAAAGAAAGACTTCCAGAGCGAGGACTTGAAGATGTCAGAGAAGGCGCATAGTAGCAAGAGGGCTAAAGCGAGGATGCTAAAGCCTGGTAAGCAGCGGGTTACCCAGCCGAGCATACTGCACGGGACCTGGGGTGAGAAGGAGAGGGGAAAAGAAAGGAAGAAGGGAGATGTAAGATAGACGAAGTATTCCAATAGTTTCTGGTTCACACTGTCCCAACGAGGAGGATCGGAGAGGATTAAGGGGTATAGAAGGAAGATGAAGCGGCTAGAAGGAGGGAGAGAGGGAGACAAGGAGATTGAGGATCATTTGACTAGGTGCCGCTAATTATCTACACCAGCAGAATCAGAAGAAGTAAAAAGCAACCTAAAAAGAAAAGAGCCAAAAAGAAGAGGATTGATTGATATCAAAAAGGGAAAGATCAGATGCCACGGTTTGGGTCATCAGGCAGCAGGCGTATTATCTCATTGGTCTTATGTCGAATATAGATTGTCGACTCCCACAAGTATATACGGGGTACTATGAACGAAAAAGCGATGGAGTATGGACGATGGACGATCTCGGGAGCAATGAGAGGCAATGAACGACATGATAGGTACCAGGGACAAGAAACGAAGATCCGCCATGAAGCTTTGGTCCCTGGGCATCCCTGGGCACATCCTCGAAGCCCGCGAATCAGAGCGGGCAGCGGGAGGGAATGGGGACGAGGCCCCCAGGGACTCGCCGGCGGAGCGTGAGATGCAGGCGATATCGCCCACGGGGTCACAGCCTCGGCAGCTCGTTTTGCACTCAGGAGATCCCAGCGTTTTCCCTGCAAATCGGTCAGTGTTTGACTGACGAGGGTCGGTAGAGTATTGAGCGGAGGAATGGGGAATTCCGGTACCTTCGTGTCTAGTCCGGCTATATTGTTATCCTGCTATCATGTTACTTGAGCAAAGGAGTCTGGTCGATTCCCAGCCAACCGAACATGGTAATTTTGCAGATGTATTCTCAGAGGGACTCAGAGCGACGCAAACTACACGAGGCGGCAAGTTGCGTATCCTGGCCTAAGTTGGCAGATTTCTTCAACCCCCCACAACCCTCCAAAACCCTCGAAACCCTCGAAACCCTCAAACCGCCCAAAGTGGATCCGAGCCCCAAAAGCTTGGCGGTGCATGATCGAACGATTGGCTCTCAACCGCATTGACTGTCGAAGCTCCTTCCACTCACTCGCCCACTCGCCCACTCGCCCACTCGCCCAATCAGCACTGGGATCCGCTCAGCGTGGTGCATCTGCCGCTCGTTCTTTTGGGATCGTTGGAGCAGAACATCAGATACAAAAGCATCGTCGAAGCATTGAGGGACGGATTCAGAGGGCAGGCATCATCGTGACTCGCTTCTATTGGTCTCTTCGGGTCAGATGCCAAGGCGATTCTCGGGCACGTTCACTTGCGCTGCTGCTTATACTTCAGACTGCAGACTTCAGGCGTGAGTCTTCACCATATTTCCCACTCTTTGATGAGATGAGCATCCAGTAGATCCTCTCTCTCCCTCTCCATTCTACCCCCTCTTTTTTTTTTTTTTTTTTTTTTTCTTCATGCAAGCCGCTCCTCTCGACCGAGGCGATGCAAGTCTACCAGCCGATCATCCCACCGCACTGACTTCCAATCCCATGACTCCCCCACCAGTCCATAGCTCTCCCATTCCCCCGTTGCCTTGCGCGCATTCAGCGCCCAGTAACCCCAGCTTACATCTGTCTCCGCCAGGAACTGCACCAGATGTCGCCAGTAGTTGCGGTCCCCGTCACTCGGTTCATCGTCGTGGTCGGGCGTGCCTATCTCACCCACCCACACCGGCGCAATCTCCTCCGCTAGCAGATATCCCCAGTTCTTCCACATCGTCACCGCGAAATCAGCATAGGAACGGCCTGAAAAGGGCCGCAGATTACCCCAGCCAGACCATTGGTATACATGGGCCGAGTAGACCACTCGGCTCGGCACGCTGAGTTGGACGGGTCGTCGCTGGACGCCGGAGAGGTCATTTGCAGAGGATATGCCTTCTACAAACATCAACCAGTTCGGGTTCAGCGCTAACAGTCGTTCTCCAGCATTTTCCGCTGCCAGCGCCCATCTTTCCCAATGCATCGTGCCCCAGAGCCCGCGGACCTCGTTGCGCAAGTCCGCCCCCATCACTCGCGGATTGCCCGCCAGCGGTGCCATCACCGTCTCCCAGTGCTGGATCCAGTCCTCCTCGCTCTGACGTACTGAACAGATCAAATCCGCTCCAAACCAGTCGTTCTGCCAGCTTAGGTCACACGGGTTTGCCCCACAGCACCATGTCGCCTGCGTGATATGATTATTGACAATGACCAGCAGCCCCGCTGCCGTGAGACTCTCCACAATGGCCCAGAAGACATCCAGCGCTCGTAGCGGCTCTCCTTGGCGGCTCAGTTGTCCAAGCAGATCTTGGTTGGCGGCGATGATCCCTGGCTCGATGACCGGGTTCCGAACCACGATCTCGTCCGCGTACGGTAGCCGCACACTGTTGAACCCGAGATCCCAGATTAATCGGGCGATGTCGTCTCGGTGCCGGACGTCTAGCCCGCCGGGGACATAGTCAATATCACTGGCCCCATACCAGTTGATACTGGTTAACTTGATCGGGGTCCCTGTTGCATCACGGATCTGGCGCCCCTCGGTGTGGAAGGGAGGGGTGAAATTTGACGTCGCCAGAACCGGGTTCGGGCCAGGCAAATCTGGAGTGCCCATGAAGGTGGGTTTAGTATCCCATATCTCCCCGTCCATTCGCCAAAGAGCCAACTGAAAGAGCATCAGTATCGTGACAGCAAACACCACTGATGCCCGCCGATTCCGGCGGATCCAGTGGAGGATGGAGATCATGGTTCTTATCCAGTAGCGGAGTCCATATACAGGAGGCTGGTGTGACTGTAAAGTGGATAATATAGCAGCCATTGTATATTCAATGACCTCGTAGACCAAATTGTAATTATTCCGGCCTGCTTAGATGAAAGAGACGATACCTATATGATGAATGAATCCCTGACTGTATGAGTTGGTACTCGGCGAGGAGCACTTCCGGCTAAGCCGCGCGTAGTTGTTGGCCGTATTAGGATGTCTGTTCGGGACGTCTGGCCAATGATGTGGCCCATTGCTGACGGGGAGGCGCGTAGCCGAGAGCCCTTCAGGCAGGCCTGGATAGAAAGACCAGGGAGGAGATTTCTCTTATATAGAATGTGGGCCCCGTGGCAGAAAAGAAGAGTCATTGCCTTGAAATAAATTCCATTTGCCTGAGTTGGATATATAGATGGAACCTAATCTCGTCCAAACAATGTCATAAGTAGAGATATTGCAGGCCATTGTGAGCATATCAGATCATCAAATCATTCCCCCAATCACCACGCACTACCACACTGAGCAGGCCGTCCCGATAGGGGACCTAAATGTTGATTTCGAAGAGAAAGGAAAGGTTGTTATTCTAGCTATTCGGCAAATAGAGAACCGTTATTTTATGATATTTCATGGTTCTTTTCAAGGAAATTATTAGAAAGAACCTATTATAATGTGAGAGGATAGGGAAAACTAAACTCAATAGCTTTTATTACCCGAGTCACCAGCTATGGTTCGATTTACAATCTAGTAACTACATAAAAGTACTGAAGCAATCCTAGTCCCAGGTAGTCTAGGCTGCTATATATTATGTTTAACACATCTTACACCAAAAGAGATAGAAATAGAATAAAATAACGATTCTCTATTTGCTAGATCTCAATACTAATGAAACTGCCTCGAACTGGATGAAAATGTGGATTACTGACCTATTGGGCAAAGACCTGCATGTGCGGGACTGCTCTGAAAAGATTGAGCCAATGTTGTATCAGGGAATTCAAAGAGGAAAGATGCTATCATAACAACAATTATCTTCTCCTTGCCCGAGGCAGGTTATATTCACTTGTTTTCACCAATTGAAGTCAAAATTGCGCATATTCAATGACGCATAACATGAACCATTGTCAGAGAAACCAATAGCCATGGCAAGCAGAAATTCAAGTTCAAGTGATGGAATCAAAGCCAAGTCCAGGAAGGCTGAACATATTAATTTCAGGCTCAATATACCTAGCAATTTTCTGCTCCAGCCTTGTTGGAGTTCTCCCGTGTTTTGGGTATTCTGGGAAGACCTTGCCAGAGAATAAGAATGCCACTGGACAACCCCAGAATGAACGGAAGGAGCACGCTAACGCCCTTCGCCTGTGCGATAGCACCAACGGCAAACGGTAAGATAGCCGCTCCACTTCCACCAAACGCTGCCGCGAATCCAATTGCACTTACATGTAGTTTGGATGGCAGTAGTTTCGTGGTGGCGACAACCACTGAAGGGAATAGTGGACCTAAGAAAAACCCTTGCAATGACACCGCTACAGCGCCTGCATAGAAATTCGGTACTTGATACAGGATCACACCGAATACTACCTCCAGCACAATATATATCTGCAATATGTTATGAGATAAAGCTATTCGAGAAGTGATGTTCTGCGGAGACATACCGTTATAGCCAATTTTTCCCCTACAAGAGGTGTCACAAATCCAAGCACCACTCTCCCAATCGCGATACCAAGCCAGAATCCTGTCGAGGTCATGCTACTGGCAAATTTTGCCCCATGCCGCACCTCTCTCATGAAAGTGACAATCCAGCCGCCCAAGGCAACTTCAACTCCGACATAGCCAAGAAGAAATATAGCGCATATCCAGGTCACTCGAGCGGAGGGATTCTGGAATAAAACCTCACGAATACTTACGGGCCCGTGTTCAGAGGACTGAGAGGAAGAGAAGCCCGATTTTCCTCCCTTGGAGTCCCAGAAAGCTGCTACACACCATACCAGTTCTATCGCTGCTCCTCCGATCTATATAGAGGAATATTAGGATTATTCAATCATAGATGCTATGAACAGTGCTCACCATGATATAATAGAAGTAATACCAAGGAAGTTCAGCGTCGGCAATCATGAAGGAAGCCACCAGAGGACTGATGACAGCGCCAATACCGTAGCATCCGTGGAGTAAGCCAAGTAATTGATTTGAATTCTTCATGTTGCCTATCCAAGCATTCCAAGCTGAGTCCGCGAGACCGTTTCCCAGGCCAGCGAATATGAAAGAGACAACGAGGACAGGATATGGAGGATGAATACAATTAAGGATGTAAGCAACAAGGTGACATCCTGAGGAGATTGTAGCAAGACCTCGCTGGCCAACTTTGATGATAAGTCGATTGACCACAAAGGCAGCGATAATATATCCGACTAATGGCGAGAGGAAGACGAGTGACACAACCACATAGGAGAGATTGTAATATGTTTCGAGCTGAACATCATGTTAGTGATGAAAAGAAAGAGGTATCGGGTAGCACAGACGTATGGTAGTAGTGGCTATGGCATTAGTGAGCTTTAGCAGTCGGAAGATTTGAGATCAGGCCAAGTTGCACCTACTCCGTATGCAGAATCATTGCCTCCCATCACGAAAAAGCTCCAAAATGTTGCTGAAGTTTTGAAGATATTGGACTTTGGATGATTCCAGCACTGAAAGACCGAGATTGACGTGATTCTGGAAGCTACGGACGAGGATCTTTGACCTGTATTTCCTCCGTTCTCATCCTCTGGTATACCATGATTTTCGAACATCTCAAATCAAGTACTATCTGCGGACAGCCAAGAAAGAATGGTAGTGAATATGCAAAGTTCCGCTGTTATATGGGCCGGAAAGGTCGTGTGAGAGGTATGATAGGAAGAAGAGCGCGAAGTTAGAAGAATCGCGTTGATGATCATGAAGGAATATTGAGAGGATTGAGAGTAAAAAATTCCCTTTTGTGGATACTGGCTCTTTTATAACGCTAAACATATTTCATAAATTTGAAAGAAACGAGCCCCACTCGGTGAATGGCGAAGCTAGGTTTCCATTAAGAATTCTTGAAAATAGACATGACAAGACTTAAATCTTTAAATCTTTAAGGGTCTAATGAAACACACATGCACTCGTGTTCTTTCTGTTAATTTAATGAATGGCTATCGGTAGATTTTGTTCTAAGTATTGACCTTGTGATGTAGTCACATCTCCCAGCTAAATTGCGAGACGAGCGTTCCACCTTTCAATGGGCTGAATCTGTCTGCGAGCAGAGCCGGATCACAGTGCAAGTTTGAACCATAGGATTTAAAGTGGGGCGCGTTTCTTGGAGTGAACTACCTCAATAGGAAGGCGAGGCCACCCATCTTCACTGACTAAGGAGCCCCTCTACGAAAAGACATCACCATTTCTTTCACTACAGCATTATTGTGATTACTGTTCACCCAGGTCCTACTGACTGCTCGGTCGAATGCACTAATTAATGAGCGTGGCCTGTTTCTTTGCCCAGTTTTCAATACACATGTGCCTCCCAGCTGATATCTTGCCGTCCTTTACTTCTTTCTAATAACTGCAATTCTCTCTATAGATTAACTTTATATAAAGACTAAGAGTAAAAAAAAGCAAGATTACAATACATAGATCATCAGAGTCGACCCAGGTACACATGAGACCTCCCAACTAGGTTCAACAGTGAACCGGGTAAGCTCGCAGCTGAATCCGACTAGGCAGAAAAAGCCCGATCGCATCAACAAATCGACCACCAAACCACCACGCGCCACCACACCAAGCAGGCCTCCCCGATAGTGAAAGAAATTTCGATTCCCAAAGAGAGTAGAGAGGTTGCAAATCTAGCTATCTGGTATCTAGAGACTATAACTGTAATGACCGGACGCAATGTTCAATCCACCAAGCAAGCTGCCCGTGGAGCTAGCATATTCTCCATTTCACCAGTTTACAGCGCGTAACAGGGTTATCCAGTCCTTGCTACTTATATAGAGCCTAGAAATTTTCTCTCCAAATATAGCTCAGAGTGCCTAAAATTTTTGCGAGTGACTAAATGGTGGCGAGGATTGCGTATTGCGTATAATGGAAGGAGAAGGTCAAGATTTGCCAGACAGTATCCATTATACGAATATGCATAGCTGCCGTACTCCACATACAGATCGAAGACCTACTTGCCTAAATAAAAGATAAAATGTGCTGGTTATGCATTTTGGTATATGCGCATAGAGTACAAATCATGTTACAGGAAACTTGATTTCCAAGAACCTCTAATACGAATCAATGAGGCTGAAAGAAGTTGAAATGAGTGGGGTAAATCGTCGCAACTGATATTGGATTTTATAGAGCCGCTCTGGCATCATAGGATTACTGGGATTTTTACCCCCAAACCCTCCATCAATCAATCAAGCACCACCATCGTATCATGAAAATGGTTCTTCATCTTGGCATTACCTATCCCTGGAACTAAGCCAATGGAGGTTCGTTAATCCCGGAATACGAGCTCCGCCTCCGCTAGACCCTTGGCAGCGGAGTCTATGTGGCCTATCTACTTTGTAAATAAAAACCGAGTATTCTTGGCATGGGAATGGAACCAAGAAACAAGAATGATCTCTGAAAAGGAGGTTTCAATACTGAGAATGCTTCAATATTCATCATTCTACGAGTCCCACCCTGTGTTAAGAACCACCAGCGCAGTTAAGTGTGCCGAGCAGTGTTCAGAGCCAAATGCTCGAGACTTGTGAATGAAAAATTCGGAACAAAAAGAAAAGGACAACAGGTGAACCACAAAAACTACTCGATCTTCAATATGTTCCTACAGAAGCCCTTTCTTTCATTTTTCGCTTTGGCATCTATCCTGACGGGGGTCATATCGCGCAGAGGCCACGACTCCGAGGGCGAAAGTGGTAGCAGCAGCAGCGGGAGTAGCGGCAGCAGCGACAGTGACAGTGCAGAAAGCGATTCTACATCAACCTCCTCCTCTGGTAGCACCTACACATGCGTCGACGATCATCGCCTTACCGTCAGCGACCTGGAACCGGACCACTATAGCAATTACACATTTATCTACGGCAGCCCAGATGCCTATACCGACTGGAATGGGGCATATTTCCAAGGCGAGGCCTTCTTCAACTACGATATTCGAGAACTTTCCAACACTTCCGCTGCTTTCAAGACGAACTGCCCCACGGGCAGTTCCTCAATTCGCATGCTTGGTGTGGCTTGGATCGGACCAAAAGCCCCAACCCCAACAAACTTGCGCAATCCCTTCTCGTTAGGATTCAAGGCGTGGAAAACCGATAAATCGGTCACGGATATTGCGTATTCATACAGTTGGTGCGATCAAGATGTGGATCTAATTCATCTCGGGACAACGGTAGACTGGCGCAAATATAGCTCTCACTCAAGTGGCGATACTGAGGGCGCGATCGATGCCGTGGTGTTGAATGTGACTCAGGATTCCAATAATAGTGAAAGAGCTATATTTGATGGCTACTGGGACCTTTCGAGCTTGGAGTCCTCCCAGAGAGTCTATTCCAATGATGGCCGACATGAAGATCAGATTCACCTACCCGGCGAAATATGCCAACGCTCGAGCGATAATTTATGGGTAGGTTGGGAGAAGGGAATATATATCAATGGCTCGATTACAAACGAGACCTTGGAGCTGTCCATTTCTGGCTCAACGGTTTCTGGATTCACGAAGTCCCTAGTGGATGGGTCATATGAAGATGAAGTGAAGGTCAATTTTAGCGTCACCTTTACGGGTAGCTTGGACACGGTCAATTCATCCCAGATACTGAATATTGGCGAGGGTAACAGCTCGCTCGTCAATTTTGAGCGGGCAACTGGGCGTGCATCTAGTATGCTGTGCCCAAACGCCCTGCTAATATCCACGTTTGTTGTCATTGCAATGACGATGATTTTTATAATTTAGACCATTTTATAAGATTCTTAACGCCCTGTAATCGATTTATGAACTTTTTTCACGGAGCCTCATTGGCCTTCTGCAAAATTCCAATTCCAAACGTCCTCGCTGGGTGAGTATATCAGCAATAATGATATTCAAATCTCCACAGCCATTGGCGTGAAAAGCCAAATGAATCAAATTCCACTGGCTGAAAAGCTTGAGTAACATTCGCGAATCTCTTCAATTTCTGTCGAAGATGTTGAAAACGTCTTCACCGCGTCATTCCCGTCCTCGGACACATTATGTCCTATTTTCTGCTCCCTAGCGATGATGTTGTGCTCGTGGGCAGCAATAATGAACCAATACGCTCTAAAAATTTGGCATGGTCGTAAATATGGGGGCTTCGAAAAGACACTGGAGGAGGAAAGCAAAAGTAAATTTCTGAATCGAGGTCTGGGGCTTCGTGGTTAACGACGCGTAACTCGTTCGTACTTTGATGCCCACTGTATATCATCAATCAATTTAATTGCCTCTACCTAGTCCAGATATAAGTGACCACGATTCTAAAGCAGGGTTGTCTGGCACCTCTAATCTCAGATTTACACTTCCTATATATCAGTTATTGTGCATCGGTAAGCATCTTATTGGAGAAGGTAATGTCGGCCGGCGTGGGTGGAATTGTTATGGAAATAGTTCACGGAAGAATCTATTAAAGATTTGACTTGAAAGTTGATTGAAGCAAATTGTCAAATACTCAGGCCAGTATTCAAGATCATAGACAAGAAGCCAGAGGAAGTAGAAATAATAGATAAAAGAAACAGCCAGCCAGATTCAAGTCTGCTCAAGTCCCCTGATATACTTTGAAACTCTTAAACTCCCAATATGCCTCTTCTAACTGCGCGGGGTTGCTCGCAACAAACTCCTCGCAGATTCCTGGGCAATTATATAAATCTGTATAATACTGCTTTTGGCCTGCAAGTTCACCGCAAAGATCAATGTTGGCAATAATACTCTGATTCCGAAAATGTGAAGAAATATCACACTCCGTGCCAGGGAAGTCAGCAAGCGCAGTGCCCCAAGTTGAAGGATCTGGAGATGCATTGTGTATATCAGTGGGAATAGAATGCCGAGGAAAAAACCAAATACGAATTCCTTCCTCTCGGAGCTCGAGGGCATAGATCTACCAACATTCGTATTAATGGACGATTCGAGAATTCTAGGAGAGCTTATCTTACCCCGCCACCATCATCATTCAAAGGTTTGCCGTATGTAGACGGGTTTCCAATGACGCCGCATCCCCCATTGCCAATTCCAGTAACACTAGAGTCACATTGTTGAGATGCTTGGGATCCGGTCTCCTTACGTTTGACCTTCATATGACAACCTGGCGTAGTATGCAACGTCATTTCATTACCTTGAGACGCCTGGTTGTTGGATTCGAGAATATCAATTTCGCCATTATTCGGCCAGTTGTACCCATCTGTAAGCCATAAAGCGGGCCATGTACCGCATCCATAAGGACTGTGAATAATGTCAAAGATGAAAAGCCCCGAATCGAACGTATTTTTAGACTCAATGCGTACCGAGTTGCGGCCCTTTGGAGCATTGATTGTGAATGTATCAACGCGGAGGACGGCCGATAACTCGGTAGCATAGGTCAGATTAAAACCCTCGGCAGTCTCCTTGTTGACATATCTATGATATCTTGTTAAATTAAAACACTAATTTGGCCGGGGTGATACATACACAACAAAACCACCAGTTGGGTCATCTTCAGTGAAGTAGTTGAACCCCTCAAAGAACGAGATCCCCTCATAGACGTCCACTAACTGGTAATTCAGTGATGCATAATCTGGGTACCGGTTGATCCGGGCTATCTCAATACTACCGATGGCAACTGCCCCTACAATGGACAGCATCAAAATCAAAGAAACTATGAGGTTCATGCGTCGTCCCCAGCCACAGCAGTTATACCATGGTCTTTTTGAAGAGGAAGTATCCGGAGGTAGAGAGTCATGGGAAGTAATCTTACGAGGGCTTTTGAGAACCCAGTTGTTGGTCATGGTTCAAATGAGGTCAAGTCACTTGGTAAACTTGGTTTTTCAAATAAAGATTTTCTTAAGTGTTGATTTACAGGGGGAGGAAAAAAAAGAAGGAATGAATGGAAATGTAGGACATATACCTCAAAGATTTAGTATCATACTTACCAGCACTTAGATAGGAATAGTACTCCCAAATAAAGTTGCGGTTCCAGTTTCGGTGCGCCGATGCCAAAAGCGCACAAAGTCACAGAGAAATAGGGTTAATATGAAAACCGACTGCTTTGAATACGTAAAGTTTCTTTCCCATTACTATCCTCAAGCCGAGACAAGCTAAGACTAAGTTGATGGTTAATGCTACTAATCTTGATCTACCGGGTGTGATGTGATATGCTGTAATATCAGGTTGATCTTTCATTTAATCCCAGCACTTAGCATAGCTGCTTTTCTCCAACTTCCTTTTTACAATATTAATAAAGATCATTCGCTATACGTTGGATGGAAGTTGAATGCTATCAAAGAAAGGGTATAATGAACATTTATCCATACAGTCCAAGCACGAAGGGTCCCGAGAGACGTAGTGGAAACAGTGATGGGTTACTTAGATCTTCTTTGTGTCCGAATTCGTAGTTGACACCAAGAGCGCCATTTCCACAGAGAAAAGCTCAAAAAAACCTCTGATAGAAAAGATCCCCCGATAGCCAGACTAACTAGTATAGGGTGTCCGAGACACTAAGACATGGAGAAGATGAGAGAGAACGAGTAAAAACGAATCATGTCATCAGCATAGATGGAGATAAATTCTTGTCTACAGCTTTCGTAGAAGACTGCCTTCAGCAAAGGGATTTTCCGAAGACATGTCAATCATTGGGCGCGTAGCACTTCGATCACCTGTTGCCACACCATGGCCTGTGGGGGCCGCAGCTTTGGTTTGTGCACGAGTGCTTGTTTTTCGAGAAAGTGCGAGTAGACTCTGTGCTGTAAAAGGGATATTTGGGGACGCTGGGCTGGGAGCACCTGTGGAATTGTAGTCGGGATAATTGGTGGAGGTCGAGGCATTACGCACAGAACGTGCGGTATTCGAATGATTGCGATTGAGGGAACTAGTATCTGTAGGGCGTCGCCATGCCGTTGCGGAGGGAATTACGACTGTCCCAGGAGTCAGATCAGGCCCTGTTGCTCCATCAATAAGCTGCATGCCGGGATCCACGGTGACGCCGCGGCCTTTGCGAGTGTGCTGTGGTGGCTCATGGAAGGTAGGCGTTAGGTCTACCAGGGGCTTTTGTGTGGTAGACAGAGAACGACCGACCAAGACGGCGGGATCGGAAATTTGGGGAGGAGTGTTGTTATGGCCGCTTTGTTGCCCGGGAGGGAATATGGAGTTCGCGAAAAGCTCCTGTTTTGTCCGCTTTTCTCTTTCCTCTCGCTCACGCATCGCTTGTTGCCTCTGACTATAATTCCTACCCAGGAGACCAGCAGGTGCAAAAGTTTCTGCCTCCCCTTCCTCTGATGATATACCAGGAGCCAAGTACCCGCTGTTAATTTCGCTAGACCCCTTAGTGACAAGATCGTTGGCCAAACTTTTAGGAAAGGAACTTGGAGGCGGTCCACGCTCCCGAGTGAGCTGTTTACGCGAGAAGTGTTCCTTGGAATGAGGTGGCCGTGATTGATCAGTAGAGGTTCGGGAGAGCATGATTGGCTCCGGGTCACTAGACTGCCGATCTAAAAGTGGTTGTTGTTGAGACAGACTTGTATTGGTCCGAATCGACATAGTCGGCTTGACATCCTCGTTCTCGGTCACGCCAACTTTGTTGACAAGGTACCAGCTTCGCCAGCTCTGAACTGCCTGATGCCACTTGTCGGCCGAAGCCTTATCGTTGGTGGAGAAGAAGTGTACAAAGTTTTCGGTTGAGAGAAACATTGATGATTTCTGTTGGCTTTTAATCGCAAAGCATATCTTTTTCGGCGGTTTGATCTCCTTCGCAAGCGCACGAACACTGGGAGAGTAAATGTCAAAGTCGGACAGATGACAAATATTGCTCTGGTCTGTAGAGTTTTCTTTCTTCGCCACCGTGACTTGTCCATCTGGACGAAGTGTGATATAGCGTTTATCCCACTTTCGGGGGCGCTGGGAGTGGTAAAGATAGACAGTGGTCCCACTAGGCTTTTCAACAGGCACATTCCGAGAGTCGAGCTGAGCTAGAGCGTCCATGCTCGAAGGAGGGACGATTATCAGGCAATTCTCGGCATCATGTGCCCAGGAATTCATCACATCTCGGATGCGCTCGTAACGCCGCAGCGGCCGTTCTAGACCCAGCTTTTGGAAAGACTCAATAACAATGAAAGTGTTCGGGTCAATGCTGCGTGCCAAATCTTTCGAAGCAGACATAAGAAGGCAGTAGGCTTGGGTTGAGGGACTGACGACCAAATTTGCTGTAGCACCACCGAATTTAACTAGTACCAAGCGCTCGCCGGCATTAACAGCAGAACGTGGCGCATCGGTACCGGGAACGATGCCACTTCCACCGATTCCAATATAGTTAAGTGGCGGAGGATCGATAGGCTCTTTGCCTTTGCCAAGTCCAACTTTCTGCAACAGAGATCGGCGATTGCTATTGCTAGGGGAAAGTGGCGTATCACCATGGCGTCCATTAGCTGATCTAGGAGACTGGTCCGTTGCTGGCTTTTTTCGCGACGATTCCTTCCTTAATCTGTCAGGGCGCGATGGACTTGGCTGAGATGAAGTACGTCCTCCCGTCAGCTGGTCCATAGCATTCTGTCGATGTCTTTGTCTTGTGCGCTCCTCCTCTTCTTCCTCCGCTGTCAGTGCTCGCTTTGCAAGATCAGGTACTGGGGGCATGGACTGAATCTTGGTACTATTTGGCATAGCAGGGACGGAGGCTGTTATCGGACCAGTGGTTGTCGGGGGTCGTTTGCGCCTGTATCGAGACATACTTCGAGCGATGGACGGGTTATGCTCATTCGGCATTGCCCCTCCAGCTGTCGAAGGGTACATCGCATTGTGGACCCTATCTTGGTCCTCATACTGCCCCTCAAATTTGCTTTCATTGTGAAAAGGGTGATGCGTTACCACATTCGCGTTATGGATTCCCATGGTTGCTCAAGGCGGCCGACGTCAACCGAAGCGAGTAATTCAAATCACAAGGATCCAAGTGTAATCAAACGCTTATCGCGATGCGACCAAAGTCACATTATGGTATAGAAAACTGGTGAAGAGTCTGATTATGTCAATAAGTTATTGAAACCGCAATGCGAAAAACAGGCAAACAGTGAGCTTAAGCAAGTATGAGGAACAGCCAGGGCTGACAAGTTAGAAGAAGGGGAGGGGGAAAATAAGAAGAGAGGTGTGGTAGGACGATGGACGAAGCAAAGAAAAAAGGCAACAGAAGGGCAGGGCGCCAAGGTATGAGACTGGGCGCGAATGCACCAGTCCTGGTTACGGTTTTGCGCCAACCCAACCGTCGGGTTCGCAATGGATCCCCCCATGCGCTGTTATAGGGACAGTGCGCAAGATGGCCAAAAACCAGACTCAATTTGGCTATGACAAGATAGGACGCGTGGACACCTCTGTGGCACAAGTAGACAGCAATCATACTTACCAGAGAATGGAAAAATAGGCGAATAAGCGCGGCACCGAGTACGTCGTGGTGGCCGGGGGTTGCTTGATCCTGGGCAGATTCGATCGTGGAACTTGGCGATTGTGTTGGCAAATGTCGACGCGAGGGAGAACGCAAGACCCCAAAACTGGAGGTCTCAGAAAGAAGCGTCAAGAGGTCCAGCGCCGATGCGCTGAAGCGGGTGGGTGGCTGGGGAAGACGTTTCCGGGTTCACATTCCGGAGGTGAATTCTCATGGAAAGCGAAGTCGACCTGTGGCCCGTTTTGGCAATCGGCGGAGACAACGGGCAAAATATTCGCCAGCCGGTTTCACCGTCGCCAGTTCCAAGAGTGCAAGACTCTGGCTCCAAGTCTCGTGGCCGAGGATTCTCTGTGATCTCGTCTCATTTGTGAGCTACCAACAGACGCACGACTGGACCCTGGCTTTGGGGCTCCACTGCACCAACTGATCCGCACTTGACGGGCCCCGTCCCACCGCGACTCCTGGGGGCCAGTCGAACAGGCTTGAACCTCCTCCCGCCAGGCCAACTGAAGTGACTAAAATAACTAACGAAGTCACTAGGGCTGATCGCCCCCAAACAGGACCAAATGGGGCCAAACAGCGCCCGGAAAGCTGACTCTGCAACAAAGTCCCAGCCCTGAAGTGCCTGGTCGAGTCTGAGTCGTCTCCTGCTGTCGTTGGGTATGACCCTCTCGAGAATAGTCGAGCGGGTCATCTAGGATCGCAGCCAACCGCAGCCAGCCACCGCTGTCGCTCACTTGCAGAGCGCCATCCGATCTAGATGCAGGGCGTGATCCATTCCGACTTCAACTTCCCAGTTTCTTCACTGGGCTGTTTCCACCGGCTCACCGTATCGCCTCAACGACGCGTCAACGTCGACCAGAGGTCAACTTGGACTTGGGTGATCTTGTGTTTCATATCGGACTCGGTTCTCCGTACATCTGGAAGCAGCCCCCCCAAATGATTGATATATCAACCAGACGCTATTAAACTCTCCCCCGTGGATCTGGTCTACCATGGGCCCTCGAGGTTCTCTGATCACCTGCGGAGTGACTTGTGTCTCACCACGACTAGGCCGGGCGTGATGGGAGTTGCAGATGTTGGGAACCGGGGCGAGATCGAGGGGCGGATGGGCCAGGCGGCTGCCCTGAAAGGTCGACGATTTCATACTCTCTGGGGGCTACTACCAAGCACTGTAGTGGGATTCACTCTACTCTCGGATTTAGGTTTGTCGTATCCCGCTGGGGAAAGCATTGTACATTAAGCGTCCTGGAAGTGTCATATACGCATAAATTTGAGCAGTCTGGAGAAGCTCTAAATGCTATTGAGTTAAATTCCATCCGTTTTATCCGTAGCGTCCCGTTCTCACTTGCGATACGCACCCAATTCCCGTCGCCTGATTAAATCCCACGCGCAGATTAGCATTGTAGCACAAGATCAATAGACTGGGAACAGAAAACAGGGCTATGCTTACCACCAAGCCACAAAGTCCATAGTCCGCACATCAATGCCCAAGTCAATCAGAGCCTTGGTGGACAAGTGGGTGTCGTAGGGTCGCTGGACGCCTCCATTGGGGTCATTGCCCTGCTTGTTGGGGATCATGCCCGGGAGAGACCAGCCCATTACCTCAGCCAGCTTCTCGCAGATCTCATACTTGGTCATCCGGTCCTCGGAGCTGAACTGCAGAATGTGCGGCAGCTCTTTCAGGCGGTCCTTTTGCTGCAGGTACTTGATGACGATGTCGCGGCACACCCGCGCCACGTCCTCGGTGTTCGTGGGATATCGTTGAGCCCAGTCATCCATCTTCAAACCCGCATTCTCATCCTGGGCCTTCTTGACCGCGTCTACCAGAGTGTTGACTGCACTCTCAGAGTTGTCCTTGGCCGATCCGTACAGCACCGGCACGCGAAGGACCACGCCTAGACCCGAATCCTTGGTGGCCTGCAGAACTGCTACTTCACCGTCTCGTTTCAATTCCCCGTACACGTTGGGTGGTTTAGTCTCAGCATCTGTTTCGTAGGGAGCCTGGCCCTCTAGGCCAGGAAAAACGTAGTCGGTCGAAATATAGATGAGGAAGGCTCCGCGGGATTGACATTCCTCGGCTAGGGCTCGAGTGGCCTCTACATTAACATTCCGCGCTTGCTCGGGGTTCTTCTCACACAGATCTGGAGATCGGTTGGCCGCACCTAATGTATTATTCGTAAGCTTCAATATAGGGATGAGGAAGGCGAGGATAGTGGAGACCAAGAGGCGTACAGTGAATGACAATCTGTGGTCTGATGCAAAGGGGAAAAGTTAGCCATTTGCGCTTCATTGCCAGTGGCTTCTGCTCAGAATACAATATTCAACAGAATCATCCATAGATCAAAGAACTCACTTGACATCGTTCAAGAGGGCTTTAATCTCCTCCGCTTTCTCCAAATCTGCCTTGAGAATAGTTGGCGGGGCTGCACGCGAGAAGCCCTGACCGACCACCAAGACTCCCGAGTGCTGAAAGGTGTTGAAGACCTGGCGGCCCAGAAGGCCACTGGCTCCGGTGATAAGGACTGTCGAAGTCATGTTGACAATGGCAGAAAGGAAGAGTTGGTCACCGGTGAGAATTTGAAGTTGCCCTTGCCCGCCTCGAGCCTGCGGGGCACTGGCATGACGTAACTGACTCCCATCGGCCGAGTCATCTTTCGCATTTTGGTCGCGATTTTTATTATTTCTTACAACTATAAGAAGAGGTTAATGAAAGCCTATCATTCCAATAGTTGTATTCCTTACCAGTGTAATATACTAAGCTCAGGGACGACGTCGAGGGCTTTAGAAGATCAGCTCAAGCTCAATAGCTTTAGCCTTTTTTAGAGTTGCAAGCTTAACCCTTGAGCGGCCGACCTGGCGAGCTTCCATTGCTCCGCAAAGAATACAATCGGTCTCCTTGATGATCGGGGCAGGACATTTACAATTGCTCTTCTCTTCGATAACACCTCAATCCTATCATTCGGAATAGATGAAGAAAAGAGCAAACCTAGGAGCTTGGGAGTTGAAAGAGCCTGTGCTTTACACAAGCTTCCTACCATATAATTGTCCATTTTTCACGATTGCCTCAAAAACACTTCAATGAACTAAAATTATCTCTGGACATGTCTCATGGATACTCTACGAAATTCCGATGTGGGACGCCGGGCGTAAGTACTGTCATTCGGTTAAACATCTATAGACGCAGACGGCTAAAGGCTCGCCCGTAATCTCTGAGTGAGAACGACAAGGGGCTGAGATACAAGAATGCCAATCGTGTCCAGTCCCTGTACTACCTCCTACTAGTAAATCAGATGTGATGCGTAATTATAGAGGTCAAATATTATTGTCTTTGATGGGAGTTCCTGGCGAAGTCGTGCAAAAATTACAATTGCCGAAAATCACCGAAGCTCTGCAAAGCGGATACAAATCCGAGTGCGTGCAATGGCGCGATGCTCCCGGCAGGAGATCGGAGCGGGATCTCCACTCTTGAATGGCTCGGAGCCCATCATTCCCAAAATTTATCTCCCAATTTCCCTTCATCGCTTTCTCTCCTCCAGACAATCTCGCCTCACGATGTCGGGTGCCCGGAACCTCTCAGCCGCCTTGCGACGGGCTCGGGTCCCTCGCCCTCGCCCTCGCATTGCCCTCCGCTCCGCTCTCCCTCTATCCCCAGCTCCGACTGCCGTCCGCACATTCAGTGTCAGCTCCACCGTCCGGGCAGACAAGCAGATCAAGTTCACCAGCGACGCCTACCCCAATGTCAAGCGCGATCCTAATTTCAGCGAACTTACTGCTGATGATGTTACTTTTTTCAAGGAGCTTCTCGGCGCTCAGTCCGCCGTGGTCGATGGCGTGACCGCCGATGCGACGGACGACATTGAGCCCTTCAACAGCGACTGGATGCGCAAGTACCGGGGCCATACTCGGCTCGTGCTGAAGCCCCAGACCACCGAAGAAGTCAGCAAGGTGTTGAAATACTGTAATGACCGGAGGTTGGCCGTCGTCCCGCAGGGTGGAAATACTGGTCTGGTCGGTGGCTCCGTTCCCGTATTCGACGAGATCGTGATCAACACCTCGCGCATGAACCAGATCCGTTCTTTCGACGAAGCGTCTGGAGTCCTGGTCGCTGACGCCGGTGTCATTCTGGAGGTGGCCGACCAGTATCTCGCGGAACGCAGCCATCTGTTTCCGCTGGACCTGGGCGCCAAGGGATCCTGCCACATCGGAGGCAATGTCGCCACCAATGCCGGAGGTCTGCGTCTGCTGCGCTACGGCAGTCTTCATGGCAGTGTGCTTGGTCTTGAGGCGGTCCTGCCGGACGGGACCATCGTCGACTCCCTATCCACCCTACGGAAGAACAACACTGGTTATGACCTCAAACAACTCTTTATTGGTGCCGAGGGTACTATTGGACTGATCACCAAAGTTGCCATTCTGTGCCCACCACGACCAAAGGCCGTGAATGTTGCTTATTTTGGCCTGGAGAGCTTCGAGCAGGTGCAGAAGGCCTATCGTGAGGCCAAGGGTCAACTGTCCGAGATTCTCTCGGCGTTTGAGCTGATGGACGGTCGCAGCCAGCGCTTGGTCTATGAATCTACCGGAAGTAAGCAGCCTCTGGAGGGTGAATATCCCTTCTACTGTCTGGTTGAGACCAGCGGTTCAAATGCCGAGCACGACATGGAAAAGTTGGAGTCATTCCTTGAGCATGTCATGGGCGAGGGTATCGTCGCCGATGGTGTACTGGCCCAGGATGAGACCCAGTTCCAGGCTTTGTGGCGCTGGCGTGAGGGTATTACAGAGGCCCTGAGCCATCTCGGTGGTACCTATAAATATGATGTGTCGATTCCTCTTCCGGAGCTGTACCAGTTGGTGGAGGACTGCAAGCAGCGCCTCACCGAGAAGGGATTCGTTGGTGATGATGACTCCTTCCCTGTTCGTGCCGTGGTTGGCTACGGTCACATGGGAGATTCGAACCTGCACCTCAACGTCTCCGTGCGTCAGTATAACAAGGAGGTTGAGAAAGCCATCGAGCCTTGGGTGTACGAATGGATCCAGAAGCGCCAAGGGAGCATTAGTGCCGAACACGGCCTGGGTATTGCCAAACGGGAGTTCATCGGCTATAGTCAAAATGAGACTATGGTCAAGTTGATGAAGCAGCTTAAGGCACTTTATGATCCGGTAAGCACCCGAGTTTAAATCGTCTTACCATTCCACAGCACCTCAGTGATCTCGGCATTTTGCTAACTAAACCTCAATAGAACGGCATCATGAACCCGTATAAGTACATCTAGGGGCCTCCAAAATCGAGTTTCAAGGAGCATGTATTGTATAAAAAAAAGAGATCGATGTTCCGGGGCTATTGCAAAATCCTCCATTGTTGAATTATTTACTTCTATACGATTTCCTTTCCGGGACAAGTGGGCCAAATTCAGACCAAGGTGCATGTGACCCTGGCGTCCCATGATTGGTGGCCCTTACATCACACCATTCCGTAAATAGACTAGTCCCGACCCCCACTTGATGCCCAAGGCCCCAGCTGGTTGCCATGCGAGACGGCGCTGTTGTTTGGACGATTATCGTTATATGCTCCACCCCTTTAACTGCCCGACTCTCTCTTTCCTTTGACACTCGCTGCTGTGACGCTTAGAGCTTCTTTTACTAGCTCCCCGCTCAATTGCAAAGCTCTCGGGTTTCTTTGAGCCCCTGGATGAGCACCGTCAAGTCCGTTACAGCCTTGTCCGACCGGAGTCGCTATTTGGGTCCGATCGTTGCGCAACCATGGCGGACGATATGGCGAGCCGTTACCAGGTGATGGAGGAGTTGGGAAGTAAGTGACCAGTTCTACTACTGATTTCCCTGCACGTGCTAACCTCCGGACCCTGTGTCGTGATTTACAGGCGGAAGTTTTGGCACGGTTTACAAAGCAATTGACAAAACTACCGGCGAGATTGTCGCGGTAAAGCATGTACGCATTTCTCGTCCGAAGATTCCGAAGAGCCCCCAATTGACTTCATGCGCCCTCCCAGATCGATCTCGAGTCAAGTGAAGATGATATACAAGAGATTCAGCAGGAAATCTCTGTTTTGGCCACTTGCGCTAGTGCATTTGTTACGCAATACAAAGCGAGCTTCTTGAAAGGCCACAAGCTCTGGATTGTCATGGAATATCTGGGGGGAGGATCCTGTCTTGATCTTGTACGTGGAGTATCTCTGTATGCGAATATTACAAAAGCCCGTGATGACTGACCGCTCCGCAGTTGAAACCAGGGGTCTTCAACGAAGCGCATGTTGCGATTGTCTGCCAACAATTGTTACAAGGCCTGGAATACCTGCACGCCGAAGGAAAAATTCACCGTGATGTCAAAGCCGCGAACGTTCTGCTCTCAAATACCGGCAAGGTCAAGCTAGCCGACTTTGGCGTCGCAGCGCAATTGGTCAACATCAAGTCTCAGCGCAATACATTCGTGGGAACTCCATTCTGGATGGCGCCGGAGGTAATTCAGCAGGCTGGCTACGATTTCAAGGCCGATATTTGGTCTTTGGGTATTACCGCAATCGAGATGATCAATGGCGAGCCCCCCCATGCCAGCACACACCCGATGAAGGTTCTCTTCCTTATCCCCAAGCAGCCTGCGCCGCGGCTGGAGGGCAATGACTACAGCAACACCTTCAAGGACTTTATTGCCCAATGTCTGACTAAGGATCCGGATCGCCGGCCTAGTGCGAAGGAGCTTCTACGGCATAAATTCATTCGCAATGCAGGCAAGACAGAGGCACTACAGGAGCTGGTTCAGCGTAAGCAGGACTGGGACGCTGGTCGCGGAGTGTCCAAGGATGTGAAGTACTATGCAGAGTCTCTGTAAGTTACCTGTACCGTTGATGAGAATCCTTTGCTAACAAATTCTCTCTTCAGTAACACTATTACAAAGCCTATCTCATCAGGTGACGACGATGAGGATTGGGTCTTTGATACTGTCAAAGCTCCAACTATGTGGGTGCCTAAGGGGAAGGACTGGTCCACCCTCGACGAGGAAGAAGACGATGCCGATCCGGCCGAGCTACTGAAGGATATGCAAATTTCTCAACCGCCACCTCCACCAAAGCACCAGGCCAATTCGACTGTGCGACGCACTCCCAATGTCGATCGATCGCCATCCATTCGACGGGCCAATACCAAGAGGCGATCCAGCGGGGTCAAGCAACCATTGGGGTTAGACCTAAGCTTTGGTAACAGTCCATCAACTGTTCGACAATTTCGTCGAGTCTCGGACAAGGTTCCCCATGAGCCTACGCATCCGAAGGTTCCCCCTGGCTTTGACGAGAACACCAGCCCGAAAACGATGTCATCTGAGCTTGCAAGCAAAGAAGCCCAAATTGGACGGCGTGCATACAGCAAAGCTGTCGGTCTCTCCTGCCAGGAGGTTCTTGCCACCACTGGAGACGGTGAGAAGCGTGAGGCTATTTCTCGGCTGGCCGAGGCTTGGAGTGATCTGGAAATGGTCGATCCTGAGGGTCTCTATCATATCATCCGAACAATGAATGAGCGCCTTCAAGCAGATCCTCGCCTTGCTGTTTTAGTCCCTGCGGCGCCTGTTCAGCCTGATTCCCCGTCTCGCCCCCGCCTTGTATTGGCACAGAACAACCCGCACCTGAAGAGCCACCGCCGCCGGCAGTCGACGCATGTGGTTGACCCCCAATCCCAATCTCCACCTCTTTTCAACCTACCCGGCCAAAACACTCCCGGGATGGAACACACCAAACAACTATCTGATGTACTCTACCAACGCTGGGCTGAGGGGCTTCGCAATCGCTGGGGAATCTAGAAGATGATCTTCTCTTCTCAGTATAATGGCCCCTTTGGCCCGCACTTGATTTTTGCTGTCTCGAACTTTCTTCACGTTCGTTGTATAGACCACATTCTGGCGTTTCTGTTTGTATAACCCCCTCCTTGCGTTCTTTTCTTATTCCGAGCCTGCCGGTCTTGCATCCTTGGTGTCCGTTCTTTTCTGCTTGTGATGTTCACTTCCTGATTCTATGATGGGACGGGTCCCCGGAGTTCTGACTGATTATGATGATCTGGTGTAATATTCCTTGGTACATTGTGTGTGATTTTTGCAACTTTTCTTTTTTTCTTGCCTGTCTTCCGCGGCATGATGGACCTATGATTAGGTTCGACATGTCTCGCCGGGGCTTTGGTGTTTATCTGCTTTGTTTCCTCCATACATAGAGAGCCTTTCTTTTGCTACTGTCATTTAAATACTCCCTTGTCACGCTCTACCTCCCTGCTTGCTTTGTATTGGTTGTGAGCAAGGGGGATTTTCAATTGTGCAATATGTCTCTAAAGATCTTCGTGGACAGTTTAACTTTCAATGAAAATAAATTCTGTGATGGAATATCTAGCAATCATAATGTTCACAATGTCTCCGGTTGACATCGCTTGAGATTTGCAATAATCTCTTCATTAAGTTGCGCGGCATGAGTTGAAATGTTGGTGAAGATTTTTCGCCAGAAAACCCACAACTCAACATCCAAAATCCAACGAAGCCGCTCCACTCTGACATGTCGTGATGATTCTTACTACCCTTCCTTGATTGTTAGAGTGTTCTCCCAACCGTTAGGACACATGGGTTTAACCCGAATGGAGAATTTGGTTGAAGCCACAGCGGAGCTGCCTACGTAAGATATCCCCGAATAAACAATTCATGTAGTTAGGAACCACTCTAGTTCGTAGTTGATAATCACAGACCAGGCAGGATAATTGAACTAACAATTATTTAAGGAAGGAAGAGATCGCAATGTGTAGACTGAGAAGATAACGGATTTGGCCCAGCTCTCTGATCTAGCCCTCTTATCTGTCGGTCACTACGATCCCATTGGACCATTCATCATGGATGGTCATGGATCAGGAATTGGATTCTGTAGTTGGCTCTAGCCACCATTGAAAATTCACCCGCAAGGCCAATTGCATCTTGAGTGCATAAAAGCATGCCACGAACTATACCGTGTGCTTGTTGTATAACCAGCCTTGCCCGCATTACGTGTCCGTGAGGCATTGTGTCTTGGGGAGACTTGCTAATGAGACTTGACGCACTCTAGGTACTGCCTTAGTCTCTGCATGGCTTTGGCACACTGATAAAACGGAGCGAGACTGCACACGACCTCTAGAAGTATTTTGGGCATTGGACGCGGGCAGCTCAAAGGGAGTTTGGCTGCGGGGGCGTAATTAAAGCACCCCTGTTGATTCGCTGAACCAGCGCCGATCCACCAAATCCGGGGAGTCCACGGATGGCTTGACTCGTTGAAAGTGGTCTATAGGACTTGCCACGGCGTTGTCGGGGCCAATTCTGGAAGTCCTCATGCAGCAGTAATTGCAGACGACTGAGATCGCTCCAGAACAGTCCCTGAGCCATCCTCCGTCTGTGCTGCTGTGCATGCCTGCTTGATCTGCTGGACGGAGTATAGGACTTTCCAGGCGCGAGCGGGCCAGTGCTCGACTCCCCCTGAAACACCGACTCGTGGCACGTCGCTGGGACCCGCTGTGGACTCGGACGCGGCTTGACGGACTCAGGAGAACGTCCAGACCTCCAACCTTTTTTTTTCTTCCTTCCACCTACCTCCTGTACAGTGTACATATTCATTTCTCCATTTCTCTGTTCTCCGTTCTCCATTCTCCGTTCTCCATTGTGTCCTTTCGTCATTCGTTACTTTCCTCTCCTCCATGCCCTTCTTGTCCATATAGATTACTCGCCTTCTCCCTGTTGGCTGGTCCACCATGGAGCTTCCCCCGGAACGGGCGACCACGCCCACCACACGTTGCCGGATGCGTTCCAGACTTCGGGCTCGCCCGTCGACTCTCCAATCCAACCGGAGACGGTCTCGGACAAACCCTCCCAACCGCTCTCTCGGTCCTCATCACTTCTGCAGAAAAAACGGTCCTCCCTTCCCCCTCGTGCCAGCCTCGGTGCTCGACATTCCAAGCGCCTCACCTTGAACTTTCCCATAAACATCCCGCTGGACCAGCCGCCACCTGCCACCTCCGATCCCAGTGGGGTGTCCTCGCCAGGCTCGATGACCCCCGTGACGCAGTCGTCCGCTCGCCCCTCCCCCGGCACCGCGGGGACGCCGATGCCGTTTGATGTTGACGATGATGGCTACGATTTTCTCCGTGCCATTGCCTCGCAGGAGCGGCGGGTGCTGGAGCTTCGTGAGGAGCTGCAGCGGGCCGAAGCCGACCTAACAACACTCAAGAAACAGTGGGCGTTGTCCGAAAAATCCAGAAAACGCACCGAGATCAGCCATCATGCCGAGCCGCTGATACCCCTCCGTTCACCGGACTTCCATACCCCGGAGGGGCCGAGCAATTCACATGGCCGGGAACAAAGCATAAGCTCTGTGGCCAGCTCGTCCGTATCACAGGAACGAATCAGTCGGGAACTGGAACGACGCACCAGCGTTCGGGCAGCTCCCACCAACGGAACCACCATCTCGGCCAACGGCCGGCGGGTCTTCCAAGGCTCCCATGCCCGAACACTGTCATTGCTGTCTCCAGTGACTGCCTCGAGCTCTTCTATGGGCGGATCCGGCCCGTCTGAGCCCGACCGCGTCGGTCGTACTCCTCGGTCGGCGACCCTGCCGTCTGTCGAGCGCAACAATGTGCCTACCGTTGGGGCACCGACCGATGAGAGCCAAATTCCTGAGCAGTTGCTGGCCCAGTGGCGAAAGACGATGCCACCTCCGTCTCGCGAGGCCTTGGTACGCACCGGGAAGCAGATGGCCTCAGATCTACGGGAGGGTCTGTGGACATTCTTTGAGGATATTCGACAAGCTACGGTCGGCGAAGAAGGTATCAACGCAACAGAATCCCGGACCATGTCACCGCCCAATTCATTAGCACCATCTAGCGCGCGGAAGCGAGATTCGTTGGCCAAATCGCGAAGCCGGGATCGATTGTCAGCTGGAGGAAACATTTCACGATCATCATCATCATCATCATCATGGGGTAGAGGGGCGGCGGCGGCCGAGACATCATCTGGTAAAGACACCACACCGGTCGACATATCTACGTCTTTCTGGCATGAATTCGGGGTTGATTCACCAGTGCAGATGTCTCCAGGCGCTCGCCGCAGCCCCGCCGACAACAACAGCAACAACAACAACAACAACAACAACGCCGCCACGACCCCTCGGGGCGCGAAAGAACACGGGCACCTCGATCGCCGCTCCAACAATCCAGCCGAAGTGGAGGATGACACAGCCGAGAATTGGGACATGTGGGACACTCCATTACCGGCGTCGAAGGTGACACATACTCCTTCATCCAGTCGATCAACGGTCGAGTCCTCGAAGCACGACCAGTCGCCCATCACGCAGGGCAGCAGCCCGCGAACGAGTGCCAGGTACATTGCGACTTTTCCTGATTTCATCTATGACAACCTTGTTATGCGCTGACGCCCGTTCCTTAGCTTTGGCGACTGGAACTCCAGTTCCGCCGCGCCTGATCCCAGCGTCACCGAAGGCATCCCGTGGCCGGCCATCACCAAATTAGCCCCCTCGAAGCTCCAACGGACCGCCTCCAACCTGATGGCAGAATGGGAGCGAAGCCTCTCTCCTTCCCCCGAGCGGAAAGGCTCTTCTTCGTCGTCCAGCCGAGGCAAAAATAGCAAAAAGGACTAAGGAATGGGCCCGTGCTGCTTCTTTTTCTCTCTCTCTCTCTTCTCTTTTTCTACCTTCTCCAACCTACCTCTTATGTATATACTATCACATCTTCTTTTCCCTCCATTTCCTTCTTCGGCCCCGACTTCGAGGGTCTCCGTTGGACGAATTGGCACGAACACACCATCCACGGAATTATGCAGGGCTACGACTTGTTCAACCTACGAGAGCGTTGTTTTCTTTTTTTTTGCCTTGAGTAGTTTGACATTTTTGGGTTTCTACCGTGTCACTATCTTTCTTCTTTACCCGGCTTTCTTGACAGGCGACTTAGAACAATTTTCTATAAACGAACTCAATCTCGATAAATTGACTCACATCTAAATTATGATTCTCATTCATCCACTACTCCTTTCCAAGTCTCTCAACACCTCTTGTTCGAAAGCACAGTGCATACAACACGATTAGTTCCCGAGAGGTCACGTGAAAACTGCGCCAAGGGTCGTTCGCGGTTGCCGCAAAATTAAATTTGCGCGAGTCGCCATCTCCGCAAGACCTCCGGACCTCGATATCTCGATTTATTTGATTTGGCATTGTCTCAAGGGATATTCTACCCAACCTCCTCGTTGTTGCGAAGCTGCTCTTTTTATTGTCTCTGGATATCGGCAAATTGTCTTCTCTCCCAACCTCGGATTAAATTACATCGACGACAACTCACCATGAGTTTCCCGGGTATGACCCCGTCGGCGAATGCTATGGGTGCGGCCGGCACAAACCCTCAGACAGCTGGAATGAGTGAACAAGAGCAAGCTATGGTCAAGATGGTATGCTAGAATATTTGTGCCGTCTGCTTCTTTCGATTCTCCTAACAAGCTATGAATAGATGCAAGCTGGTATGGAGTCGTGCCCTATGAAAACGGTCATCTCCGGTACGATGGGATTCGCCCTCGGTGGTGCTTTCGGTCTTTTCATGGCCAGTGTGAGTATAAACAGACTACCCGTTTATTTTCTTGTGATCCAGATTTAACCTATTTCCCGCCTTCCAGATGTCCTACGATTCTCCCCTTACTCCCCAAGGCCGTGAAATCGCCAACCTCCCCTGGCGCGACCAGGTCCGCCGCGGCTTCAAGGATATGGGGACTCGTTCCTGGTCGTCTGCGAAGAACTTCGGTATCGTTGGTGCGCTTTATTCCGGAACCGAGTGCTGCATCGAGGGTCTCCGTGCGAAGAACGATTTGACCAACAGCGTCGCGGCTGGATGTTTGACTGGCGGTATTCTGGGCGCGAAGGCCGGGCCTCAGGCAGCTGCCTTTGGCTGCGCCGGTTTCGCAGCATTCAGTGCTGCCATTGATGCCTACATGCGTATGCCCTCCGAGGAATAAACCCTCTTATGCTGGTTGTCTTCACTTAGACGAGTTTCATTCGTCTCCCCTGTTTTATCGATACCTCGATTGCATCTTTGTTTATCGACCTGTACATTTTCTTACGGCACTCGGCGAATATTGGGATAGAACGGAAGCATAAATGGCGTTTTGTTGTTTTTTGAATTGTGCAATACTTTCTCACACAATTGCCAATACCCACTCGGAATGACTATATTGCTGGCTGTGGTTCAAAGCCGACTTGCCTGTGGCATTTTCACCTCCCAGTTTGGCTCTTGATGTCAGATGGACATTTTGTCACTTTACTTTATTTGTATGGAATCTCCCCACCAACTGTACTATATATCACAATCATCATCTGATAGAAAGCTGTGAATCTTCAGGGTCAATTCATTTTGGTTCAATCTATCAGATGAAGGCAATATGACTATTCTAATATGTTTTACCGACCAAGTAACCTCAACTATAACCTGTAAAAACCATCCCGCCGGCCTTGTTTGACCGTTCAATAATATCCTTGCTACCGTTGAAATCTAGCATTTATGAGAAGGAAACGAGATGGATTCTACGTAAGATACAATCGCATTCTAGCTGCTTTCATGTAGTGCTCTATCCTGCCTGTTACACTATACTACTCTTATTATTGAAAATTACTTTGTTTCATTTATTATCAATCATCAAAGTCATTCAGCCGTACAACTCATGTTGCTTTTTTAGTTTTCAGAGCATATTGCCTTTTTCGAAACACCCCACTTCTCTAGGAATTTAATTTGACTCCCCCCCCCCGGATTAAAACCCTTTTTGATTCATATCTTCATTGCTCACTAGCACTGTTTACCCGCGATGGTACATGATGTGCTGCCTCGAGAGCCCTGGCTCCTAGAATGGCGCTCCTCAAAATCAATGATCGGTCTGGCTGTTTTCATGTCCACCTTTACGGATGGATTTTTGTATGGAATTGTGAGTGAATCTGATGTTATTCCAGTCTATTTATTGACTGACCATACGGAACCTAGGTTGTAGCTGTTCTCCCATTCTCGCTAACTGCACGCTCTGGAGTTTCCGAGTCCGATCTTCCCTTTTGGACATCCCTGTCTTTGGCTGTCTTTGGTACTGCTCTGGTAGTTGGGGCCCCGCTAGCAGGGTGGCTTATAAAAAGATCGAAAGCCTGTCAGACACCTTTCATAGTCGGGTTGGGCTGTGCTTTCGGCGCTACACTTTTGTTCATGCTTGGCACAGCTCCGTGGATAATCGTTGTAGCACGAGTATTTCAGGGAATTTCTGCTGGCATCATCTACGCCGCGGGTCTAACGCTTCTGGTTGAAACTGCCGATGAAACTGATCTGGGACCGATGATCGGATTTGGTCTATCTGGAATGAATTTTGGGGTCATGATCTCACCAACTTTGGGAGGCATTGTTTATGAGAAGGCAGGCTTCTACCCTGTCTTCATAATGGGCATGACAATCGTCGCGGTTGACTTGGTTGGTGTTCTTCTAATCATTGACCGAAAGACTGCCGAAGGGTATCAAAGCCAATCAATTCACGGAGAGCCTAATACGTCGTCCTATGAGTCGTTCCCGGATAGGGCCTTGACCCAGCAACCCCGTCAGATCAGTCCTGGGGAGACTGATTCCTCCGTTACAACGTCGTTATTGTCACCGCCTAATAGTATATATCTGTCACCGGAGGAAGAGGTATCTTGGGCTACTATTACTTTCGGTCTTTTGAGGAACCCTCGAATTATGGCGGCACTTTACGGGTGTGCTTTGCAGTCGATGTTGGTGAGTTCCATGGATGCTGTTCTGCCGATCATGGTGAAGAGCACGTTTCATTGGAATTCCGCCGCCACGGGTGCTATCTTCCTCAATATCACCATTCCATCTCTTGCCGCTCCATTACTTGGTCTACTAGTGAACCAAAAAGGAACCCGATTTACCGCTTTATGCGGTCTTGGGCTTACTGCGCCGACGCTTGCGCTTCTGGCCTTGGTGCAACAGAATAGCATCGGTCACAAGGTCCTGATCTGCATTTTGCTTCTAATAATAGGTAAGAAAGCTTCATAAAGATGCAATTCTGCTGCTAACAAGCCTTCAAGGAGTCGGTTTCAATGCATCGCTGACTGCATTGACCACCGAGATTCCCTTGGCGATTGCCGATCTCCAAGAAGCCCAACCAGAAATTTATCAAGGTAAAGATGCTATCGCACAAGGCTACATGCTTTTTGACATAATGGTTGGAGCTGGTCAAATGTTCGGACCTTTGATTGCCGGGCTAGCCTTCAAAAACATTGGGTGGGCAGGATGCACCCTTATACTTGGTATCATACACTTGAGCGGTATAATTCCTGTGGTGAGTGGCTCATCCTACACTTTTTACTTGCGTGAGTTGAGAAACGACTGCTAAGCCTGTACAGATAAAATATATAAAATCGCGACGAACAATGCTTTGAACTGATACCTTGGAGAGTTCGGGTAAATGGATCTTCTGCTTTTGGTGTTTTGGCGAGGCAATAGATTTTTCAGCATCAAAGTTCAATGCAAAGATACTTGATATTATTTATAAGCTATGATCACGTATAGTATTTCACGAGCTATCTCTAGCTGGATCTTGGCTGAAATATTTTCTGTTTTCTTCTGGAAGGCCTCCCTCTATCGTGGTGTGCGATGGTTTGTTGGTCTGTTCGTTGATCCATCTCAGCCTGCCTGCATCTCAGGCTTGCCGTAGAGCGCCCTGGTTCAATATCTAGTACCGAGCACTGGTTCAAACTTTGCGGAGATTCCTATACAGCGAGTGACGAAAGGGAACAGCAAAGGCGGCACTGCGCATTATGCCAATGATTTACATAGGCTGCATCAGCAAGCTATCTATGAGTTGCACGCTCGTGATATTACTCAATGCTTGACTGACCAGGAGGCACTGTAACCACACGGGATCTTTTACTGTAATGCTCAGAAGTACAGCGATAATCATGAATGTCAACCAAGAAGAATACTGTGATATACTGTATAGATACAAATTAGTGTGTTCTTCCTGTGCTCAGTGATAGTCTCAGGAGAGGGTCTTTGGCAACCCTACCACGGTTCTTCAACAAACTGGTCTCGGGTGCACGTACCCAACCTCAAGGCAATGTGGGCGGGTACATGCATCCGGTCCAAATAAAAAAGGGCAATCGCCAGGAATGACGGGTGTATGACTAGCTTTTGCTGGTGGCCATATATTTCATCTAAAAAATATTTTAGTTTCCATACTCTTGCAGTAGAACAAGCCCCGAATCATTGTCCCCGGAGACCCGTGTGAACCTGTCCGTTTACGCCTCAGCCGACGAAGTCAGTCCCGCCCTTTGGTGTATTCCGGGTGAACGATGGCTCAACCAATGAGAAATTCCTCGACAATGTGCAAAATGACGCTAGGCGTGCATCCATACCATGCTAGTGAGCTATTCGACGGAGAAATATGCCGAGGAAACAAGACCACATATCTTGATTCTCTAGAGGAGATGGGAGAAATGCTGCTCGCCGAGGAATCCACACCACTAGCAGCATTTTTGGAAATTGGTCTCAACTACGTCTTTGTTGATCCTGCGGACAAACAGATACAGCGTCGTGCCTTCCGAGACCGGTTGGAGCTAGCGACTCACTTCTAATTGCCACTTTTTTTTGCATGCCCGGGAGTCTGTTATAGATTTAATCTCGATCATAGAATCATATCTCTCCAGGTTGCCACGGGGTAACTTAATTCATTCCTTCGCTAGCACCAAAGACGAAATGCTTCGTTTGGTGTAGCTAGGCCTTGAGATTAGCGTGAATAGCATCTCCTGTCGGACAGAAGAGCAGATTGAAATGGTCAAGCATATACCTTTGTAAAGATTGCAGTTCGAGACAGATGCACCGTGGTGTAATGTTGTGAGCAACGACCCAAGAATTGAAACATACCTGGCGACAGCAAGGCCCTTGCCACCAAGCCGAAAGCACAACAAGTTCATTCGAGGACAAATGGTCAAAAATCGAAATGAGAGCCGCAACATTGAGCCAGTTGGTTTAGTGGTAGCCGGGATAAAACAAGTGACAATGGAGGAGATTGTCGAGGCTGCATGGAAGAATAGTTGCCGCATGTTCTGGTAGACTCTTCTTTTTCTAGATCTATCTAAAGCCTCGTGTAAAAATTTTTAAATCATAACATCGACGAAAGCGGCCAGGTGCCCGCATTTGGTGGAAGATTTGAAGGGGGTTGGAGCCGCCCACTGCCTCATGAGAAGAATGTTTTGAGATGATGAGTAAAATGAGATGTGCAGAACTGTACTGTACTGTATTCATGTTCATGGTAGACATAAAAGCAAAAACATGGTGTTACAATAAAGGGCAGGTACTACGAAGACAGATCCTGATTATGAAGTTTATCCGAGCAAGGCGAAATGAGCATTGCATAGTGGCCAAAGCTCATCGTTTAGTGCTTGGAAAGGAAGTAGTCTTTCCCCTTAAACATGGAAACCATCTTGCCCCAAGGTAGGCTTTGCTTCGGAGATCCACCATTCACAGATAGTTAATTTTTTAAATATCAAATAAGTCATTACAAATACATGCCCTTCTGCTAAAAGAGATCGGTTAAATATACTTCCAAGGTACGGATTTCAGTTGCTGAAACCATTGTGACGTAACAAGGCAAAGAGTCTAGAGGTGGGCCATCGTCATCCAAATTTTGCACGGCTAATAAAATTCAGAAAAGAAAGAGGTGTATGAATTTTTTTCCAAAAAATTCCCAGATGGATCTGATTTCTTACTGTGCTGTCGACGAAACCAAGCAGCTGGATTACTCCTCAGCTAACCCTTTGAACCGGGAGCCGCCAGTGCAAGGTTTAATTAATCAGTAAGCAAATGCACTGGTACTTCCATGACATGATCAAACCTTTCCCCAAAAAATTCGCAGTCTCAACATATTCTAACCTGAAGGTTAATTTCAGATTCATCACGCCCCAAGATCTAAGCTATGATCGCAACCACGGCCCGATCCCACATATCTGTGCTGATAAGCACTTTGTTCGAGTTGATGGTCTTGTCAAAACGCCTCTTTCTTTCTCTGCAGACCAGCTTCGCTCCGATTTTGCTCAGCATGAGGTGACATGTGCGCTTGAGTGTGCAGGAAACCGCCGCCATACCATGCGTACTCGATTGAGTGAAGTGGAAGGTATTGATTGGGGAGATGGAGCAGTCATGAACTGCAAGTGGGAAGGCCCTCGTATACGTGATGTACTACTTCGTACGGGATTAGGCGATGATGTGATTCAAAAGAGCCATGAAATACATGTGGCTTTTGCATGCTATCAGGTTCGCTGCCAGGAAGATCACTGGTTTGGATCAAGTGTCACACTAGAGAGATGTTTACGAGAGGATTGCGACGCTATTATTGCACTGAAAGTGAGTAGTTTACATGATTTTCTTTTCATTCCCCTGAAAGCTGGGTCTTTGGCTAAAAGTCTAGGTAAATGATGGCCCCCTGACTGCAAATCATGGCTATCCTCTTCGTGTCGTTCTACCTGGTATCACTGGTGCTCGTTGGGTCAAATGGCTTGATCGCATCACCATTCAAGCCAAGGAGTCTCCAAATTTCTATCAACAATATGACTATAAAATTCTCCCTCCCGAGGCTGTCAACGAGGAGTCGGCCGAAAAACACCGGTCAAGAACATCGCCAATGTACGATACACCAATCAATTCCGTTATTGCAATTCCAGCTGAGGGTGAATATGTCTATCTCCCATCAACCGGTACAGTGAAGGTCAAAGGATATGCAGTTCCTCAAGGCGCAGATGGGCCAATCACTTGTGTGGAGGTTTCTGGGGATCAAGGTCGATCATGGGTCAACGCCAAGCTCAATGCTTCAACCTATACATCAAGATGGTGCTGGGCATTATGGACTGCAGACGTCAGGTTGGCCCCTGGACAAAAAAGAGAGATAATTAGCCGTGCAAGTGATGCTGGTGGAAATATGCAGCGGTCGCATTCAACGTGGAATTTGCGAGGGATGGGATATAACGGGTATGGTCGAACAACCAATTTGACGGTCATGTAATAGTAACATGATCTCAAGTCAATTGAATTGAGAAAATATTATGAATCTATATTCACACTTAAAACATATGCCTAAACTCAAGGCAACACAATGTACTTTTCCAAATGCTTGGGGATCGCGCTTCGTAGATTCTTGCTCTGGAGCCAAGTGTTGGAGAATAAGCGATCAGCATACCGGTATGCACCGTCACAGAGGATTGTCACAACCGTATTCCCCTTGCCCAGCTTCTCAGCGACTTCCTTGGCTGCCACCACGTTCAATGCAGAGCTGGCTCCGAGATACAAGCCCTCCTCATCCAAGCAGCGGTACACCATCTCAATGGTTTTCTCGTCGGAAATGTTGAGAGAGCCATCCAACAAGTCAATATCAGGCTGAAGATTGTCCGTCACCCGTCCCTGGCCAATTCCCTCGGTGATGCTACCGCCAGAGCGGTCAGTCAGCTTACCACCGCTTTGGATATAACTATGCAGAACACTGCCGGGTGGGTCGGCCAAGAAGCTCTTGACACGACCGTCACTGGCAGTCTTCAGGTAACGGGTGATACCAGCCAGGGTACCACCAGTACCAGTGGCGCAAGTGAAAGCGTCAATCTTGCCGGCAGTTTGCGCCCATAGTTCTGGGCCAGTAGTCTCGATATGTGCCTGGCGGTTGGCGGTGTTGTCAAACTGATTCGTCCATACAGCATTGTCAAGTGACTCGGCATGGCGACGTGCCTGGTGGTTGTAGTTTTCTGGATTGTCGAATGCGACAGCGGGAACCGGATATACCTCTGCGCCCAGGAGCCGAAGCAGATCAATCTTGCCCTGGGACTGGGTGTTGGGCATGTAAATCACCAATTTGTAGCCCTTGGAACGGCACACATGTGCCAGACCGATTCCTGTATTACCAGCGGTACCCTCAACCACCGTGCCGCCTGGGCGAAGCAATCCCTTCTTCTCGGCATCCTCGACCACAAAGAGCGCAGCCCGATCTTTGACGCTACCACCAGGGTTCTGGAATTCGGCTTTTCCGAGAACGTTACAACCGGTTTCTTCAGAGAGTCTCTTCAGCCGAATGAGAGGAGTGTTTCCAATTGCTGCTCAAGAAGAATTGGTCAGCTCTGGAAACATGCAGTTCAACAAGCGCATCGCAGCTCTACATACCTTCGGTCAGTCCATTGACAACGCCCTGTGCTCCAGACACTCGCGCGGTATAGGACTCGGTGGCAGCAGCACGAATGGCTGTGGTACCAAAGCGCCGAATGCTTTGGCGAAACATTTTACGCAGATGCAATGCAATACGAAAGATCAGTGCTAGAAATAAAGTAACATCGATCACCTCATCGGCCGAAGGTCTCCGATGACGGGATGAGTCAGCAACACATGACCCGGGGCCGCCTTATCGTCTTTCCCCGTTTGGGCTGTTTGTTTACCGCCCGCCGCCACACCTCCCCTCTTCCTTTCATCTGCGCGCAATAGGGATGCTTTCTGCCTTTCACAACTTGTGCATCGACAACCAACGCCCATAATGCCTGGCCGAGTTGCCGCACGCTCGACATCTGCCACGACGCGCAGGTCATCGGCACAGCCCTCCGCGGGTCGCGCTCCCTCGGTGACCCCGTCGTTTGCGATCCCCGAAGAACCCGCCCTCCCGTCAACATTGCCCAATCTCCGCCGCGATGTATGCGCTATATTTGCTGATGCTCAGCGATCGACAACCGGACACAGGAAGCTGGTGGTGCGTCTCCGCAAATTGCAGGAGATCTGCTCCGGAATCGTTCAAAGGAACAAGAAGAACAAGGATCAGGAACCGGAGGAGATTGTGATCCCAGAAGAACAGACACCGGCGGAGCAAGAATTCAATGTGGAAGTGGGCCGCTGTATACTTCGCATTCTTCCAATTAAGAAGTCGGAGCCGGTCGGTGACCGGGTCCTGCGTTTCCTGGACGCTTTCCTGGCCCATGCCCTTGACAAAGACATTGAGCTTTTCGGTTCGAAGGATGACGAGTATGAAATGCAATCTACCGTTGAAAATCCAAGCACGCGTTTGACCTCGAGTCTTGTGTCGTTGATGACACCCATTCTTGCATCCAAAGATAAGGTGGTGCGATTCCGTGCTACCCAGATCATCTCACATATTATCAACACGCTGGAATCATGCGATGACGAACTATACCACGCCATTAGGCAGGGCTTGCTGAAACGGATTCATGATAAGGAATCTTCCATCCGTGTTCAGGCAGTGACTGGTCTTGCACGGCTCGCCGGAAACGAAGATGACGGTGATAGCAATGACGACAGCTCGACCGCCCTTCGCGAAAAATTGATTGAAATCATGCAAAATGACACCAGTGCTGATGTACGAAAGAATCTCCTGGCTACTCTCCCACTAGCCCAAGCGACTCTCCCCTCTCTCCTTGAACGAGCCCGCGATCTCGATGCACCGACCAGACGTACATTGTATTCCAAACTCTTGCCTACACTTGGTGATTTCCGTCATCTTTCTCTTGGAATGAGAGAAAAGCTGCTCCGGTGGGGCTTGCGAGATCGCGATGAAAGCGTTCGCAAGGCAACCGGAAAGTTATTTTACGATCGTTGGGTGGAAGATTGCGCGGGCACAAACAACGGCGAGAACGCTGGTCACCGCTCGGCTCCTAATATAAATGCACTTCTTGAACTACTGGAAAGAATCGATGTGATCAATTCTGGTGTCGAAAGCGGCATTGCTCATGAAGCAATGCGCAGTTTCTGGGAAGGTCGGGCTGATTACCGAGAGGCTGTTGTTTTTGACGAGCCTTTCTGGGAATCCCTTACCGCTGAGTCAGCTTTCTTGCTCCGATCTTTCAATGACTTCTGTCGGGTGGAGAACGAAGGCAAGTATGATGACTTGGCAGATGAGAAGATGCCGACTGTAACCGCACTGGCTTACTTCCTTTCTAAATACACAACCGATCTTCTACAGCGGAAAAAGCTTGCCAAGGAAACAGGAGATGCCAATGACGAAGATGCTGTTGAACAAGAATTCATTGTTGAGCAGCTTCTGCACATCGCGATCACCTTAGACTACAGCGATGAAGTTGGGCGACGGAAAATGTTCTCTCTCCTCAGAGAGTCTTTGGCCGTGCCAGAGCTCCCAGAAGAATGTACCAAGCTCGCGGTTGAGACTCTTCGTTGTGCCTGTGGCCCTGACCTTGCAGGCGAGAGCGAGTTCTGCAGCGTGGTTCTTGAAGCCATTGCTGAGGTTCACGATACTATCATCACTGAGGATAGCTTTGTCTCGGCAAAGTCTGAAATCAGTGATGATACAAGCAGTCGCCACCGATCTGAAACCCCAGGTGAAGACGAATTGCCATTCAACAAGGAAGAGGCCAAGGCCAAAATTCTGCGTGAAATTGTGGTCAATATGAAGTGTCTCCATATTGCTCAATGCATGCTTCAAAATGTTGAGGGCAATTTACAGCATAATATGAACCTAGTCACAATGTTGAACAACTTGGTTGTGCCCGCTGTGCGCAGTCATGAGGCCCCCATTCGTGAACGCGGTCTTCTGTGTCTCGGTCTGTGCTGCCTGCTAGATAAGGTAAGTTTTTTTTTCTAGTTTGAGGTTGTTATATCTGCTAACTATCTATCTAGAATTTGGCTGAAGAGAACATGACTCTTTTCATCCATTGTTATAGTAAAGGTCACGAAGGCCTCCAAGTGACTGCCATCCAGATCATTTGTGATATGGTTACGACCCACCCTTCACTTCTTGCTCCGGTAACTCAGGCTGATGGTGAAACCGTTACACCTCCTTCAATTCAAAAACCCCTGCTCAAAGTCTTTGCCCGAGCTCTGAAAGCCACTTCCCCCTAGCGTTCAGTCGGGAGCAGCCACCGCGTTGTCTAAGCTCTTGCTCACCAGCACGTTCACCCCGTCTGGGCCGAACGTGCCACCCGCAATCCAGGAATACAATCAAAACGCCGTGGAGACTCTCCTGCAGAACCTTGTGGTATCTTTCTTTCATCCACGAACCCGCGAGAATCCAGCTCTTCGTCAAGCTTTGGCATATTTCTTCCCTGTCTACTGCCATTCCCGTTTGGAAAACACCCATCACATGCGCCGAGTGGCAGTCCCTGTTATTCGAGCCGTGGTAAACGCAGCCGAGGAACACTACTCGTTAGAGGCCGAGGAGGACAGTGACGGTGAAATCGACGAGAGCATTGGCGAGCGTGAAATCAAGGCCCTCATGACGGGCGTTCTAGGCATGCTTTCAGAATGGACTGATGAACGCCGTGTTGTCGGTCTTGGTGGTGAACGTATCCTTGCCGGCGGTTCGGCTAGCTCGAGTACCTGCGGATGGGTGCACATGGCTCTAACTAAGGACATTCTGGAGCGTGTTCTGGGCATCAGTGCCGGTCCCAACCGTTGCTCACGGGAAGAACGGAAGCTTCTCTTCTCACTTCTAAGCAAGCTCTACGTCGCTGCTCCTACAATGCCATCTCGCCCTGGCTCTCGAGCTCCTGAAGGCGAGGACCAATTCCGAAGCAGTATTCGCAGTGCAACTGGAATCGAGTTTGACCCCAAAAACCTTCAATTGGCTCAGGAGGTCAAGGAGCTTCTAGATCAGACTATTGAAGAGGGCCTCGCCGCCGAGGCCTCCAGTCGCAATGCCCTTGTCAAGAGCAAGAATTCTATTCTCAAGATTCTCGCTGTCGCTCAGGATGCCCGCGCTGCCAGCGTCCGCCCTCGTGCAGGTACCGAGGATCTTGAGAGTGATGCTGGAAGTGTTCGCTCAGCGAGCGTCCGACGCTCTGTGGAGCCTACGGGGGCTAGCCGCCGCCATTTCTCTGTGGAGCCAAGTATCATGGAGGAGGACGAGGGCGATAATGATGACAGTCGTATCCGATCTGGCAGTGTTCGGCCTTCTGTTGAAGGCGGTACTTTCAATCGCAATACGGTTGCCGTGGAGCCTAGCATCATAGAAGAGGACGAAGAAGATGATCATGATACGAGTCGGGGCACCATTATCAAAGAGGAAACCGCTGATGAGTAACGACTAATTTTCCCTGGCTTTCATGTCGGCGTTGGTGGCTGGTTTTGCTGGGTGGATGGACTTATTGGTGGCGGGAGGCTGGCTTGATTGTCTCGAATTGAATTGTACATGATTTCTCGTTGATCATTCTCCTCGGACCGAATTTCCCTTTCCATTTGCTCTTTCATCTTTTTTCTGGTAACTGATGCTCCGGTTGCATGTATCCCTAGGGTCATGCCTCCAGACCTTGTAATCTAAGAACCATATTATTACTGGCTGCTGTTCGACTTGAAGTTGCAAGCTCTTGCATTGCGGATTTGCGTCTCGAAAAATCAAAACGTCTGGAGTTACTCATCTTGCATCCTATAGCAGGGAACTACGTTTCACTTCGGACACTGTTCCCTTCATGGGCACTTTGCAAACCATTGGCTACAAAAGAGACTGAAATTTTCATTGAATCCTTCTGGAATCTCTTGAGAAACTACTACCTCCATTGGTTTCTCCGGTCTAACCCCCGCCCACGTTGATTCTGACTGAATCCCAGCTTTGCTTACCCTTGGGGCGAGAGACAAAGCATTCCATGTGTAAGCCAGTTGGTTTGCCCCCGTCTAGGAAACACTGGTCTGCGTCCAAGTGCTGCTGGAATCAAGCGAGACAGAATAGGTTCCGGAGGAATCTAGGGGGTTGATCGCTCCTGTCCATGTTGATCCGACTAAATAGACATAAACCTCACTATAATCATCAACGTAAATATCACCCTCAACTGTGATATCGGTCAAATAAAGATAGGCGATGCCGCCATTGCTTCCAGTGGTGCCCCATTCACTATCCGCTGTAATATTTGCTAGAATTCCGGATTTGATCGTAAGATCGACATCAGTGAGATAAACATAGGCTTGGATATTAGAGACAAAGACCAAGCCGTATGTCCCGTATGTCTCTTCCACAGAGCCGCCGGTGACATATGCATAAGCAGTGTTGTCAGTGTTGCTGGAAGAAGCGGTGCTGACTATCTGAAACACGCCATTATTCTGTGTTCCAGAAGTGATAACCGGATCTTTGAGTGTGAATGAATTCGATCCATCAATGCAGGCGGCGGGGGCAATATCCGCAGTACCAGTGAGTGAGGTGGCCGTGATATTGCCTGTGGAATAAACTAGCGCCGAGAGAGCACCAAAAGTGTATGCTGAAGAGTCATCAACCACAATGAGACCACCGCCAGAGTCGGTAGCAATTGCACTTCCGTGGCCGTCATAAGTGTAGATTTCGAGGTCCGTTCCATAGATTGTACCTCCTCCGGTGTAGATTCCATGCGAACCATCGCCCTCGGCATGGATATAGACGTTTGTCAAGTAGACAACCGATCCATCTTCATAGGTATGAACAGCATTTGCACTTCCACCATTGGTGGTAATGTTAGTATCGGTAATGTAAATTGTACCATATGTTTCCACACCAACGGCGGCGTTTAGGTCGGTGAAGGAACTCTCGCTGTCATCCGACGAATCCCCAGTCTTGATCAGAGTGCAGTCGTTGACATAAGCAACCCCCGTCTCTTTGACAATAATGACTCCCTCATCAGCTCCAGTAGCACTAAGTGTTGTGGAAGCGAAGGTTGTGGTTGTACCACTGACAAAGTATGCCGCAGTCGTAGGCAGCCCACTACTAGTCGATGAGCTCGAACCCGCCGGAATAGCATGGGCAGAGGAGATGACGCCCAGAATGGTTCCGGCAAGGAGTGCAATATTTGTTTGGCTTGCTGAAACCATGACGACGAAGCTTCGAAAAGAAAAACTAATGCTTAATTTGTTTGTCAAGTATTGTTTTCTGTGATCGAGAAACCAGAAACAAGTTTTCTCGACCTTTTATATCTATTTTAAGAGCCTATATCATTTATGCTTTACTTATAATCGGATTGTGGTCCTTGTCATCTTGTGGGACGCACTTTTTGCCAAAATCGTGGCGTCCAAGGGTATGTACATCAAGTAAGAGCAGTGAAAAAGTTGGTCAGACTTGGTCGGCTCCACGCTTGCACTACTTCAAAAATCCAGTCAGATGAAGGAACATATATTAAAAATAGGAATTTACTATATGTCGATGGATAATTTCATAAGGCTTTTGGAAATCCGTCGGACCTGGCTATGGCAAGAACGCCCCAGACAAGCCACATAAGCCAAGGTCGCTACGTGAAAAACCTAAAGAGGGGTTGGCGACAAAGTAGAATTCCCATCTCGGCTCCACTGTTTATATGCTATAGAGCGCCCTTGGTCATGCCTGCAGGATTTATCTTTTCGGCTCCACGACAAGCGATACTCAGATCATCAGCCTGACTTTCGATACTATTCGAGAAAACAAAGTCTTGATTCCCCGCGTTCCAACCATGCGGTATGTGGGGTTGGACTCGGATCCTTTGGGGTAGTCTGGGGGAAATTCGCCATGAGGTTTCCGAGGATTCACCTACAGTTCCGGGGTTTCTCTAGTATAAGAAAAACAGAGACATAGCTCTAGGTTTCACGAAAGAGTCAAACGGAACACTATCCCATGGTACTTAAATTTGAGAGCTATAGATAGATATTGTCCCTGAAAAATGCTCTCTTGTTTCAGTCGGCGCCATTGTGGCTTTGGCGCATGGGTCGGTAACACTTCTGGATCCGAGCGACTACTTGGATTCAGCAGCCGATGCCAGTGACAATGCCCTAGCAGCGGACCACGAGAATCCTGGAGCCACATATCAGACGATTGCCATTACTGGGCCATATTATTTCTCGGACAATGACACCACGCTTGAGTATCAAACTTTCAGTGTGGATCGGAATGATACAAGTGTTATTGTTGTCACGAAAGATGCCGATGTGAACATGACCCATATCGATGTGGTCAAGAATGGTTATTCCTGCAGCCTCAACCAAGCCAGTTTCTTCGGGGCCAACGCAGCCATGAGTGTAGCCAATGCATCGGTGGCGTACATTGATCATTCCAACATCACCACCCGGAATGGCGCAGCCAATCTCTATGCCTATGGAAGCGGGACTACAGTCACTATTACTGACTCCGATATTTATAGCTCCGGTCCCTGTGCCCATGGGCTCTACGCCTCGGCTAACGGTACGATCTATACGTCCAATGTCCGTCAGTATTCGGGTGGTATTCGCAGCTCGGCCTTTGCCGGGGACGGACGGCTGGATATCTGTACATCCGTGACTCGGTGGCCCACACGGCTGAGCGAGGAAGTGCCATCTTCTACAGCCTCGGGGAGTCTTATGGTACCAACGTGATTGGGGTCGCCGAGCAGTCCCCCAGTCTCTTCTCCGATGGCGGTCAGAAATCAGTCTTCGACAATGTGGATTTTACGGCGGGTTGTTGGCCGGGACCGTTTTGTTCTGCTCTCAGCCCCGTGAAACAGGGGCCTCCCTTTCCTTCCACAATTCGCGTCTCACGACGACAGGCAAGACAATGCCGGGCCTCTGGTTTGGAAACATCATTGCGGAGGCCACACTGTCATCAACGACGATCAATAAAACGTCCGGCATCCTGATGGTCGCCAATTCGTCCCGCATCACTCCCGAGTTCGCCTATTTTGCCGGAGCTGAGTACAGCCGCTATGTATTGCCGGCCATTGTAGACATTGCCGTCACCGAGTCAACGCTCGCTGGGGACCTGGTCACGTACAATGGCAGTTCCATCTCCTGGACGTTAGGGAATCACTCCACCTGGACGGGCACGGCGTACTCGAAGAGTCACAACGGGACTGTTGGCATCCCCCTGGATGCCTCGTCGACGTAGGTGGTGACGGCCGACACCGTGGTACAGAATCTCACGGTGGCCAACGTGTCGAGTATTGCGGACCACGGGCACACCATCTACTATGATGCCAGTTCGAGCGCGAATGCTTGGTTGAACGCAGGGACAATCTCTCTTTCCGGTGGGGGGCAGTTGACACCACGTTGATCGAATCTTCTCCTCATGTTCCATTCTTATCCCTTGCTTCTCGGCATGATGGAAGATGGGTCCTCTTTTCCCCGCCTCTTTCCGGGATATTCAGGTCACAGGCAATGGCATATGATGGTTTGATGCATAAGGGACGCTGAACATTTTCAGCCTTTCAGAAAATATAGATTTTCTATGTTCTTGAGAGAATGCTGAAGGGAACTGGTGGTTGGTGGATGTCGATGTGGATTGTTTTGTTTCACGTGCGTACATTCTATATATCCGGAATCATTGGGTAGCCTATATATCGAATGTACCAGGAGCGCGCATCCCTGTGGGATCTGCTTTTGTAGGGGTGGGGGAGTGGTGGGGCGGGGGGTCTCCTGAGAATCTCATCCTTGATCTCTGCCATATGAGCCATCGCATACGTAAATCCATCTCACCCAGGCACCGAACGAGAACGGCCGTGATGATGTCTCGTTGACGGCCATCGACACCTGTCGAGACAGGCACCACACCACGTGACCCCGGTGAACGCGCGGGATTCACGTGGTTCGGTGAACTGTGAACGCTGAACTCTGAATTCCCAACTGCTTTCCTTCGGTCTGGATCTTTCTGGTCGTCTCCGATCGTGAATTCAGCTTCCAGGTTCCTCGGGTTGGGTGACCTTGGGACTCCCGCAGAAAATTCGAGCCCATCAAGCCCGTCGCGACCGCCGTCAATTGCCAATTGCTCCAATTCCCGTTTCCCCCCCTCTGAGAGAACGAGGAACGAGCATGGGCCCATTTTCCCGGGATTTCTGACAGGGATCCACTTGAAACCCGGCCTGCTGCGCAGCAAGGCTTCGACATTAATTAATCCCACCGGCCAACACCAGTCGCAGGAAACCTTTTGGTCCCGTCGGATTCCCCCTGGTGGTTAGTGGGAATGGGAAGTGGAAGGACCAGAATGGCGGTTGGGGTTGCACGGCGTATCGACAACGGGGAGGAGACTTCCCGACCCTCAGGGGAAAAGCCCAGGCCGAAGCCATTTCCATGTCGCGATGTCTCTCACCGTGGACCATCTGGTGTAGTTCTGTCGTAGTGACCGTATTCCATGTATCCCGTAAAAAAAATACGCCTTCCGAAAGACGGCCACGATCCTGGATGGTGTCGGTGGTGGTGAAAGGTGCAATCCTGGCTCCCGTGAACCCGAAACTTTTCTTTTGCAACTCCACCGAAGCGCGCGAGTTGGCTCTTTTCTTCTCCTCCGCTCCTCTCCTCTCCTCTTCCCCTTTCTCCTCCTCCCCGGGCCTCTCTTTTCTGGAATTCACCCTCTTCCCCGGTTGAATTGTCTCCATCCTCCCGAGACATTCCTCCCCCTTCCTCATCCCCCTCCTCCTCCCCCCCCTCGTCGCAACAGGAGTGACAACTCAGCGATGGCGGCCGTCTCAGCACCCACTCCGAAGCTGGATCGCTACATTGTCATCCACGTTGCAACCACCTGCGACGAGCATGGCGTCTATGTCACCAAGGACTCCGCCGAGGTCATTGAATTGGGATGGATTCTGCTGGATACCAAGACCTGCGAGGAGGTAACTCCCCCCCCCTCCCTCCCGTTCACCCTTTCGGACACTCTGATTCCCCTCAATTCCGACTTGCTGGCCCCTCTTCTATCTCTGTTCTCTCCCTTCCCCTCTTCTCCCCAACCCCAACGGAGATTGGCGAAATGTGCCGTCTCTTCCCGACAACTTCCTGTCATCCCCAATCTCCCTTCTCCCCCAAATCGTCCTTAGCGACATCGTTTGAGAAGTCCAATTTCATCGTCCAATATGCTGATCATTTCTCGTTTCGATGACTGTAGTTGCACCGTGAAAGTGTCCTCGTCAAGCCGGTCAACACTCCGATCACACCTCTCTGCAGTAAGTCTCGCCAAGTTCTACCCCCTCCCGGTCCCCCCCTCTCTCTCCGAAGACAATGAACAGCGAAAGAACTGGAGAGAAAAAGAAAGCAAAAGAAAAAAAAGAGAGAAAGCCAGAAAGAGGAAGAGAGAGAAAGAACGTATCGGGCTTGCGGCTCCAATGATCCATGGCTAATCGGACGTGATTATCTACAGCCAGCTTGACCACCCTCACCTGGGAACACGTCCGCTCCGCAGGAACTTTCCGCGATGCGATCTCCCGATTCGATGCCTTCGCCACGGAACATCTCACCAACCAGAACCTCCAATTTGCCTTTGTGACCCTGGACTCGTGGGATCTACGGGTGCAGCTGCCTCGCGAAGCCCGGGACAAGGCGGTTGTGCTGCCTGCATACCTGCAGCACTCCCGCACCTTCGATCTGCGGACCGAATATCAACGTTGGCAGACCCACCACCCTGAGTCTCTGCCCTTCGGTCCTAGCTCCCTTTCCAATATCTGTGCCGCTCTCGAAGTCGAACCGGTTCAGTCCTCAGCCCCTATCAAGCACAACCTTCCCTTCCATCTGCAAGCCCTGGCGCCCGCCTCGCCTCGCCGTGCCATGGAGGAGTCCATCACTCTCGCCCGCGTGCTTCGGGGTCTGATCCGCAAGTCCCAGCCCGCCCATGAACATCCCGAGATTCTGACCCGTCCGATGGATGCCCATGCCGATGTCCGGGCCTTCTTGGCCGAGCGAAGCAAGGTGCTGCACCTCAGCGGCCTGCCCCACGATACCACTCAATCGGAGTTGGAGAGCTGGTTTACTCAGTTCGGAGGTCGTCCGATTGCCTTTTGGACTCTCCGGACTCCGGATCAGCATAAGCCCACTGGCACCGGATTTGCCGTGTTTTCGTCCCATGAGGAGGTATGTACACACCCCCGCTCTGCCCTTTTGTGTTCTATGGCTTTCTGTGAACAAGGCGATGGGCCTTGTCATTGCTGCTTTTGATTTGGGGGAGGGCTTGTGGAATTTTTCTCACTAACTGATTCCAATCATAGGCTGCCGAGAGCCTGTGCATGAACGGCCGCGCACTCAATGAGAAGGCCATTGAAGTGTCTCCTTCCTCCAGCCGTGTTCTGGACCGCGCCGCCGAGATTCTCACTCCGTTCCCTCCGTCCAAGAACCGCCCTCGTCCCGGTGACTGGACTTGCCCCTCTTGTGGGTTCTCGAACTTCCAGCGCCGCACCGCTTGCTTCCGCTGCTCGTTCCCTGCGATGGCTGCTGCGCCGGACCCCATGGGCTACGGCTATGGCTACGGCCCACCTAACATGATGCCGCCTCACATGGGCCATGGCCACGGAATGGGACACTCTCGCGGCATGCACGGTAACAGTGGTGTCGTTCCATTCCGTGCGGGTGATTGGAAGTGTGGTTCCGAGGGATGTGGTTACCACAACTTCGCCAAGAACATCAACTGCCTGCGCTGTGGTGCCCCTCGCTCCGGTGCCGCTGTTGTGGCCGATTCCGCCTTCCCGTCCTCCATGGACCCCCCGTCGCAGTTCGGCATGGGCCCTAATTCCATGGCTAGTACCCCCGCCCCCGGTCCCTTTGCCTCGACCGCCGGTGGCTTCAGTGGCTTCACTCAGCAGTTCGGTGGTCCGCCCAACAACTATGCTCTCCCCAGTGGGGGCCTGAGCAATACTCCCGGAGCGTACCCGCCGATGGGCCAGGTCAACTCGGGCTATGGCTCATCCAGCACTTCACACTCGGCCACTTCCTTTGCCAACCCTGCTACTCAGGCAGCCTTCACCGGCGCAGATCACGGTGTGCCTTCTACTAGTGCCTCCAACGGTGCATTTTATGCCTCTGAGGGTTCCAGCGACCCTTTTGCCTTCCTGTCGACCGGGTTGGGTGGTCTGACTGTTTCTGATGATGCTCACTCTCGACGCAATGGTGCGGGTGCTAACAAGTCGCCTGCTTAAATGGAAGGTGGCAGGTGTATCTACACGAACAGAAAAGAAAAAGAAGGCCCAATGACTGGGGCAGTCACACTTGAGTTGTCCATATTGCAATCCTGCATTGTGGCAGGTATATGTGTTGGTTGATATTCGTTGATACGCATTTGTATAAGGGATTCTGCGGTTCCGGTGCATCGGGTGGGAAGGAGCAGGCGGGTAGCGTGTTGACGATTCCGGGTTTTTCTCGCCCTCTCGCCGTCCTGTGATTATGTGGGATGCTTTTTTATTTTGCCATTGCGTCGTCTTTTTTTTCCCCATCTGTCTCTTTTGGTTGTTGAGCGACTCCGCTCCCCTTTGATTCCATCTTGAGCTCTATGGTTTGGTCTGCTTTGAGTTTTCTTTTTTTATTATTTTTTTAACAAAGGATCGCGGCGACTTGGACCCCCGGCTGGGGGTGTGAGTTTTGAAGCCGTTGCCTTGGGTGGGTTTCGGACGCGAACGCATTGTGAGCCTGGGTTGCGCACTCGACCTGCTTTGCATTTTAGATCTTTTGGTCGTCCCTTTTCTGCGTTGGGTCATGGCAAGCGTCGGAGAATTCACGGTATTGATCTCACGGGTGGGATATACAATGGTTCGGACTCCGTGTTGGGGGTGTTGGGGGATTTCCTTTTGCGCTTGCGCTGGCTAATGGATCGAGGGCTTTTCTTTTATTGTTTCTCTCTTCAGAACCTGCCAAGCATTGTGAATGCAACAAAAAAGAATGTTTTGTCCATACTTCTTGGTTCTTTTTCTAAAATCTTTTTTCTCTCGTCTTCTTATGTACTCATGTCAAATACAGCTCCCTTGGTGACATACGGAGCCTTGCAACCTGTACAAGATTTGGTATGAGGGAGTGTCGAATAGAGAAACCTCGGTACATGCACTCGGTTATTAATTATTGCTTATTGTTTGAACTACCTTCCAGCTAAGATCAAGTGTAGTGTGGTTTGTTTAATTTGGAGACAGCCAGTACTAAGACTTATACATTCGGATCCCAAGTGGAATGAGATGGAGGCACACAGTACATATAAACCAGATAATGTCTGGCAGCTGTGGGCCTTCTCCTTTTGTTCCAGGGCCCACCTCTTGCTGCTTTTTGAACACTTAGAATTGAGCACGCCCCTGATCGACCTGATCGATCGACTTGAACTAGTTTAGCAACTTGAGGTATATATCACCGGGCACGCAAGGCTGCCAATCATATGAAATATGCGCCTCAAACTATGTACATAGCTTGTTTTTGTCTTCTCTGAGATGGTTTATCGTTTTATTTCTTTCCCTCCTCCTCCATCAATATCGGATGCCAATACTTCTCGTTCCTAGGGACAGAAATATCAAAATTCCACACCCATCTCGACAAATCGGAGCAAAGAGGCTTCCAAAGGCCAAGGGTCCACTATCTTCTCAGAGAAAAGTGGCCAGTCGTCATCTCATTGGATACGAGGTAGCATATGTCCATATTCAATCAATCAATATTTTATTAACGTCTGTTAGAACTTGCCACATGATCATAGGCTGTTATGCAGACTTCTGAGACAGCTAGATACAGGCGGTACATCCTTTGTATGGGAGACCGTGAAAATACGTGATATTCCAACTGACCTACACTGCTTAAGAACTCTATCTAGCGCGTTGTTGCACGTGAGAATCACAGGGAATACTCCCTAAACCTGTAGAAGAATTTTCATCTATACTTCGTATAGAGACAGTGAGAGGGAGGGATATGATTGAGAACCATGCTCCATAAGCCCCCTATCTCTCCCCCAGCACTAGGCCTGAACCTAGCTCAACCCCTCCTCCGCCGTGGTCCCGATAGAGCCTTAACTAGTAAGGAATATTCGGATCGATAGCCGCCGGGTTCGAACCGACTGTGCCTTGTTATAGACGAGAGCAGGGCCCCCTCTGCTAGTCGTCTCTTCAGCACCTGCCAGGCAGTTACCATTAAACTGCCATGCCACCTATATATCTCTATTCCCAGTAGGTTGGATACCAGCCAGCCCCAATCAATGATATCGGCAATTTCATATGCTCCAGACGTGGAGTCACCACCTGCAACGTTCTTTGCAAGGATCTTTTCTCGATGTAGATCCCCGTGAGTGAAAATAGGCTGGTGCTCCCGAAGCGCTGTAAGTAAATGTCGAAAGAACCAATCCGCTATCCAGCTACACTCTTTTAGCCTTATTCTCTAATTTGTTAAGATCAAGATAGGTGTCACCTCTTGTAATGTGAGCACAGCTACAGATGTCCAGACATTCAAAATGTTGATTGAGGTGAGCACAAAAAGCAATAGAGTAATAATTGGTTTCCCATAATCTATACAACTTTCTTAGTCCGCTGCGGCTTTTTCAAGTTGAAGACTCTCTGTCCTATGTTACAGTGATGTCTGTATTCAGTAACGAGTGGGCGTTTTTGCTCTTCTGGCTCCTTCGAATCTCCTTGTTGGAATGGAAAGACCAACGAAACTACCCTGAAACACATGAATTGTATAGCCCTGCTCTTTTCCCGGATATCCCTAGAACCCACATAGCTCTAGTAAGGTCAACTACGGTAAGAAGCGCTATATAGTGATACATAGGGGCTCAAAAGTACAATGGTGTTCAAAAGTATTGAACGGTCCCCACTTTGATCACCGCACTAACCACCCACATATAAAATTTCTTTCCTTCTACAACCACCAGCATGCTATATAACCTAGCAGAATCTGCTAGAAAACGAAGAAAAAAAAAGGTGAGCTTACCTCCTAGCAGCGTCTAACAATAGTATATGCTGCTATTGACGGTGTATCTAAGATCTAGCTAGCACGTGATTTTGTATGCAGTCTAAAAACGATATACAACACTATTCAATGTTATACAGAAAGCCATATAGTTCAATCAGTGCCTCGCCTAGGAAGGCCTAGGAAGCTTACTCGTCGTGATTGTACCTTCCCCGCCAGCATCCTTTTAGGACCTATAAACAGCTATCAGCATGTTTAGCTAGTTATCTATCTAGGTCGATTATCTATCGAGTTCTTCGCTAATTCTAGCTTGCTAAACGACTATCGAAACACAATATTCCTTAAGGATTAAGTACTGCTTTTAAACGACGGTATTTTATATTAAAATAGCGAAGAATTACTAATTCTTCTAGGATTAAGTTAGAAGTGGATATTTTCCGACAGTGCTCGATTTAAAGAATAACGAATACTACGTCTAAATATTGTTAGCGATTTGCTTCCGAGGCCTATAGGCGTCATTTAATAAATAAGTAGTTTTATATTAAAGATCTTTCGCAGATAATTTAGGGTGCTTTCTAGCTTAGTAGTCGGTCGAAGCTTATTATAATATGTCGAGATAGGAGACTGCATAATACCGCTAAGACCCACTTCTCCCCGTGTGCGTCAAATTGTTACAGGGATAATCGATTCCCTACGTGTTTTGTATGGTATCCTGGGTAGACTCGGAATACAGCGCCGTAATGCGCTAGACAGCGAGGCAGAGCATATTCAAGTCATCTAAGACATTATCAGATTGAGGATCTCGTTCCATTGGATCCCAGCTTTCCTAGCCGATACCGTATCCTACTATATTGACATAATACAACGGGAGGAAGCTAACGGTCGGAAGCGAGGTTATACTGTAAAATCCTATATAAACGCGTTAGAAGGTCTATTACCTATCTATAGGCCTAATATTATCTTTAAACAAGATAACGCTAGGATTTATATTGTAAAGGTTATATAAGAGTAATTTGAAATACACAGGATTTAGGTAGAAGATTAGCCTCTACACTTACCTAATTTAAGCCCTATTAAACCTATCTAGCGATAGTTAAAACTAAAACTTTTTAAATTAAATCCTAAGCTTATTAATATAGGTTAGTCTGACGGGGATCAGTATTGTTTTATAGCATATATAAAGGAAGCTTAGGAGATATTAGATCAAAGGAAGATAGATAGGTTGATTTTAGGGATAGGAAGAAGGTTAGAAGCTATACGGAGGGCTAAGGGTATATAAATTATTAGTGGTTGCTAAGCGAATTTAACCCTACCCGAATTCGATTCGGTTTACTAGAACTATATATTGAACCAGGGCGCTCTACGGCAAGCCTGAGAATGCAGGCAGGATGAGATAGGTCGGCGAACAGACCAACAAACCACCACACACCACGATAGAGAAAGCCCCCCAATAGGGAAAGCAGAAGCAGATGAAGCGAAGAGAGTGTGAAAGTGGGGACCGGTGAATACTTTTGAACACTATTGTATTTAAGCCTGCACCCTAACGTTATATTTCTCTCGGGCTCTGACCGAGGAAATTATACCGCTGTATTACCGCGACACTGCTATAACACCTGTCAGAGCGTGTAGATCACCGCTCCTTATCTCGGCAAAAATATAATGCAGAGATGACGACTAAGAATCTTGAGATACCACCAGCGTCACGACATCACCACGATCATTGGGCTAAGACTTTCTAGGTTTCACCCTCTGGCAGATAGAACACTCAGCTCTTATCTCTTCAAGATCGGGAATAGTAAGATCTCCTTCACGAGGAACATACATGGGAGCCTGGTCCCAACCGCGCTCGTTGAAGAACTTCTCCCACTCTTTATACAAGCTGGGCTTCTGGTAGCACATCAAGCCCATCCTATGGCCGTGGATCATCTCATACAGCAAATCGTGCCAGGCCCCGCCAAGCATCTGCTCATATGCGACCATTATCTGCGGGATAATACTCGGGCCCAGTTTGACGAGATTTCTATACTCGTCGGTGTCTGTAGGGGAGGTAAAATCGTTGTGTATCACCTTTCCGTCGAAGGGAGTTCGAATTCGCCACGCTGAAATAAGTTCTTCGACGATTCTATTTCTTTTATAGTTGAGCTCGACGATCTGGATGGCTTCATACTGCGCCTCTTCTCGGGAGGCTAGACGCCTAGTCCGTTTAGTGAAATAGTCGGTGTCCCACTCTAGCTTGTTATCTAGAGTAAGGTTAGTAGGACTGACTACTAGGATATAGTTCCAAGAGCGATAGTGAAGGCTTACACAAAAATACACCCCACCAATTCTGGGAAGCGACGTCATTTGCAAGCTTATATACCACAAATGGGATAATCTTACAACCGAGAGTCTTGACCGTATTGAACTCATCCATTTCTGTACATGAGTACAAACTGTTAAGCAGTTAGACTCAGAGTTCGTGTAAGAAGAAGGTTATAAAATTGCGACTGAACCTTGGAGATTCCGTAACACAGACATTAATCCATGCCGTCCACTTGGACTCAAAGTTTCTGATGGCCTGAGGAAATCTGAGATTGACGTCGTTATAGAGGCTGGTGGCCGACTCAACCGCCTCTGGGCTTGGGCTTAGTGGGAGCTGGTCTGATGATTCCATAATGAAAACCTAGAAATTTTCGTGTTCTGCTCTTGGTGAAAGAACGAGCGTGGTTGGCGAGGAGATGAAATGATAAAATGATGAAGGGGGGAAGTACGGGGGAGTAGATAGAGGGGAGGCAGTGCTCACAAAACGAGTAAGGAAGTTGCTTGCCATTCCCTTCCCGCCCCCCACCACATGACTTGATAACGAAGAGGGGCTCGACGCCAACTTTGCTTTGGACTCGCTCTCTCAGTGGGTTGTCGAGTACCCACCGAACCACCAACCAACCTCGATGTACCGACTTCATCCATTGCGATTCACGGGATTGACAGGGGCTCGGAGAGGCTTGTCCCGATGAGGGAGGCGTGAATGCCTCGGAGTCTGAAAGTACGCAGTGTCTACGGGACATTGACCTATCTAGCCAACTGCTCAATATAGCGGTATATAAATCAGTATAATATTATCTTGTTTATAGATCTGATCGAATCGAGATATTAATAATTACTATAATCATTAAGAATTAATAACTAATATTTACCTTTTTACGTATAGTTGTTGTTAGAAAAGAGAGTTTTTGTAACCATTATAGATCTATTTTATCGGTTATCTAACTATTTATTATTACCCCGATTCCTTAGTCTTCTAGAAGATTTTGAAACAAGTGTGTTATATAATTTCTACCTTTAAAGATAATATACGGCGGGAGTGAAAAACCAGTTACTAAGATAGTTGTTAAAGAACAACCAGACTTTATATTATTTCGGCCGACCGGCTGATTTCGGGTACGAATCGTACAAATGACGATATATGTTTATAGAGAAGAACAAGCTGGAATCTGACTCCTTTATCGGTATATCTTCGGCAAACAGCGGAATAACGATATTAAGGTTATAGAAAGAAAACTCCCTATTCTTTTCGAACTGAATCTCTTTAAGACTCAGTTATTAGAATAATACACCCTTACTATTCTTCCTCGATTCTATAACGATTCAATATTGTATTCATTTTCCTTACCTAACTAACAGGGGCCGCTACCAACAGGGGCCGCTACCCTGTAAGTAGCACCCTAATAGATAGTCTTCATTGAGGTTATATACTCCCTATTTCCTAGTAAAAAAGTGGTTTCTGATTATTAAATTCCCTACGTTTAACTAAATATCCTAACGGTAGATATGAGACCTATTATAAAACCGGTCTTGTTAAAGTTATAAATATCATACTTATTAATTAATTATCTAGTAAACTAATACAAACCAGTTATGTAAACCATTCAGATCCTTATTATAGGAATATTGATAATTATGAAGTTTCCAGTATTATATATAAAGCTCAGATGGGCGTTGAATTAAACGTATAACCTAATTAACACTAATGTTAGGTAGTAGGAGAGGAGGATAGTAGTTACTATACGTTGCTAGTAGAATATTTACTATATTTATAATCACTGAAGGCCTAACTAGGAGATACTCCTCGCTTATTCAGAGAGAGAGTATCCACTGGTAACGCGAGTCCCCTTCTTCTTATATATCATTTTGTGCTTTTGTGATCACGTTTCTTATTGATTTAGTACGTCTTTTATTCACTCCTAGAGAGTCGGACGTGGCACGTTATAGATCGCTGCTACTTACCGTGCAGAGGTTACTGATTATTTCTAAATAGCTTTGATCGCTAATAGGGTTCGGACTTCTCTATTTTGCGATTTCAAGCGTCTTTTACAGCGTTTTAGTGGCATAATGGGTGGTGGAAGATATTTAATGACGTGTGGGAAACGCATTTTGGATGGGGTGGCCGGAACACTAGTGAATACGTTCCTGAACAATGCGGTGTGATTATTGGGTATTAGTTATCACTTATATTATTTCGCTTGATGTAATCACTGGGCTTGAGCCCGTGCTGACATCTACTCACTGGGCCTGAGCTTGAGCAGCCTCACAAAAGGAGCGGCGGCCAGGATAAGAAAGCCCTACCTGCTAGACATTATGTGGTCAATATAGGTGCATATCTCTGATAGCCCTGGAATTTAGTGAACTTCGAAAGCTAGCCATTTTCTATCCCGCCATCGCCATAATGATTGTAGGTTATTCTATTCAGCCTTTTCTTCCTCCCCGGCTAATCCCTTTTCCCATTCTTGAACATCTTCAACACGATGACCGTTAACATATATAGGCGGATTTGTTAGATCAGAAAAGAATGGTCGTGGTCCCGAATCGAGACGTCGCATATCCCGGTACTTTTCAGCCACATATTGCTCCACCTGCTTATTCCTTGATATATAAAGGATATCCCCTCTCTTGATGATCTGATGAATTGGACTTTTGGAATCCACTGAACAGGGGCCTTGGGATGTTGTGCAGCTGATGTCCTGTGGCACCCGGTTGTGCCGTGTTGTGGGGGCCAACGGCTTCCAAATATCATTAGCCTGATCAGGTTGATCACCTTGGCCAACATGAGAATCCAACCTTTCAAATTTTCACATAGCGCGTGCTGTCTGTTAGAAATGAAATGGTAAGTTGTAAAGGTATGTTATCGGAAATAAATCCCCGGCGCGAACGATGACGAAGTAGGAAGGAGGCGGGAGGATTGTTGGTTGGATCGATAGAGGTGGTGGCTCCAGGCGGGAGGATTTCGTGGTAGCGTCGTTTCACTTGAGTGCTGACCCCACTAAGCGTCTTAGTCACTTTCTTATCGACTGGGGATCGGTGGGTCCGCCAGACGAGCCCCCGCGGCTCCACCAATTTCACTCGGAAATCACTCCGCTTCATCACGGTCATGTTCACAGGGTAGAGATCGAGGAGGGCTACAGGATCGGTGATTCCTTTCTCGAGCATGCATTAAGCGCGGGGTGAAAGGGGCTATAATTTGATGGCGGGTGTGTCTACAACTGGAACTCTTCGACTGTGGGGGACGCCACAGCTTTTCGGAGAGGCTCATGCTACCAAAGCCACCGTAGGTTTCGCCCCCTCATCATATAGGAACCCCGTCTTGCCCCGCTGCGAACATCACCGAGAGACGCTCCCATGTCTTGCCAGGCATTGTCGCTGGGAGTCATTCCCGACTTCATTACTGGAGTCCTGAATTACTTTCCCACGTCGTCGGGATAAGGCGCATTCATCATACGATCGAAGTCGCTAAGAATATAGACGGGGACCTGGTCCAATTCGCCCTCGTTGAAGAAGGTGAGCCATTCTGCTTGCACGGCCGACGGCTGCCAGCACCACGAACCCATCGCCTTGCCATGGTAGATAGGGTACAGCAGTTGATCCCAGAAGGCCAAATCAAACTCCACCCAGGCCAGCATAATATGTGCAGTAATGCTCGGGCCCATTGCGCGTAAATTAGCACAGCCCTCGCCACCCGTGAGCTGAGCAGCACTGCTTGAAGTCATGTGCTCCTCTTGATGAGCCTTCCACCCTTGAATGTGTTCGGCAGTGAGCTTGTTGCGCTCGTAGTTGAGCCCCACAATCTGGCGGGCCTGGAGCTGGAGATCCTCCTAGGAGAGAAGTGGCTTATTCTCGTTGATTCGATACTGCGAATCACGCTCTAGTGCATTGTCTAGAGGGAAATTATCGGAGGGGTTTTCGGAGATAATCGAGATGGTAAGAGTGAAGGCTTACACAGAAACACGCCAGGTAAATTCTCGTGAGCATCGTCCTTGGCAAGCTTGGACACGACATATGGAACAATTTTCGGACCGAGTGATTTCAGTGCCTCAAACTGATCTGTTTGGGTACACGCGTCGAGACTGTGAAATAATCAGACCCAGCCGGCAGTCTTCAGGGAGAAAGAGGAGGGGGGCGTGCTTGGAAGCTGGATCTTTACCTTCCAGATGTTTTGGTAAGGCAGACCTCGTGCCATGCAGCCCATCTGGACTCGAAATCCTTCACAGCATCAGGAAATTCACGTTTGACGGCGTCGTAAAAGTTTGTAACAGACTCAACGGCGGCTTGGCTCGGAGCCGGGGAGTTCTGACCGTGCGGTTCCATGATCGAGGCCTCGAACGTCTGGAGTTGTAGAATGGACAATGTCTGAGACAATGAGATGCAGAGTTGAGAAGTTGAGGACTGAGAGTGAAAGGCAAAAGGCAAGGGAAGTTCGACGGCCGGTATTTGGCCCCCCCAAACGAGTGAACTAATGAGGGGTCGCCAACTTGGTCCCGCCAAGTGCGAACGTGCGAACGCCCGCAGCGAAGTACCTTAACCAGTACCACACCACCATCGCCAACCAACACTTCCAACATCCAGATATTTCTGATATCGTGACCCCCTATACCAATACTCTAACCAGGATATCTCCAATACAATCCCGTGTGGCAGGTGCAGAGATCATGGCGGCCGGGACAGCCCAACCCAACCAACCTACGAACCGTAGCGACGACCAGACAACACCATGCGACTGGATGGGACGGAGCACTCGGTCCCGACGTCAGAGACCAACTGGACCGGCAATATCTCTTTCGTAGAATCTGGCCAAGTACAAACAGGATGATTGGTATTTTTAGATCCTCACAGGGCCAGAGCAGCGTCCGCGACTGGCTGTCCTTGACATATAAGGAGCTAGGATTGCGAATGAGAAAGCACCATTCCAGAGCTCAGCCCATTACAGGATTACCGGACTTCTCAATATTGACAATTTCATCTTCTAATCTCGTCCGCCATCATGCCTCCCTTTGTCCATCCCAATACTAACGGCTTATACCGGCTCACTCCGTCTCTATCTCGCGCCCAAGATCCTTCCTTCGGCGAAAGAGGTACCTGGGAAACTGGACCGTGGAGGCTCCCAAACCTAGTAGAAAAGGACGGCTTCATGACCTGGGACTTAAACACGGTATTTCCGGGACTAAACGTTGTGCCGAAGAATTTCAATTGTATTGCATAGGCTCTCGGGCATACCGATCGTTGGATCAGCCCTGCGAAGGAGAGCCACATGACCCGGCTCTGTAAGTCGTAATTTGAATCTCCGGCTTACGGAAGGACATCTCAGATTAAACATTGTAAAGTTAGTCACGATGTATCACTTCGAATTATGCAGAGCGTCGGAGGCATATACTGAATTAGACGAAATCGAGAATAATCCGAGGCAACCGCTCCTCATCAACCACGCCCACCGACGGGATGATCCATCACTCGATGCTCCCCCGGGGCTCGGATGCTCATAAAAACAGGGTAAACAGGTCTTAATAGCTCATGATCGACATGCCCTGGAGGAAACGCGGACCTATGGCTATACACACCCTCCTGTTCGATATGGAAAAATCTTTCAGCATTGGCGCCGTTCATCAGAGCATCCAGCCAACGCGGGCAAGGAAGGCAATTTGGTTGCTGCCACCGGGAACTACCCTGATTCATTGATATATGAGAATCAATATGGGTACTACGCTCCTGGTCACCCTGGAAATACCCTAGGTCTGCCTGGTTACAGCAACAACAATAACAACAACCACGCCCCTCCGGGTAACAACAATCTGCGACAGGCGGCTTCTGGCCCACGGTATCGGCCAATGCCACTTTATGGTCCTATCCCCGACCCAAGCCTAGTGGCGATACAAGCGACGAAGAAGTGCGTTCAGAGAATGATAGCATCTAATAAAGACTTCGTACAAAAATTCAAGCACGCATTCGCTGCTTGGGAGACTACCTGGAATCGCCATTCAAGGCAAGTCAACCCTACTAGACTACTGCACCTTCGATTATTTGTCAGGCAGATCAAGAAAAGGAAAAAATTACGCTAACCTCGGTCTCAGTTGTGCGCGGTCCCGCTGTTCTGGAAATGAATGGAACGCACTTGTGGCAATGGGGTCTGCAATCATACCACTAGTTGTCTACGAGCTTTGTAATCCCTCTAACTTCACGGCTGTCTTTCTCTGTAAGTTTCATATTGCATTCCGAAGCCCGATTACCGAATTCTTAGGACATCAGTTACGATTAACCCTTTATAAGATAACGAACTAGAAAAGGATAAGCGCTTCCGGATCCATGAAAACGACGTTCTCAACTTTCTTACCCTCCAGCGTCACGCCAATCTGATCGTTGACTTTAACTGCCAACGGATATCAAAATTGGCTCGTCCTGAACAAAAGGTCCAGAGCAAGCTACGTTATGCGAAAAGATAGTAACCTTTCGTCCCGATCAGGCCCAAGCCCATCATCAATAGATAGCCTTGCTGTATAGCCTCCATAGCTTCAACTCAGCCACCTGCGACCAAAGAATAGCATAGCGCAGCATAGCATCAAAATGGAACAGTGTACAATCCACCTATCCAAGAATTTTCATACATCCCTCGAGCCAATCATTCAATTTCCAAACGCAATTCGCAAGTGGCCTGCGCCCTTTGGGGCTTCACGATGTTTGTCCCCCCGGTTCGATTCTATTTTCGGTCTTTTTTCTTCTTTTCGGTGGCACTGAGTTCAGAGACCAAATTGGCATTTTGTTGCTCTATTTGATTCTTCATTGTTTGCTTACGATAACCCAACTCAAATTCCTCGAATTAAGTGAATGCCACTCACGACAATTTGCTTCTTTGGGAGCAATACCAGAGAGAAAGGTAAACCTTCATTCCCTAAAGCGATGTATCTATATAACGTATTTCACTAGCGTTCCGGTCACACTAGCATTCCGGTCACTACACCAACCACTACTTTTTGAAAACACTATTTTTCCACCACAACACTAGATATTTGATTCAACTATCTAGTATTACATTGATTAATCTTATGCCCTATATTCCCACATCCGGAACACCGAAACACACGCTTGGTAGTAGGCTTAGCGCCTATAGTAGGCTGCTGAGCAAGCTCTGTATCATCGTTTTGAATAGCTTCAACGCTTGCTAGCAGCGTTGAAACTAGTGATATAGATTCGCCGATCGTAGGATCTTGCTGCCTAGATATCTGGCGATTGGAACGTGTGCGTTTTTGACGCTTCTTCTCGTTGAATCTATATAGTTGCCGAATCTCTTCCGCTTGTAAAACAGTGTTGTGAAACGCTAGTTTAGCACCTTTGACTAATTGATCTAGCGCACGCTCTATAGGGCTTCCTGGCGACCGCGAGCGCTTGCATAGTAGAGCTTTGATAGATGAAGCTTGCTTGCTAAGCTGCTTAATCGTATATAGTGTAGTAGGTACGAAAGCGCTACTCCTACTACTAGGCCTACTAGTAGTAGGTGTAGGTGTTCGAAGCGATATATTAAGCTTTGATAGGACTCGGTCGGTATCTAGCGGAACTAGGCCGGCGCTAGCGAAGCTTGATTGTATAGTGCTAGGTAGGAAGGCTTCCTAGCGTGCTAGGGCGTAGGATTCTAGGAAGTCGAGCTTATTAATATAGTTATAGCCGAAGCGGGTTTAGGCCTTAGTTAAGCGACCGTATAAGTATTTAAGGATAGTAAAATATCCTATATCTAGCGGTTGTAGAAGATACGATAAATACGGTAGTATATAAAGTAGTATAACGTTATTTTGCTAGTAGATTTAGTCGAATTGTAGTATTAGATAACTACTATAACTATCTAGTATCAATAAGCGATATTTGCCTTACGTACGACTAGTAGTCGCTAGTATAAATAGCTTCTCTAGCTAACGTAGGCCTATATTATTAGTAGTCTAACCGTTCGGTGATATTTCAATTCGCTAATTACTAGGAAGGTTATTAAACTAGCTTTTAATATAAACCTTCCCTTTGAATACTATACACGGCGGACGCGAGTAGCCGGTTACCGATATAGATTCAATTGTAGTTACCTACTCTCTATTTCCCGGTTATAGAAGAGCTTTCCGACTGTAGAATTCCTTCCGTGTAACGACTCTATAAGTCGATATTAAGCCTATTGCAAAGCCGGTTTTATCAAAGTTATAGATATCGCTAGGGAGGATACCGTTATCGTTAATTGTTGATTCAACAAGCCTAAACTACGCGCGTAGGGTTGCTAGGTCTTCGTTTTAGGCACGTTAATAGTCGTAGCGCCTAGAGAATCGTGTGTAAAGCTTAGATCGACGTTTAATATAGCGTGTTACCTAATTAATACCGATCGAAGAAGATTAGTTATCACCACGCGTTACTAGTAGAAGATTTGCTATATCTTTAATATGCGAAGGCCTAGGGGAAGTATCACGCATATCAAGCGATAGTATCCACTAGCAAAGCGAATCCTCTTCTTCTTGTGTTAATTTCGATATTGCTGAGCGTTTTTCTTGCTGATATGGAACACCCTTAGATCGATCGTATAGCGTTGAATATGGCACGTTATAAACGGCTGCTGCTTTGCGTATAGATAGGGTAGGATCCTTTTGAATAGCATCAATTGCTAATAGGATCCTACCCTCCCTAGCTGGCGATTTTGAGCGTTTTTCAGAACGTTTTGGTGGCATGGTGTGTGGTGGAAGATAGTAGGTGACGCGTGGGATGCGCGTTTTGGATGGGGTGACCGGAATGCTAGTGTGACCGGAACGCTAGTGAAATACGTTATAGGTGGATATCGTAAGCGCCTCCTTTGCAGATCTTGGCCAACTATGGCTTTACGCCAAACCATTGACCCTCTAGCCCGTTGATAAGGTTCATCACTTGCGACACTGTTCTTGGCCTGCGACACTGTTAAGGACCAAGTCTACCCAAATTTAATTACGTCACTTGCTTACCAGACAGACCTTAGTTATTGGTTGGCTTAATTCACCTAATGGGTTTCAGTGCCCGCAACCCCACCTCGTTAAGCGCCGCCTCGCCGACCACGATATTTTTGAATCTCAATCGTGGCCTGACTTTCTCGCAATACAAGCCCACATTCCTCTTGAGCTTTTCTAAGATTCCCATCCAACCCAGTCTTTTCTGCTGGTAGCTACCAAAGATACAAGAAGAAAATTTAGAGGAGCTGTAATAGAACACAGAGTCAATGAGTCCGGTGAGACCAGAGAGTCCGGCGAGATCAATGAGCGCAATTTATCGCATGCGGAGGGTGTTCCTTCTGAACCCAGACGATCGGGGCGACTGGCCAAAAGAGCTCGGATTTAGTGGTAGTTACAACACTCTTCCCCCCATTGGTCAACACTCAGGAAGACGTTCCTGACTCTTCGAACGCCGGACCCAATATCATGAGGAAGCTCATAATTCCAAGTTGGACTGAAAATCTCCGCGTTCCTTCGCTGAATGACCCTACAAGGTGTGACAAGTCCGTCGCCAGCTCACATATTTGTGTGGAAACAGTCTTAAGAAGCATGATCGGTCAATGGAACTACGAGATACGAGAATCTCAATCAGGAGGTCATCAAGTGGAATATCGATATATAGATTCAGTCTTCCGTCTTCTTCTAGCTAGGTGGAACAGAAAAGTGTATCGGCCTCATTATTCAATGATCTGGAGGAAACGAATGACTGATGGGTTGAAGTTCGGTTTCAGGATTTCCGCCTTGATATTGCATTCCTGCAAGCCGAAGCCCCTTCCCATGAAAAGTGATCTGCTCAATTTCTTGGCATGTTGCCTTCGCTGATTGCTTCGTTGAGCGGGAAGACCTCTAAGGCTCGTCTGCTGCAGGCCAACGCGGATGGGCCAAAATCTTTTGCTTCAATTGATCTATGTTGACCTTGTCATCAGGATGAGCGGCGTTCCATCTTGGGACAGCTGTCTTGAGACTGGAACTATTGATTCCAACAATATAGCCATTGCTGCCGATATCGACTCCTGCAATAATTATATGGTCATAGAACACAATAGCGATAATGAATCGCGACCTCCCCTGTATGCCAACAAACAATCCCCTTGGAGAAACCAACATTCAGCCCCACCAACTGACGCGACACGCCGACCTCCGCCCCTCAATCCTTCCTCCCCTCTCCGAGTCCCCAAAACCCCCAGCCCACAACTCTCTTGCGACCATCTCTTCATCTCATCTCATCTCTTCATCTCTTCATCTCTTCGCCACAATGGCTTCTTTTACGCAGAATCTTGGGGACCTCCAACCACTAGCAGTATTTTGCGGTCAGCCTCAATCCCACCAATTCATCGGAACAGTCAAAAATCTTGGGGATATATGGCGTCAGCTTGAAGAACGACCGCTGAATATCGATTCGAGCTCTGTAGCAATTGTCACCAAATTTGGCTTACAGATCGAACTGAAAAATGTCTTTGACAAAGAACAAAAGACAACAGTCGAGTTATCGAGTTTGATATCTCAGATACCACCAAAGTTACTAAACGCACGTCATTATGAGATCGAACCCGAATTTCAATCGAACTTCTTTGTCCGGAATTTTGAAGACTTCCGGCCAGAGGATGATGGGGACCTTTCGATGAACGAGGATGAACTAGGTGAAATTTTCCCTCGTCCGGTCTTCCGCTTTTATGAAAAGTGGGTAGATCAATGGGAAAATAACTTCAGGGAACGATTAGTGGAGTCTGGGAACTACCACACACCAATTTTTGAGACTGTGAACGAGGAAGTAGCCTGGAATGTGACCGGGCTGTTACTAGCCTGGAGAATCCTGATGTCGCCTCATATTCTGAGTATCGTCTATCACTCGTCTACAGCGAAGAAATACTATTTATTGACAGGGAAGGAAACGGAGGTCATCTCCCAGTTTCTTCAAGACCAAGTGGCTCTCTTGGAACAGAAGCATCCTTCGAATCCGTAATGCTATACAGCATTTGCCTTGATGATTTCAATTCTGTTTTCACAATATATGATGCTACATAGTATTACCTGACGGTATCACGATATGTTTTGTTGTTGTTTCGCGGTCTCTCGAGGATAGAGTGACTAATTTATAATGACAAATGCTACTTCAGAGTCTGACTATTCTAACCTGAAGACGTACATTCTTCGTTGCTAGGAGTGGCATATGAAGAGGGGGATAGAAAGGAATTGTATGGATCAAAAGAATCATCAATCAAGTCTCAATGTAAAGAAGTAGAACAGAATTTCTTTCTTCTCACTCTCAATAATATACTGAATGTTTCTATACGTCCCTTGAGACATTTTTGTTCAACAAGATATCAGTCCTACTCCCTTGTCCGAATATTAAGAGGCGGATATCAAAGAGGTAATTTTGTTAAGTATTCGTTGTGGAATCTTGACTCCGCCTAGATTGACGCTGATATTACGACACTCGGTGATGATCTAGCTGTAGACGAGGAGATGACAGACTCAATCACACATGATTATGATCGGCCGATAAAATGCAGGCAGCAATGGACGCATCTTGTCGAACTCTGGAAAGATTTGTGTCTCATATAGATTGAAGTCCGCAGACTTGTGGTCTGTGTGGTTTCTCAGCCGTACGGGCCGCCAGTCGAGGGCTTGAAAGCCCAGCTGGACTCAGGGCCGTGGACGTACGTCCAAAGTGGATCCACGTCTACAGCCTCTGGACCGTAGCCACGAATCAACTGCGGATTCATATCTCTAGACTCAAAGCCCACGTGGACAGGGCTTAACAGCCCTATTACACGACTAGCTTCAAGACACCGGACAGGTGTCCCGTTTAGCCCGGAGACCATTTATGCTATAAAAAGCTCTTCTTAGATCTATAGCGGCCCTAGGCACTTAGATATAGGGCTCTTAACCCCACGTTGAAATAAGCTTGAAGATCGTCTATCTCTTTGCGATGGTAGAGAAGGATCCGTTTTGGTAGTCGCAAGTAATCAGCGAGCTATTCTCACCCCCGGCTTACCTGCTATTATAAGACCGAAGCAGGGTCTTGACAAGTCGGCGTATCGCCTATTGCGTGAACCTTTCCTAGGCCTAGGATTTTCCGGGCTCTCTGGATTTCCCTCCCTTCTGATTTTCCTAACTTTCTGATTTTCCTAACTTTCTGATTTTCCTAACTTTCTGATTTTCCTAACTTTCTGATTTTCCTAACTTTCTGATTTTCCCGACTTTCCGATTTTTCCGGGCTCTCTGGATTTCCTGGCTTTCAGAATGAAGTTATCGATGCGTGAAATTCTTCCCTTTAGTGTCCATCGATTATTAGCTCTGACATCTCCAAGTCCGATTTTATGCGTGACGAAACTGCAGTATAAATATTATGACACGCTTAAACACCCTAAACAGATTGGCTCTATAGGCGATCTCGAACGTGAAGAATCAGCCCGTATAACCTAGCTTCTATATAATTCTCTAAGCAGCTACCGAGATTCAAGGGGAGAACATTAGACTATACCTAGAATGGATTCTAGGGCACTACAAAACCCTAGGGAACGACTCTACGGATCGACGCCTTATAGAGAATAATTATATACGACGGTCTTAAATTTCAAAGATTTCTAATAAGTACTATATATAGAAAGGCAAGACTAGCTAGTTCTTATAGTTTCTTGTTTCCCCTCTCCTTTCTTAAATAAGCTCGGACAGCGGTCCCTATAAAAGACTAGATATCCTTTTCCGTCTTTTGTATCGGCGGAGGATAGTAAGAGTTCTATAGATATTAACACGTGTATCTATCTAGGTTTGCTTAGGACGTATAAGGTAGGAAGCTAGAAAGGTCTAAAACCTTATCTTATCCGCCGAGAAGATAAATACCTACCCCGATTCTCGAATTCGTATACCTAAATAAGTATCCGCTCTATATAGCTCGCTATATTAATTTAGCTTTTTCTCTAAATTTAATCTACGGCGGTGTCTTTTTTGCCAAAGAGACTTTCTGCCTAGGCTGGATAGTTTTGCCTGTCTATATAGTATCTTGGTTATCGTAGAATTTAATATTATTCAAAAAAGTAGAAAGACTAAGTTAAATAAAGATATAAGAAAAGGCTTAAGGAATATTTAGGCCTTTTAGTATTACGAAAAAGATAGGTCACGGTTTATAGTAGACAAAAATCGTGGACAGTGGGACGGCGCTTAGAGTTTCAGATTTGAAAGTATAAAAGCGTAAATATATTCTCGCTAATGCATATTTGTATACGATATAGAAACCGTAGTAAAATATTGAAACTGTGGACTAGAAACTAAATTTCGTACCCTGACGTAAGGAGAAGAGACGTAGCTACTACGAAACGCCTATACTAAAAGAATATAGGAGGGGGGAAAAGTGGTCCGCTATACGACCGCTATCACCGTGAGACGTAGCTGACAGCCTAGGGTCGCGAAAAACTTTAGCCTGTCGTGCGACCCTGTTCGTCGCGAGAAGCTGATCTTCCTATAACGACTTAGGGGTGCGAAAAACTGTAGCCCGTTATACGACCCCGCTCGTCGCGAGACGCTAATCTGCCTATGACAGCTTACAGGTGCATAAAACTGTCGCTCTTCGTGCGATCCCGCTCGTCGCGAGAAGCTAATCTCCCTATAACGACTTAGGGGTTCGAAAAACCGTGGCCTATCTTGCGATCCCGTTCGTCGAGAGACGCTAATCTCCCTATGACGGCTTAGAGGTGCGAAAACTATAGCCCGCCGTGCGACCCCGCTACTACGAGATGTAGGTAATCAATCTTCTTTCTCTATACAGGGCGGTCGTACGACGGGCCACAGTTTCCCCTTCGAAGCCTACGCTGCTAGTGATTTAAGTAGTATTCCCTTCTATAGCTTCTTAATAAATGCCGCCTATTAATGTATACGTGATACGTAGACCTAGAGTTACCTAATTTTGAACAGGGATCCGTTTCGAGGGTCGCAGCGAAGTCCCTATTCTCACCTCCAGCTCACCTGCCATAATATAAAGCTGTCTATTTTAGCCTAGTTTGATTTTGTTGAGACCGAAGCAGAAAGTTGTGATAGGTTAGCGTATCGCCCACTGTGTGCGTAAGCAGCGTGCTGATTGGTGTAGCTTTTCGTGAATCCATGAAGGCGCAAAGGCACAGGCATGAAGTAAAAGGGTATTTATCAAACTTGGAAACGGAGAATAGTAAGAATCATATACCAAGTGTGTTTATCCAGCGTTGCTTAGGACGTATCTACTCTGCGACCCCCGAAACAGATCCTTGCTCCAAATCTTGGCGGTCCGCGATCAACGATCCCCCTTGTCATCTGGATATAGTTTTAAGGTATCTGCTAGGCAGATTCACGCACTATAGTCGACCAGCTAGCATTCGCTAAAAAATTACTTGTACACTGCAATGTGTCAGTTTTCTCGGGGGCACAGCATGGTTACGAGATATCGTGAGTGGCATATGGAAAGACTGACCGGGGGCCTACCGTAGCCTAGTGGAAAGCATAATTTATGAGATATCGTGAATTTCATTTAGAAAAACCGACCGGGGGCCTACCGTAGCCTAGTGGAAAGCATGATTTATGAGATATCCTGAGTGCCATATAGAAAAGCTGACCGGGCGTATACCGTAGCCTGATAGAAAACATGATTTCTCTAAAAACCTGGACACTATAGGCCTTTACCCGGCTCCCGGCACTGTTTACCTGGGGCCACAGCACGATTTCTCTAAAAACGTGCATACTATAGGCCTCTACCCGGCTCCCGGCGCTGTTTACCTGGGGCCACAGCACGATTTCTCTAAAAACGTGTATACCATAGGCCTCTACTCGCCTCCCAGCGCTGCTTATCATCTGAAACAAGTTACGACACTTGAGCTGAGAATAGGGGCCCGTGCGTGATTTGTCGCCCTAGTCCAACTAGATAACTCTACTCTGCGACCCTCAAAACGGACCCCTATTCCGAAGCAAGTAACTTCAGGCCCACGCATTCTATCTATCTAAACGGATCCCTATCACTAGACCGATCCGCGACTATCAAAACTAATTCCTACTATTATACTAGAACTGCTAAGACTGCCTAAGTATTGCGACACCAAAAAGGTATCGTAATACTATCATCGCCCGATAATTCTCATGATTACACCGATATAAAAGACTGTATAACGGCAACTAGCTTGCTGAATATTTGCGACTACCAAAACAGATCCCTATCTACGGACCCTAGCGAGACCGGAGAAAGCTAGCCAAGGTACCTAATACTAGGCTAATCGGTCGTACTATAGGTCTATAGCTAATAATAAGCGGTATATAGCCGCGAGTCTAAAATAAGATATATATACGGTATCTGTGCTACCTGAAGATACTATTTAACTATTTATAAGGCCGAGAGGCTCTTAGCGAGACTACGCTAGGCTTAAGCGCTCTAAAAAGTCTAGGACTATTAAAACCCCGGTTTTTAGGGCTAAGAGGATAAATATAAAATAGGCGCTAAGCAATATCCTATTTTAAATATAGTTATTCCCCTATAAAATAGCTAGAACCTTTCTAGTCTCTCTATCCACCTATATTTCTTCTCCTACTATAATAAGACTATCCCCTAGATAAAGACTAGGAAGAAGGCTTATAATAAAAATAAAAAATAAGAGGAGGAAAATAGTAGGGGGCTATATACCCCTTAAACGAAATAGTACGCTCTTCTTTCCTCTTACTAATAGATAAGAAGTTTAAGCTATCCTAATAATTCTTTAACGAGTAGGAGAGGACTTTAAAGATAATAAGTCGATAGAAGGTAACTCTAATTATAATTGATCGGATAAGACTAAGGAAGAGGAATAGGGAATAGAGAGCGATAGTGAAGATAGGAGCTGTTAGAGAATAACTACTTGTATAGGGTAGAAAGCCTGTCGACTAGGTAGGAAGATAAACATTAAGTAAGGAAAGCAAAACACTATTTCTTGCTATTATAGATCTCTCTATAATCCTCAATTTATATAC